ATGGTGTGTGTGTGTGTGTGTGTGTGTGTGTGTATGGTGTGTATGGTGTGTGTGTGTGTGTATGGTGTGTGTGTGTGTGTGTGTGTGTATGGTGTGTGTGTGTGTGTGTGTGTGTGTGTGTATGGTGTGTGTGTGTGTGTGTGTGTGTGTGTGTGTGTGTATGGTGTGTGTGTGTGTGTGTGTATGGTGTGTGTGTGTGTGTGTGTGTGTGTGTGTGTGTGTGTGTGTGTATGGTGTGTGTGTGTGTGTGTGTGTGTATGGTGTGTGTGTGTGTGTGTGTGTGTGTGTGTGTGTGTGTGTATGGTGTGTGTGTGTGTGTGTGTGTGTGTGTGTGTGTGTGTGTGTGTATGGTGTGTGTGTGTGTGTGTGTGTGTGTATGGTGTGTGTGTGTGTGTGTATGGTGTGTGTGTGTGTGTATGGTGTGTGTGTGTGTGTGTGTGTGTGTGTGTGTGTGTGTGTGTGTGTGTATGGTGTGTGTGTGTGTGTGTGTGTGTATGGTGTGTGTGTGTGTGTGTGTGTGTATGGTGTGTGTGTGTATGGTGTGTGTGTGTGTGTGTGTGTGTGTGTGTGTGTGTGTGTGTGTGCGTGTGTGTGCGTGTGTGTGCGTGTATGGTGAAGGTGACTGAAGCTCCTGCAGATTTAACTCTAAACATTTAATCCACTCAGCAATGATGTTAAAGATGTGGCTCTGCAGGTTACAGTGAGTATCTGATAGAAAAGGACTGAAGAAGGAGTGACTCAGACACATATAGACAGAGAGAGAGAGAGAGAGAGAGAGAGAGAGAGAGAGACAGAAAGAGAGAGATACAGAGAGAGAGAGAGAGAAAGAGATACAGAAAGAGAGAGAGAGAGAGGGAGAGAGACAGAGAGAGAGATACAGAAAGAGAGAGAGAGAGAGGGAGAGAGAGAAAGAGAGAGAGAGAGCGAGGGAGAGAGGAGCTGGCCGGCAGATTGGCCGGTCGGGAGTATAAAGGGGAAAGAGGGAAGTGCAGTGAAGGGGTTAAAGGAAGAGAAGAAAGACGGATGGACGAGAGGGAGGAGAAGAGGATGCCGGTGGAGGGAGAGAGTGAGAGGGAGAGAACAGAGGGGGTGAAGAGGAGAGAAGAAAGAAAGAGGAGGGGAGTAGCCCGAGTTTGGGGGGGTGAAAGTTTTAAAGCTTTTGAATGACTCTCAGAGTGAAAAGGCTTTTATTCAGAAACCCTGCGGAACCTGTTGTCATGGTAATCGGCCCTCAGCCTCCAACACATCCATCACACACACACACACACACACACGGCCCAGACCAGCCCCCGCTACCACACACACCCCACCAACGACCAGCACAGACCACCTGCACCACGCAGCTCACAGCATTAAAGCGATAGTTCACCAGAACACCCCCCGCACCTCCCCATCCCCCCCAACGACCCAACCCCCACCCATTCTGCCCACCAGGAGCCAAAACTACAAGGTGAACATTTTCAGTTTAAAGCTGTTGATCAGCAGCTCTCAGTTATACTGACAATCATTTTAAAGCGTTCTTTACATAATTTACCTTCATTAAGAGTAATGAGTGTTTAATGTAATGATTAAAGGGCCCGTATCCCACGTTTTTCACATATAGCGTTTATGTTTATGCAAAAACAGCCAGAATTCATTTTCACATGACCATTTTCCAAACTTTCTTTATCCCATTCAATTACACAGACTGTGCCTTTACGACTGATATATGTAAATGAGCTCTGTTCTGATTGGCTGCCCTGTATTGTGGTTAATTCAGAAAGCAGTCTGGGACTGAAACGCTCATCACGTCAGCGTGAGTGGGTCGCTGTAGACTGGATATGTATAAATGTGGTGGTTTTTGTGACATCACAAAAACAGTGAATTCAAAACGGGCAGTTTAGCTTCCACCTGTGGACTTTAACAGTGTTCACATACTTCATCAAACACGTCTACTTAAAAAATGATGAAAGTTCCACAATATGGGCTCTTTAAGGCACACGTCACTTCACAATGTGATCGTTCAAGTTTGGCAAGTTTGGTCTGACAAGTATGTGGGGGTGGGTGGGGGGGGGCATTCAAATGTTAGGTGAAAAGAACACCTGCAGTCAGTCACCTCACTGTCACCTAACAGCTTAGAATCCAATAACAAACAACGTTTTAAACAGGAATAATGTCATTTACTGTCTGATACATTTCAGTATATCAGATCCTTGTTTCTTTTCAGGTTTGGTTCCACTGTGACTGAAATACACTGAAATAACTGCGACTTTAATGCAGATTTACTGACACAATTCAGCAAACGATTACAGTACAAACCGTGCAGAGATTTGATTGTGTTTTCTGACACGACATTACAGACTGTAATCTAGAGATGACCGACATTAACATTGCAAAATATTACGTATAGAATAGAGAATGCAGTGTAATTTAGTATAGTGAAAAATAGTATAATATAGTGTAGTGCAGTATAATATTATAGTGTATTATAGTGTAAGATGGTGTAATGTAGTATAATATAGTGCAGTATAATGTGGTGCAGTATAGTATAGTGTATTATAGTGTAAGATGGTGTAATGTAGTATAATATAGTGCAGTATAATATAGTGCAGTATAATATGGTGCAGTATAGTATAGTGTAAGATGGTGTAATGTAGTATAACAGTGTAGTATAATATAATGTAGTATAATACAGTATAGAATAGTGCAGTGTGATATAATGTGGTGCAGCGTAGTATAATGTGATGTAGTATAGTATAGTGTAGTATAATACAATACATATATAGTTTAGTATAGTATGTGGTGTTAAACACAGTGTATCGTTTTCAGGCTCTGGTATATTATTTGTTATATTTAAAAACTCTTGATAAAAATTATAGAAATAATAAAATCTGTACAGTGCCTTAACCATAATATTCATAAATGCAGCTCAAAGTGCTAATAGACATTAAAAAGGTACATTTAGATAAGATCACTGATATATAAGCAGGAAAAAACTGGAAACAACTAAACCATTTATTTAAGGCTGTCTCAGGTCTTTTCTTGTTATCTTTTGGTGCTTTAAGCAGGCCTGCACTGCTCCACCTTAAAGAACAATCTAGAACACAGTAGGCATGAAACATTTCAGTTTCTTAGCACATTTCTGATAAACTGAACTGAAATATAATGATGACAGTACACATCAGTGGATTAGTAACAAGACGTTTCCTTCAGGAACATTACAGTATGTGGTGTAATGTCGCCCCCCGGCGGCCCAGCGCAGTACAGCTGCTGTAGGAGCAGCTGAAGGCGTTTTAATCGTCTAATCCACATTTCCGCTGTTTTTAGCTCCACCAGCGCGAACACAGAGAGACACGAGCTGGACGTGTCTAACAGGAAAAGAAGCCCTGAGAGGAAAAGCTTTGTTTGTGGTTTGAAAGTGTACTTTTGGGGTCATTTTACCTCAGACTGTCAGTTTTGCATGCTAGTTTTGAAAAACGCTAAGTTAGCCCTTTAGCCGGATTCACACACATCTGCTTTAATTTACTCATTTTACAGATTAAATGGCTTTATAACATCTATAATCATTATAATCCACCGTTCGTACTTAAAAAGGACGCGATTTTAATAGTAATAATGTTTACAATGCGAGAGATGACTTTACTAGAAACGTGTTAAAGGGGAACTCCGATTTTCCAAAATTTCTCTATAACTAACTGGTTAAGATGTAATCAGAGTCGTTCAGAGCGGTTTGGTGTGAAACGCTCTGTTCTAGATAAACTTACCGAGTCAGAACTGTTCACAGTGGTGGTGATAGGAACCAGACGTCCACCTCTAAAAGCTCCCTCACAGAAAGTTCCTACATGAAATGGTTATGAATTCACTGCCTGATGACTGAGACACTGTTTTATGATAGTTTAGAGAACTTAAACTCCATTCATGGTGGAGGGATACATAATACGCAGGGCGCTGTGAGGCAAAATAGTCCCCAAAGAAAACTTATTTCAGATTTTCCACTATTTTCATCATCAACATTCCATATAAACTCAGAAGACTCGTGTAGGTTCACTGGTGGTTCTGGATAGTAAATAAAATGTCTATATCTGTGTTGTAGCCATGGCGACCCCTGGTTCCTATCACCACCACTGTAAAGACATCTGAACCATTTCACACCAAACCTCTCTGAATCTCTCTCTGTTTACATCTCAAGGACTGAACTATGGGGAAATTCAGAAAAAAATATTTTAATGAATAAGCATTACAGCATAAAAACAGCAAGTGGAGCACAAGGCCCTGAAATGTGTTCAGCTAGGAACTCATGAGACTGTAGAACACAAGTGTTTGAACCAGTAACAGATCATTAAATGCAAAATTTCTTTTTGTTCTTCGAGCACAAAACTCAAATCAGTTCAACTCCAAGGCTGAAAAGTGAGTCATCACTTTATAGGTCATCAAATTTAGCATTAAGGTCACATGGCAGCACTGATTTAACAGGAAATTGATTTTACCGTCAATAAACATGAACCTCATCAATAATCACATTAAACCAATGTTCATCCACACACTTTAAAAAAAGATGCTCCAAGGGTTCTTAAGACAACAGCTCTATTTAGAACCCTGCGTTCTCTGCATGGTGAAATGGTTCTTCAGATTGATGGAGAATGCACTGCATATGGTTCTATATAGAACCTTCTTGAGAAGGGTTCTTCTATGGTTACTATGTCCAGCTTGTCACAACAGCAGGACCCTTTTTGGTGTCATATAGAACCATATACAACACATTCTCCATCAATCTGAAGAACCTTTTCACCATGCAGAGAACCATTTAAGCATGCAAATGGCTCTATGGTTCTAAATAGAACCACTGCCTTTACTAAAGACCCCTTGGAGAACCATCTTTAAGAGTGCACACCAGATTTTATCATTTTGGACCAATCAGAAAAAGATCTGAAGCATTCCTTAACATGCTAAACTCTATTACACATGATTTACTTCATATATTAACCACTTAAAAATAAAACTAATAAAGAAACACAAACCGGTTATGATTCAGTTCTGAGCTTTATTAAAGTCACCACCGCCCCCGTATGGAAAACGTACATGTATAAAAGAATAATAAATAGCTTCTGTTGCTGTATGAACACACATTTTGCACCCAAAGCAGACCTCCTAACACCAGAGGGCAGTAGTGTTCACCTCAGCATTATCAACACCGAAGGCTTGTCTTTACTGCAGCGTTCGATTACTGATTATCGCATTTCAGTCAAATTGATCGGACAGTTTTGGCTCATTGTTACAGTACACGCTAAAACTTTGACCTCAGCAATAATTTTATTTTAAAATGTATTTATTGTTACATGTTGACCATTCAGTGCATCCGTAACACGAAACAGCGCTTCAAGTTCGAGGAACAGTCCATCCAAAAGCTAGCGTGGCTAACAATGGAAAACAAACCGCTACAGTTAGCGTTAGCACCTGCTAACGGAAGAGTCCATTCACTGTGAGCCACGTTAGCATATTTGGTTAAGCTACTCCTTTAAATGCACTTGCAGAGGCAATGGAACATGTAGTCCAATCGCCACAAAAAAACTACAACTCCCATCAGCAGGTCGGATTAGATGAGAGCGCTAACGCTAATGCTAGCCTGAGAAGAGGGTGGCCGAGTTATTAAAGGAACAGCTCAGTCAAAACAAACGAAGCCACAGCCACCAGGCAGCATTACGCAAGGAACGATGCCAGCTGGTGGCTACTAGACACATCAGCACATCTGAGCCGCTCCTTTACTTAAAGTTTCATCTGACTGCATAAAAGGTGGAAGAATGAAAGGTGGAAAAGAACGTCGAGCGTAGGGTGTGGTGGGGATGGAGGGGTGGGCTATTCGGCAAATCAGGGGTGAGCTGGGTAATGTAAAGCGACAGTTTGGTGAAAAATCAAATGCAGTTTCCTCCATTAGCGCAAACGTAGTTCATCAGCCGTGTTTGGAGTTTGGAGTTCGCTTCTGTAGTTTTAGCGCTGGAGCTACAAGGCTAATGTAGCTAGCAAGCAATGGAAGCTCATACCCCACCGATTAGCATGGCGCTAACTGCATGCCTTAAATCACTTGCCTCAAACACGTTTGTGAAGTTTGACTCCTATGTAAATTTCCCGTTCCACCTTAAATGGTGCAGCAGAACATAACTGCAACGCCATTTAAGGTGGAATGGAAGATTCAAATAAGAACAGCGGTTAGCCTCGCACCTCCGCCGCTAAAACCACGAAATCAAACTTCAGGCACCGTCTCGGCCGATCGACTGCGTTTGAGATAGTCTGGCCAAACTATCACTTAAAGGCTAAAGCTGTCAGGACCTTTCGGACGAGCCTCGTTTTAGGCTTTAATCACCCAGCTTGCGTGAGAAGCCCTGATTTGTGGAATAGCCCTCGGCATGGCGGGGAGGATGGAGACTTTTCTGAGATCTGATTGGCTGTTCAGATGAGGTCGGCCACGTTCATGGGCATTTCCTCGACGGTGGTGTTGTAGAAGGTCTCGATGTCGCGCAGCGTGCGCTTGTCCTCCTCCGTCACCATGTTGATGGCCACGCCCTTCCTGCCGAAACGGCCTCCTCTGCCAATCCTGCCAATCACAGCACAGACATTATGATTGAGGTCACAAAGGTCAACAGGTGGTAGTATACTGACTTGAGGATCATCTTAATAGTACATTATTTTAATAAACGTTTTATTTTATACCAATTTGCCACCAAAATACCATCCTTTAACACCCCAATAGGACCAAGCGGTTAGAACTATTCTCAACTCCATCCTGTTTCTGGGGAACAGCAGACGGTCTTACCTGTGGATGTAGTTCTCTCGGTTGGTCGGCAAGTCGTAGTTGATGACCAGAGATACCTGCTGGACATCAATACCTCTGGCCTGCAGAAGAGATGTTTTAAAGTGTTAGTCACAAACACTACTGTGAAAGACTCACTCAATATATCATTACTGTCGGACCAAAACCTCCTATCTCCATTTTTGTTGTTTTTCAGTTTTAGACAGTTTGAAAATGCTTACCGTCCTTTATATTATGAGTAAATTTCAACATGAATGGCCCCAAAAAAATGGCAAAAAAGACAAGAAAAAAGTCTGGTTAAATTGACTTACATTAAAAGTACAGTATGTTTTTTGCGTCTCCTGCAAAGTTACTATTTCAGAGATACCAGGTTTTGTTCAGACAGCAGTGATATAGTTAAGCCAGGCATACGCTGCGATTATAGCAGTCACAACCAGCGCTCCTACACGGAGGCAAAAAAGTCAACATTTGTGGTACCGGCGTCCGTATATGCCGACTTTGCGTCGTTTGAGTTATAAATACAGTGATCTGTAGTTTCAGTGCACATTGTGCCACAAGTTAGCAAAGCTGCTGTAGTGGTTTGTCAATGCCCGAGTCTCGAACGGCCCCTCCTTGGCTTCTACACCACAATAGTGCAGCGTTTGTCCAGTACGGACCTGTGCACACTTGGCTGAATCCCAAAAGGCTAACATATGGTGCACTATGTAGGGAGCAGGAAGCCGTCTGAGATTCAGCCAGTGTTTTTGCTCGAGACTGAGGCGCTGCACGTTTTGAACGAAACAGCTTTAGTGTAAATTGCCCAGAGACAGAGCTGACAGTAGTGGCTGTGTTTCACGTGCAGTGTGAGCTCCCATGTTGCGTCACGTCAGTCGAACCGAGTGTTTTTGTACAGTGAGAGTATATAAAGCGCAGGCTGTACGCGATGGCCGATTCAATACAGTGTCTGTCGGCTTTAGGGCTGCAATTACTAAATATTAAATTCTGAATATTCTTGCATATATAACTAAGGAAAGCTAAGATTTTAAATAATTAAGGTTGAATGGATAATCAAATTTTATTATTACCTGTTAGTGAAACTTCACATACAAGGTTATGAAAAACAGCACTAATAAACAACTATGGCTGTTAATTGACATGAAATGCTATTCCAGGGGTTTCTGCCCAATCTGGCAACCTTAAGCAGGCTGCTGAGACAGTTGTGAATGGTGCAGGAGAACAGAGGGAACATCGCCTTAACCACGGCGTCTTAAATATGGCTTTTTGGTCAGTGAGCGAGGTTCAGACCATGTTTTAGATTCTAGTTTTATGATGCTCAAAAACAGTTTCATATGCGCTAAATTCAGTTCTTTCTGCTCCAGACGGACGACTCGCTGACCAGCTCGCTTCCGTTTATTCTCAGAAAGAAACGCAGTGGAGAGCAGGGAGTGCGCAATCCAGATCAGCAGGAAAAGATGGACTGAACTGGCGATTAAAACCAACATTACTGCACAAATTTGGCTTCTATTCAAAATATCTGCTCCACCTTTAATGACACAGGTGGCAGGACAGAACTGCTGCACTTAAGGTGGAAAGGAAGATTTGAATAGGAGACCCAACTTCAGCTTCGTCTTTATAGCATCAACAGAGCTCTCGACAGCCTGACCTCTGACTTCTGAGATCACTACTCCTACAGAAAAGCACTGCTTGACCATCAGCAGGCAGATTATCTCACTCTCATCAGATGTGCTGCTACTGCACAGGACCGCAGACTCACTGTATTGACCCGTGATAAACAGACGCAGTTAAGCAAAAAACCTCATTAATCATTGCAGCCCTACATTCAATACTAACTCATCCCTGCAGGAGTCATTTCCTTAAAAATGTTACTTTTTCTAGCCCACAATTCATACAAAAACACATTCACAAAGCCTGACTGACCCTTCAGAACAGTGTGTGTTGGCTGTGTGTTAGTTGTGGAGAGGGAGAAGAAGCCCAGCCACAGCGGAGAACAGCCCCTCACTCTACCAGACACTGCTACTCCTCTAAAGCACTAGGGGGTGCTAAAGAGACATGGAGCTCTGGAGACTTAGACTACATTAGTGATGTTTGTGAACGCTTCTTTTCGTTCAGGTGGACACTGAACAGACGAGCACTCACTTTCCCTCTGAGCTCAACCTACAATCAGGGTTTATGTACCATCATTTATTTCTGCATAATCATTTTCCAGCCTCTCTCCGTCCCTTACAGTTACAGACTTGTTACTGCATCTTTAAGACTGATATGTAAATGAACTCTGTTCTGATTGGCTGTACAGTATTGTGCCTCGCTAAGAAAGCAGTCTGGGCTAAAACTCCCCTTATAACTTCAACATGAATAGGTGGGGCTAAACTGCCGCAGGCTGAGTGGGCGGGGCTAAACTGCCGCAGGCTGAGTGGGCGGGGCTAAACAGCTGAATCTCGTAAAAGTAGTGCATTTGAAGCTGGTTTTGCAGTTTAGTTTGATTATATTGTCTTTACACATTTCTGAATACAGCACAGCACAAACGTCTGCGCTGCTCAAAGTTCGTGAGGTTTTTGATCTAAAAGTCTGGAGTATATCGGAGTATTGGAGTACATTCACTCACCAGCAGGTCGGTGGTAATGAGGACTCTGCTGGATCCAGAGCGGAATTCCCTCATGATCACATCACGATCCTTTTGGTCCATATCACCATGCTGAGAGAGACAAGAGCAACGAAGAGGGAGAGATAACAGACAGAAAACAGAAAATGAAAAAATAGGGAGAGCGAGAGAGTGTAAGAGAGAGAGCAACAGAAGAGAGAAGACAGTGAGAAAGTGAGACAAAAATGAGAATAAAAAGTGAGAACAGAGTAAGAGAAACAGCATGAGAGGAGAGAAATTAGAGGACAAGAACAGAGCAACCGATTAGAGAGAACAGAAGAGAGAAAATAGGGAAAGAAAGAGCAGAGATGGAGCAAGACGACAGAGCAAGAATAAAGAGAGCGAGAAACAGTGTAGAAGACAGTGAGAAAAGAGAATTGAGAGAGAAAACGTATGAGACAAACAGATGGTGAGAACAGGGAGTGAGAACAGGGAGTGAGAACAGGGAGTGAGAACAGAGAAGAGGGAAATTAATCAGTGTCTCATAATTCACTGCACTGAACAATAAACATACAATACATTCAGAACACACTGAGTGTGTGTTGGCTGTGTGTTAGTTGTGGAGAGGGAGAAGAAGCCCAGCCACAGTGGAGAACAGCCCCTCACTCTACCAGACACTGCTACTCCTCTAAAGCACTAGGGGGTGCTAAAGAGACATGGAGCTCTGGAGTCCTACACTACATTAGTATGGCTGTGTTCAGACAGCGGAACGTTTGCTGCAAAAAATCCAGGACTGTCCTGAATACCAGTTTTTGGGATCCAGAGGGTTTTTTTGGGAGCCTAAAGAGATGAATGTTTATGTTGGGCTGTTTTCAGTTCAAACCTACAAGGACTTTGACGAAGAGCCTCAATGTGGGGGAAGTGGTGGGTTTTCGGAAGTAGGAAAAAAGAGGAAATAAAGCAATCCGCCGCAGAACGAGCGAACCAAGTCCTTTGCTTGGTGGAACTCAAAGGTGCCATTAGCAGACCAGCTACAGCAAATGGAGTTCAGCGAGCGTAAAGGTGCGTTCACTCACTGCTTTATACAGTGGCAGGTACTTAAATACTCCAGTGCTCAGCCCTCCCATCAGATCTCAATCATCCCAAACACAATGTGGTCCTGATGTTTTAACTGTTTAGTGCAGAGCTCAAGAAAAATGAGTCTCTGCTCAAATAAAATCAACAGGATTCAAAAGAAAATATCCAGCAGTGCTACATTAAAAAAAAATCAAAAACTGAACAGTGATTATTAAATATTTGGCACTAAATCCGGTTAAACAGGACTAATTCTTTTATAATGAAACGTTCAGTGTCTACAAGCACTGATATACACTATAGGCTCAGAAAAGCATACTGTATTGTAATTTATCAGTTTAGTTTATTTTCCAAGCTGAGCATGCTCCCAGACAGGAAGCTTCACCACAAGGAGGACCAGCCCACGCACCCAGAGAGAGGGACAGTTATGAACTCCTGCTTACGGATGGCTGTGGCATCGCTGAGGATCAGAACTCATGATCTCCTGGTGGTGCCAACATATTCAATACTGCCGCACCAATCAGAGGCCCCAGCTTTCTCCTCACCAGAGCCGGAACCGCAGAGCCTCATCACAGCAAATCAGACCGTAGTTTACCGAGAGTTTGTGTTCTTGCGTTCTCACCAGAGCAGAGACGGTGAAGTCTCTGGCGTGCATCTTCTCAGTGAGCCAGTCCACCTTTCGGCGAGTATTGATGAAAATCACAGCCTGGGTGATGGTCAGAGTCTCGTACAGGTCACAGAGAGTGTCCAGCTTCCACTCCTAACACACAATCAAAAGGGACAATCAGGAGAGGAAAACGTGCACAATTAATGATATACAGCAAAAACTGAACAGTGAGAAGACGACCAATAGAGCTGTAACGATCGCCTCAGTTTATCACTCTGAACATTAAAACATTAAAAACTTCAACTGTGACAGGAAATTGATCAGTAATCAACTGCAAATACTGAACACTATGAATAAATTTGTAATAAAATTTCTTAAAGCCTGAATCCCCGTTTCAAACAGCCAACTCGAAGTGATCAGCATATCAAACTGAATTGTTCTTTAACGAAACCTGGGCTGCGTTCAGCCCCAACAAAACGTGGCAAAATGTTTATTTAAATGGAAACAGTGGTGCATTGAACGTTACACAGGTGTTGCAACTACGGCAACTGAGAATGTCCTTCTTAGCGTCCTTCTATGTCAGAGGTCACTAACAGGCGGACCGTGGTCCGAGTCCAGATACAGACGCTGCCCTATGCAGACCTGGACCTATAACCGATAAACTATGGAGAATTAAATTTTGATGGGGTGGTCCTATTTTAACCTGCGTTACTTTTCTAGTCATTACGGTACCGGGTTAGCGACCCGCGAAACTCAGACCAATCGCATGTGTTTTAAATCACGTGATGCTGCTCAGCCAATCAGATCTGTGCATTACGATGAGCACTGAGACTTGAGCGAGTGACGCACACACAGGGGAGGGACGAGGCGAGACAGCAGTCGAAGAAAGTGAGCCGGATTATTTCACATTGTCTGCTCTAAAATGAAAAAACTGACCAATGTTGTTGAAATACTGAATTGTACTTTGATCTGACATTCAGTTGTTGACTGTATAAGATGTTGATATACCTACTAGGCTACTTCAGTAAACAGTATATGGCACTGAATCATAGTACAAGTTAGACATTATGATGTTCTGGATCTGAGGAAGTTCTCTAACTGCACCTTATTGAATTTTAATTAAAACCTCCTGTTCTAGCACATTCTATTAAAAAAAACTTTACAGTAAAATGTCTACGAGCATCTTCTGTCTTATTACCCCAATTACCTGTCTTATTACCCCACTGATCTGTCTGTTACCTCACTGACCCCTTTCTTTGCCACTATACACCCTTTACCTGCTGCTGCACTCAGCACTTTAGCTCATTCTTTGCACAATGTACGGTTTACAGGTATGACTGGGTGCGTCCGAGTGTGTATGAGAGTGATGGTAGCAATTTCTCTTATTTTATTCACTACATGTAAATCTCTGATTCTGTGAGCTCCTGTAACCAAAACCAAATCCCTTGTGTGTGTAAGCAAACCTGGCCAATAAAGCTTGATTCTGATTAACCTCAAATTAGACTATTATTGATTCGTTTAATCTGAGCTATGATAAAGCACGACTGTGTGACAGATTCCTGTTCGTGTTTTCTTGTTCAAAAAGGCCATTTATAACAAACTGTATAAAAATCTTAATTTTCCACTGTTAGATCAGATTTGCATATCAAATAAACAGCATTCAGAAATCACGCTGTTAAAAGTAAACAGCAGACAGATGCCTTTTGCGTCTATCTGAAAGGGTTAAGTTTGTGAACAGACAAAAAAATTGTTATTACATTATAAAAAGGTGAGTACAGTGAGTTTTTTGACAAGACTTGCCAATATGAACATGCTTAAAGGGTTTAGGAGTGATTATAGTTTAGCTTATTAGTCAGAGAATGCTTTAAAATATTAATGAAAAGTCACAGCATAAAGAAAAAGATCAGTTAAAGCTGTTATGTGACGAACATGAATGTGATTAAGCTGACCGGCTTAATGCCAAACGATGGAGAAGACAAGATCAGAGTAAACAAAAATGGGTTCACATGTAAGAGAGATACATACATACAGTACTGAACAGCCTCAGAGATGCAAAGAGACAGATTAAAACTAAATACAGGCATTAAATTTGTAAGATCACTATTTATTATTGTTTATTTGTATTTATTCTGATGATGGTGTAAACAATCACGGCCGAGACAGTCTCATCATTTCAGATGGAACCAAACGTCTGTACAGATCTGTACTGGTGTTACACAGCGAGTGTGTGTTGGCTGTGTGTTAGTTGTGGAGAGGGAGAAGAAGCCCAGCCACAGTGGAGAACAGCCCCTCACTCTACCAGACACTGCTACTCCTCTAAAGCACTAGAGGGTGCTAAAGAGACATGGAGCTCTGGAGTCCTACACTACATTAGTACAGATGCGTTCAGACAGCATATATTAACCCATTCATTTTGGACTCAGTAGTGTTTAAGAAACCCACAAGTGGTAATTCTCTCCAGGTGCCATTAGTTATTTATCATATTTCACATTTACCAGTCTATTCCAGGGACTGTAAGTGCTCTATAAATGTCTTAATGGTGCAGGAGCAGCGTATTTATCTGATCTTAATTATAACAAGCTGTATTAAACTCATTACTGCAGCAGAAGGAGCCGATTTAATCCCCACCGTCTCCAAACAGCTACGCTAACGTTGCCCTTGTACGTCTAATTGTTCTGACCTCTTTCTCCACGTTGATGTAGAACTGACGAATTCCCTCCAAGGTCAGCTCATCTTTCTTCACCAAGATTCGCACCGGCTCACGCATGAACTTAGTGGTGACCTCCAGAACCTCCACAGGCATGGTAGCAGACAGCAGCACTACCTACAGACCAGGGGACAGAAATATAATAAAATCTTTCCATCCGACACCCAAACTTCACTGAAACAGAGAAACACGATGAAAAAGCCCAATACACGTTCAAATAACTTAAAATGACAGACATTCAGACTGATCAACCCTCTGAGGTCTGAGGGTGTGTTCTAGATTTGTTCATCTCTTCTTAAATTCTCCTCTAAAGGCTCTTCATATATCATGATCCTCATATGTTTCATATCTAAATGCTCCGTTATCTTCATCACTACTTTCCAAACCCACTGCAGCAGCTTCAGCAGCTGTAAACTCTCTGCACGCCGTTTCACGAGTCTCCGATGTGGACTGAATGAAGAATGAAGGGTTTCCGGCGTGATGGTCAGTGCTTAGTGATTTCCTGAGTGTCCACTGGTCAGTGGTCAATAAGCAGCTATCACAACCTCAAACAGGTGATACTGAAGTCCAGAGAGGCCATGAGGTAGTTACCATTTTGTGGATTGTTATCTTGAGATCACAACTATCTTGTGACCATGACTTAATTATCTCATGATCGAGATGTTTTCTTGAGATCTTGTCATCAACATAGTTATCTTGAGATCACGACTAAATTATCTTGTGAGCTTGAATAAAAGCTTTGTTGAGATCACAACACACTTGAGTCATGATCAAGACAGCAATCCAGAAAAGTACAGCCCCAGCTCACGGCCTCTCCAGACGTCTGTATGCTGCGGTGCAGCTGTGCATAACATTCACAAACACAGAACAGCCTGAGAGCCGGTCCTGTTCTGACCTGTGTGCTGCTGGGAAGCTTCTGGAAAATCTCGTAGATCTGGTCCTTAAAACCTCGACTCAGCATCTCGTCAGCCTCATCAAGCACAAACATTTTAATGTTCTTGGAAGCTGTGAAACAGAAAAAGGCAGGTTTTATCAACAGAGAGAACAAAGGCTCCTGCAAACGTACGAGCAGTTAACACCATTCACACCATTAACAATCACTGCAGCAATTAGTCAACAAATCAGTTATATGGAACAGCCGATGCATCATATACAGATGTCTTTACAGTGGTGGTGATAGGAACCAGGGGTCGCCATGACTACAACACAAATAGACATTTTAATTACTATCCAGAACCACCAGTGAACCTACACGAGTCTTCTGAGTTTATATGGAATGTTGATGATGGAAAATAGTGGAAAATCTGAAATAATAAGTTTTCTTTGGGGACTATTTTGCCTCACAGCGCCCTGCATGTATCCCTCCACCATGAATGGAGTTTAAGTTCTCTAAACTATCATAAAACAGTGTCTCAGTCATCAGGCAGTGAATTCATAACCATTTCATGTAGGAACTTTCTGTGAGGGAGCTTTTAGAGGTGGACGTCTGGTTCCTATCACCACCACTGTGAACAGTTCTGACTCGGTAAGTTTCTCTAGAACAGAGCATTTCACACCAAACCACTCTGAACCGCTCTGTTCACATCTTAACCAGTTAATTATAAAAGAAAATTTAGAAAATTGGTTGAATTCCCCTTCAAGGGGTCCATATAATGGAAAATATTTCTCATTTTCATAACAGAGCTCATGTCCATATATCAGCCTTACAGGCACAGCAACAAGAACATCCTGTTCAATTGTGAGGGATGTCCAGAGTGAAAATGGTCATGCAAAAAATTAGACTATTTTTGGTGCATAAAACCATAAAAATGCTATAAGTGAACTTCATACTGTCTGCTATACAGACAGAACTCTGAATGACCGTAATGATAAAGGAACTGAAGAACAGCCGAAACTAATTACAGGTACAGATTAGATGCAGTTCGAGTGTCGATATGCATCAAATATTAAGGAGGCGGGGTCTATATATCACCGAAAGGGTTCTACTGTTACAAGCTTGGTATTTTTATAATAGCAGAGCCCCTTTCTAGAAAGGTTCTATAAAGAACCATCTACAGCATATTCTCCATCAATCTGAAGAACCGTTTCATGATGCAAAGAACCCTGTAATCATGTAAAGGGTTTGAGTGCTCATGGTTCTAAATAAAAGCATTTCCTTTACTAAAGAACCCTTGAAGAACCATTTAAGAGAGTATACTGCTTTTGACCTTATGTACTGGATCACTCCAGTGATTACTTATTCCTGTGTTTGTCTAAGAGCTTTTACTGATTTTTTAAAGATTTTCCTGTTAAAAATGACTTTCCTGCAGGTCAGAGTTAATTTATGAGCTTCAGCGTTTGAGTATACATGTCTGAACACAAATTATATTGTTATACAAATTTGTCCTCGTTATGTTTGAAATATTCACATATTGCTCCACTTAGATTTGGCTATTTTGCTAAAAATGAGAGATCAGTGACTGAGGCTCAATATTTAAGTCACTTAATATCTTTATATCATTGTTTCAAAAAAGTGCAGTTTAGCGTTTTATTCCCGTTAAAAAGTCTTGCTGAAATTCTCTTTTCTTCATTTAATTATATGTTGTTAATTAAAGCCAAGTAATCCAAAACTAACAAAGTAACCAGATTATGTTACTTTAATATAGAAATCCTTTGTATTAGGTTACAATTAGTGCAGTTTGTGTTTGGTTCGTTATTCCTGCTGAAAAGTCCTGTGGACTTTTTTTCCCTCTCTTAGTGTAATTATACATCTTCAATTAGACAAGTAATCCAAAAGTAATGATCAGATTACACTACTTTAAGGCCGTAATTCTTTGGATTAGGTCACAATTACATTTTTCCCCGGGTACTCTGATCTGTAACGGGGTTCATTTTTACAGTAACCCTCCCGACCCTGTAAGGAAAGCATACGTACAGAGGAATTTGCGGCTCAGCATGTCAAAGACGCGGCCTGGCGTTCCCACGACGATATGCGGAGCCTCCGCCTGCAGCTTTGCCACCTCGTTACGCACGTTAGTGCCACCAATACATGCGTGGCAGGTAGCGCCCATATAATCTCCGAGAGCCATCACCACCTTCTGGATCTGCACACAAACACAGAACAGCTTTAAAAGGAAGCAGAGTTCATCCCTACAGCATAATGCATACAGGCTTATTAATAAGAACATTCAAAACAACAGCTGACACTTAGGGCTGAAAGATTAATCGTTTCATACTGAAATCGCAATTTAAGAGCGACAACCACGTCTTAAATTTTAAGAGGAGAAATTTAACCTAATAACACAGCTTGTGAACTGCTTGGAGAGCTAGATCAATTAGAGGCAACCAAACTTCCCTGTGTTACTGGCTGGCTGACACTACATTCAGGGGTCGAGCCTCAAGCCAGAAAAAGTGGATATTCGGGTCTTCTTTACCAAAAAAAGCATAACCTTTAACTAACAGAAAATAATCTCAATTTAAATAGCACTTAGTCAGAAAACCGTCATAAGACATCACCAAAGCAGCAATGTATTGTCAGGTAATAAGGTTTTATATCAAGCTGCTTTGGACCATTTCTTGGCAACATAAAGGACAGCTGGCATTTTTAAATTATGAAAAATAAATAAACGAATTGATGACAAAGAAAATGGATACATGGGGTCAATTTATTTAAAAGCCTAAAATATTTGAAAAAGCCAATGTAAAGATAGTTATGCTTAGCTTTAAGATGTCAGCTCCATAAATCTACGGTGACTATTTTTAATCATCATGAACAAAGATGCAATATGCAAATGAGCCCTCTAACCAATGCTGAACCCTACAAGAAGCTACACTGTGTGAACTCATCTGCCTCCCACTCCTCTCCTCCCCCCCAGGTCCAGACACAGTGATTGACCTGCTGGGCAAGTTCACGGGTGGGGGCCAGAACCAGCGCCTGTGTGGCCCTCAGCTCCGGGTCCAGCTGCTGCAGGATGGAAATGGCAAAGGTGGCAGTTTTACCTGTACCAGACTGGGCCTGCGCAATCACATCATAACCTGACAACACAAGCACAGACAATAAGCATAGTTACAATAACACAACAGTAATAATAACAATAACACCAACAATAATAATAATAATATCTATTCAAATACACACTAAAATATGTGCAAGATGCAAATAAAGCAATAACCTACACAAAGCAGATTTTCTGCACTACACAAGTTGTTTATACATTAAATTAGTACATAACTGTACTAGTCATATTCATTTATATAGGACTTTCATGCATTAAAAATGCAGCTCAAAGTGCTTCACAATACAAAGTAAAAACAGAAAAACAAAACGGCAGAAAAGGGGATATATTAGTAACAATTACAATTAAAGCATAATTATAAATAAAAATACAATACAAATGAAACTAACAAGAAAGTAAAAGTAATAGTAATATTACAAATTACAGATTATGACCAAGACGTGAAGCGGCTGCAGTAAAGCTGCCGTCAAACTAAACAAATCTGTCCTGAGGCGCATGTGAAGCGCTTTTCACAGCTGTAACATCTGTACTGATGTGCTCTTACCCTTGATACAAGGGAGGATGGCCCTCTGCTGGATGGCGGAAGGCTTCTCGAAACCATAAGCGTAGATTCCCCTGAGAAGAGCCTCGCACAGGTTCATATCGTCAAAGGAGTCCACAATCTCGTGCCAGTTACTCTGGATAGACGAATGAAAAGCAACAGAAGAGAAATGAACACTGTTCTACTGAAGAAAGATGTACATTTACACTTAAGCAGGGAACAAAAGCTCAGTGTTAGAGACTACACCCTGCGCCACGTTAAACAGATGCGACAGCTAAGTGTTAGTGGGTGGTCAGCACAGGGGTCAAGACTTTTCCTGTACAGTCAGCTCCAACAGTAGACACTACAAGCACAACTCAGACCGGAAGAGAATCAGAAGTAATAATAAGTGGTAATAAAGTAATAAATAGCAGCTCACCTCAATGACACCATCTGGCTCCATACCTTCGGGCCCATTGTCCCGCTCTCTGGGTCTGTGCATATAAAACATCAGTTAGTTGCCAATGCATCACAATACACTGATGCTTTTTACACCCCTAAGGGACATTTTCAGACATTTTACTTAGGCCTATGAACAAGAAAAGGGCTCTACTTTGCCAAGCAGGGCTAAAGTATTAATCAGATTAATACTGAAAATGCAGTTTAAGAGTGCAGTTTAAACTATAGCCTATATTATCAACAATATTGCCCTAATGTTGACCTAATACCAGCACTTGAAAAGTGCCTGTAGATGAGTTAGACCAATCAGAGGCAACCAAAACAACCACAACTGGCAGTTCCGGCATGTTCAGCATTCAAGACTAAAGCCTGAAAAAATGGGATGCTGTGGTCCTCTTGGCCAAAATAATTTACAGAACAGCTATTTAAATTGCAGTCAGAATATCGATTAGAAAGAAATCGCAATATTTTTCCCCCCAAAATGGTTCAGCTGTTTCGGAAGCAGCTATTCCCTCATGCAGCCTCTAGAGGCGCTGTCACTTTAAATACTACACTGCCAAATGAAGACTTGACAGTGAGCATTTTTATTTTTTTTTTTTACAGTATTTTGAGTTCACTGTGATTTTAGGCTTTTTAGAGTATTCTTTTTATGGTTTGGAGGTGATAATCAGTAGTTAAGATACAGAGTTTTAGTCGTAGAGTTGAAGCTAACGTTATTTCAGACGCTACTGACGTTTTCACGAGGTGTTCAGCTTCTTTTCCGAACGGTCCCGTTCCACCTTAAATACTGAGGCGCCAGAACGTAACCGCAGCACTATTTAAGGTGGAACGGGACCGTTCGGAAAAGAGGCTGCGAATCAGTTTAATTTGGACTCGTTAGTTATCAGATTAACCACCCGAGAGCGCCTCCGGAGAGGAAATGGCAACACCGACCATTTTATTTGACGTCGGTTCGACAAAATCGGACATATTTGAGAGCTCAGCCGCGTTAGCTTCCCGGCTAACGGCTCTCTTTCTCCTCCCTTTTTCTCCCCGCAACCGCAACCAAACTCCACATTTAACAGCTTACGACAAATATAAAGGAAACAACGAGATAAACCGTCGCTTAATCGACATAAATATCGTGAAGTTATACGTCAAAACCGACAAAGTCCAAAACAAAACGCTCCAGTCGTTCTCCTACCTTTCTTCATAACCTGCCGACATTATGACAAAGGGCGAACTCGCCGCGAAATGGGCTTATATACTCCAACGTCACGTGTAAAACTGTAGCTTCTGATTGGAGCACAGGGCCGGCAATCAAGCTCCACACCGCCCACTCTCGCTTTTCATTGGCCGATGCGCTGTTCAACGGCTAGTCGCCGCCTTAAAGGGCCAGAACAGGGCAAAAAGAGGGTCGGGCCTTTGAAGAAGACCATCTCCCATTGGACAAAAATATGAGCAGACAAAACGTGATTGGATGGTTTCGCCGACGTAGCAGGTGACGTTTTTGGCTCCAAAATGTTAGTAGTCCTTAAAGAGACATTCCACGTGGAACATAATACAAAGAACAAAAAAGTCATGTTTTTCTTCTTTTTTTTTTACAAATGACCCCAACATCAAAATGCCATCAAAACATGTTTGGACTCAGAATGACTAAATAATTTGGAGGGGTGTCCACATACTTTTGGCCATAAAGTGCACATCTGCCTATCTTCTACTTCCACCCACTGACCACTTTATTGGAAACACCTCCCTTATGCTTACACTAACTGGCTGCTTTATTGGACACACCTCCCTTGTGCTTACACTAACTGGCCGCTTTATTGGAAACACCTCCCTTGTGCTTTTACTAACTTGCCACTTTATTGGAAACACCTCCCTTGTGCTTACACTAACCAGCCACTTTATTGAAAATTCCTCCACTGTGATTCCACTAACTGGCCACTTTATTAGAAACATCTCCCTCACACTTACACTAACTGGCCACTTTATTGGAAACTCCTCCACTGAGCTTCCACTAACTGGCCACATGAGCAGCTCCGTGGTCAGCAGGTGACCACTGATGAAGACCTGGATGATGATGAACTCTTGTTGAGGGTGTGAAAGGTCTGTTTTGGTATTTATTCTGGTTTTATTAGTACGCCGTACAACACTGTATGCATCTGAAAAGATATAAAACGCTTTTAATTTACAGCTGCTCTTTTTTGCCACTTGGAATCACACAAATACGTCAACAACAACAAACGATAGTGACCAAATGAAAACAGGAATATAGTGTCGTGGTCCATACAGTCCTCTGGGAATATGAACAGATCTCTCTTTACAGCATCTCTCCAACACCTTGAACTTAGCATTTAGCATACGAGTTATACCGACATCAAGGACAAGAAAAAGACAGAAGAGAAAATAAAAATAACAATAATCAAAATAACAATAATAGCAATAATAATAATAACAAAAAATACAAAAAACTGCCAAAGAATTGGCCGGCACCTAATAAGACAATTCATTTTCACTCCCACGCTGTGAAAACAGGACGTCCTGCCGGAGTTCGTCCAATAAACGGGCAGCCGAACAGGAGAGCAGAGCGGAGGACACCGAACTACACTCTTCATGGTTCTTCAAGGGTTCTTTAGTAAAGAAAATGGTTCTACATAGAACCATGAATACTCAAAGAACCCTTTGCATGCTTAAATGGTTCTCTGCATGGTGAAATGGTTCTTCAGACTGTTGGAGAGGGACGCTTTAATCATGCAGAGTAGTTTGAGTGTTCATGGTCCTAAACAGAACCATTTTCTTTATTAAACTTCATCTTTTTTAAGAGTGTACATTAACGAGGGGAAAACGTGTTCGGGGGGGTGCAGGGTAGTCAGGGGCAGGGTGGTCGGGGGGGTGGGATCACTGTGTGGATGGAAGCTGAGGAGTGAGACGCTGCTCTCCTCCCTCCCCTCCTCTCGCTCGGCCGCTCCATCAGTCTGGGCGTCCTCACAGCGACAGTCTGCAGTGACAGAGCTCCTTATACATCAGCCGGCGCAGCTTCGGCATGTCCTGCTGACCAAAACCGAACGGCTGCTCCAACGCCAGGCACTTACAGTACTGAGAGAGAGAGAGAGAGAGAGAGACAGAGAGAGAGAGAGAGAGAGAGAGAGACAAAAGGAAAGAGGGAGGGAGAGAGAGAGAAGGAGGGAGGGAGAGAGAGAGGGAGAGACAGAAAGAGAGATACAGAGAGAGAGAGAGAGAGAGAAAGAGAAAAAGATACAGAGAAAGAGAGCGAGAGAGAGAGAGATACAGAAAGAGAGAGAGAGATAGAGAGAGAGTAGAGAGAGAGAGATACAGAGAGAGAGAGAGAGAGAGAGAGAGAGAGAGAAACAGAGAAAAAGAGAGAAAGTAGAGAGAGAGAGAGAGAGAGAGAGAGAGAAAAACAGAGAAACAGAGAAAAAGAGAGAGACACAAACAGCAGAGAGATACAGAGAGAGAGAAAGAGATACAGAGAACAGAGAAGGAAACACAGACAGAGAGATACAGAGAGGCACAAAGAGTGAGTGAACAGTTAGAAACTATATAACAGTATTAACAAAATAATCAATATCTAATTATTTATTACTTTAATAAGAGTGTTTTCCTCATAGTTCACTGTACAGAAGTACAATAAACAGTAAACACAGCACTGAACACAGTCAGAGCAGCAGAGACACAGTTTAAAGTAATTAATTGGTCATTAAAAGTGTTTCAGGACGTGAGATCCCTGTTTATTACAGTAATGTTTGGGTATTTGTTGTGATGTTAGTGTAAACAGATAAACAGCTGTAAACATGATGTTTTCAGGTTGTGTCTGACTGACGGCCGAGTTTCCCCTCTTTGGGATTAGAATTAAACCCTGTATTAAAATGTGTGTGATGGTCCTCGGTGTGTCAGTGAGAGAGCAGGACGGCTGATGGACACAGAGCCTCACCTGGAGGACAAAAGCTCCACAGTCGCTGTCATTGTTCTGCCGGGCCACGTTCTAGAACAATCCAGAACACAGAGGAGTGAACAGCACTGACACACAGCAGTACAAACAACCCTTTAACTCTCACACACACTCACCGTAACACACACAACCTGCTCACACACACTCACACACACGCACACGTGCACACGTACACACGCATACGCACGCAGACACGCATACGCACGCAGACACGCACATTCAGTGGACACAGAGCTCAACTCTCACTGATACGGCACTTTAACAAGTCATATCTATTTATCTGAGTATCTATTAAAGGAACAATTTCATACTGTGACAATCTGATAATGTAACAATCTGATAACGTAAGAATCTGATAATGCAACATTTGATAACGATAAAGTTCAACTTCTATAGCGCCTTTCTCAGACCTAAGGTCACTTCAAATAGGCAAAAAAAGGAATATAATGTTTTAATAACGTAAAAAATTAATAATGTGTGAATTTGATAATGTACAAATGTATTAAAGTTACAATTAGATAAAGATTTGCTGAGTGATGAGTTACAGTTTAATAATGTACCGATTTAAAAAAGGGAACGTTTTCTTGAGAATGTTACTACATAAACAAACACAGAGTCATCATCACAAACACTCAACGCTACGAGTTTAAGAATTCAGACATTTAACCTCAATACAGCAAATCAATCCTACATAATTATTATCATCCGAGAAACAAACAAAAATGACACGTTGTAACATTTTAAAACTCTTCATTATTTCACTGTACACTAAAAAACACATTTTTCAAGGGTTCTTTAGTAAAGACAACGGTTCTCTTTAGAACCATGGGTAGTATGTGGAACTATTTGCATGCTTAAGTGGTTCTTCACATGGTTAAATCGTTCTTCAGGTTGATGGTGATCGTGTTGGATATGGTTGACACTGTCCTCTTTCTGAATCTTTTTTAAGTGTGAACTCCGTCACGTTTACAGGCCTGGAAGCAGTTTTTAACTCTCTTGTCCCCGTTTCTCAGAGATGAGACCCCTGCTGGACCCTCTCTCTGGTGGTCTCTACGTACCATTTTGAACAGACCCCTCCAGCCGCTGTAGAACTCTTTCTGCTCTCTCTTGATCGCCTCCGCTAGCAGGTATTTTGCGATGTGCTGAAAAAGAGAAACAACGTTAACCATCATCACCACGTTAGACGATACGGTGTAAAAGACCAGTGATGGTCTAAAATTACAAACCTCCGTCAGCGTTTTCCAATATGATAATGTAATGATTTAATAACGCAGGAAAATGATCATTTAATAATTTGATAATTTAACATAACAGAATTGTTAATACAAATACTTGATAATGTAACAATATGATAACGTAACAATAATGTAACAATTTAAGAATGTAGCTATTTGATAATGTAACAATTTCATGCAAATTTCAATGCAAAAATACAATAATGTAACATGATAATGTAACAATTTAATAACGCAACGATTAAATAATGCATCAATTTGATCATTTAACGGTTCAATAATGTAACAAATTGATAATGTAACATTTTGATAGTGTAACAATACGATAATGCAACAAACTGACAATTTAATAATGTAACAATATGATATTGTAACAATCTCTCTCTCGGCGTAAAAGACTAGTGACAGTCCAAAATTACGAATCTCCGCGTTTCATTGCTACTCCCTTCACAGTGACGCTCACTGAGCCCCCTTGTGGTCGTGTCCCTGAACTTCAGCCTGCTAACATACAGAACTGCACAGAAACAAAGTGAACAGTGTAAATATGAAGTCGCCGGACCTTCGGGCAGCGGCGGTTGAGGGTCCTCTGCGAGTCGAAGTAGGTGATTGTGCGCTCAGGAACGTTGACGCAGACCAGAGACCAGTGAACCTCCAGATGGATCGGAATCAACAGATACTTCTTCTGGAAAATGTCCACCTGCACACGGGATTAAACACAGTTTAGCCAGATGTGTGGAGGTGGGACACGAAGACAGACACCATACAGTCAACACTCGCCTAGAAACACATCACACCCAACGGACTGATAATTAATACTGATCGATAGCCAATTAACACAAGCTCAATTCTGAACTGCTAACTTTAACATGTTCTACAAATCGCATGTAAACAAACTGCCTCACTGCTACACTCTCAGAAATAAAGGTACTAAACTGTCTCTGGGTCAGTTCCCCTCCTGTCACTGGGGTGGAACACTCAAGGCTCCATCTCAGTACCTTTAGTCAGGGAACATAACTGAACCATAATCCACTGAAATGATATGTTCTAAGCTGTACTGACTCCACACACCCCGTCTCGTCTCCAGGCTTTTATTTTACTGTTCTGTTTAAAACATTCGGTTATGAAAAGGTACAAATACGAACCTTTCACCTGGAAACACTTATTTAAGGTTCACAATCAGACCTTAAAACCACTGTTGGAGCTTTGAGGGAACATTTACACTGTTTGTACCTTGATGAATGAGAAATGTACCTGAACAGAACCTTCATTTCTAACAGTGTACAGCTCTATTCCAGCTAAATGTTAACGTTGGCTGCCGACAGCTATTTTAGCCACGCAGGTCTACTGTTACGATCCTGGGGGTGTGTGGTGTTTGTTTTGTGCTCTCTCTTTCTCAGTTATCACCTTTTCCCACAGGGTTAATGTCTGGAGGACTCTGATTGGCTACAGCAGGGGGCGCTCCAGCTACTTATGGGGCAGAGATGCACTGCAGAAGGGGAGGGCTGCTCCAGTGGTCGGACCTGTGCCCTCAGCCTCCACCTGACCAGACCGACCACCTGAATCTTTGTTTGTGAACTCATGTGTTACTGTTGTATGAGTTGGTCTAAATACTTGTAAACCCCTCTCTGCGTCAGTAGGGGGGGTGAGTGCCCTGTTTTGTATGTTGTTCTCTCCTGGTTTGGGACAGGGAGGTGGCCTTTGTGTAATTTGTTAGATGAGTTTAGTTCTGTCTTGGTTTCCAGTTTGTTTTGGGGCATTATTATCTCACCCCCTGAAGTTTTCTCTTCTATAAGCTCACCTGCACTTCACCAGTTTAAAGCTAGACTTACCGGCTTTCACAAGATGGTGCCTTTAACTGGTACGAGTTAAAAGAAATAAAGGCTGATAATTTTGAAAATGCTGCTTTTAGCATTAAATGGTTCTATACAGAACACGGTTTTAAATAGAACCATTACTACAGAACCCATTAAAGAACCATGTTTAAGTGTGTAGTGTTACTGACGTTTTTCGTCCACCGCTTGACGCCTTCATATCCTTTTGTCCTCAACTTATCATAGAAGAAGCTGTTAAAGAAGTGAACCTGAGAGCATGTGAGAGATACAAAGAGAGAGCGAGAGAGAGAGAGAGAGAGAGAGAGAGAGAGAGAGAGACAGAGAAAAAGAGAGAGAGAGCAAGAGACAGAGAAAAAGAGAGAGAGCACGAGAGTGAGAGTGAGAGAGAAAAAGAGAGAGAGCGAGCATGAGAGAGAGATCGAGCGTGAGAGTGAGATACAGAGAGAGAGAGAGAAAAAGAGAGCGAGAGAGAGAAAAAGAGAGAGCGAGAGACAAAGAAAAAGAGAGAGAGCGCGAGAGTGAGAGAGAAAAAGAGATAGAGCGAGCGTGAGAGAGAGAGCGAGCGTGAGAGAGAGCGAGCGTGAGAGAGAGCGATACAGAGAAAGAGAGAGATACAGAGATACAGAGAGAGAGAGAGAGAAAGAGAAAGAGCGAGAGACAAAGAAAAAGAGAGAGCGCGAGAGTGAGAGTGAGAGAGAAAAAGAGAAAGAGCGAGAGACAAAGAAAAAGAGAGAGAGCGCGAGAGTGAGAGTGAGAGAGAAAAAGAGATAGAGCGAGCGTGAGAGAGAGAGCGAGCATGAGAGAGAGATACAGAGAGATACAGAGAGAGAGAGAGAGAGAGAGAGGAGGTTATTTAAGTTTATACAGTGAAACTGTACATGAGAAAGGAAAATTCAGTCCAGATATAAACATATTTAAAGCAGTGTGAATGTGAGTGTTTTTGAAGGTATGTCTGGTTCTTACTCGGTCAGGAACAGCGTCCATGACCAAATCTCCATACATGTTCATCACCTGGACGAAACACACACATTAAATACTTTATCAGAAATAAAATCGGCACCAAAATTATATATATATATTGTTAGTACTGAAAAAATGCATTAAACAACTATTACTATGTTATTATTAGTATAACATTATTACTACTACTAATACTAATGGATAATACTACTACTAATAATATTAATACTAATATTAATAACAATCAAATCAGTTTATTTTTAGCTTTAATATAACTATAAATCACAAAGCACATCAATAATGATGATGACAGTCGTAAACACCACAGACTCTTTAATCAAATTATAAATATATAAAGTAATTGTGTATTTAAACCGTCGTATTCTGACAGGACAGGTTCTAAAGCCCCACCTGGTCATTGAGCCAGTTCTGTCCGTACAGCGTGCTCAGGTCGTCCATGGTCAGAACGTGGCGCTTATAGTTAACGCGGAAATCCCTCATCATGGCGGTTCCGGACATGCGCTGGTACGACTGCATTAAATGCTGCACCATCACCTTCCTGAGGAAACACCAGCGCATTAAACCCTGAATCACAGCTCGTTAGAGAGACGCGGTTTAGTCCGCAGTGTTTATTCCCTCACTCAGTGCCCTGTCCACCAGATTCTTACTCGAATCTTCCCGTTCCACCTTAAGGCCTCAGCACTTCTTGTGAAACTAAATTCTCGAGGGTTGTGCGAAGCTGAAAGCGCCTTCGCGAGATGACAGGCTCGCATACTTTCTGCGGTTTGGTGTTGCCTGTTGCAGATGCTCCACGTGACGCTATGACATTTAATGATACGTTCCACGCTGCTGGAAAACGACTCATTCACCGTTCTAACTATGGCGACGTTTGAGTTCAGAATACTGCCACCATTTAAGGTGGAACGGGGAAATTAGAACAAGAAACTGGTGAACAGAAACTGGAAACCAGCTTCTCAAACACATTTGAGGGACAAAGGTGCGATTTAGACTGCAGTTAGCACCATGCTAATCGGTGGGGTATAAGCTTCCATTACGTGTTGGCTACATTAACCTCGTAGCTCCAGCGCTAACACTAAAGAAGCTAACTTCAGACGCCAAACATGTTTTGGCTGACCGAGTCAGGCTCACTCGGAAAAACTGGGGGAATTAGATTTTTAGACGAGCTATCGCTTTAAAGATGAGGGTAAATGAGGACGTGGGTGACCTGTGTGGGCTGGAGAAGCTCTCGTTGAAAACGCTCTGCAGTCTCTCCACCACTTCATCCACGTGGATGGGGATCAAACTGCCGTACTGCTGCAGGAACTCGTCCAGAATACCTGACAACAAACAGCACAGAGGAAAAAATAAGAACTCACACAATTACAGACTTTTATAAGAACAAATTAAACCCAGTCCTGGAATAATTGAACCGTTTTATTCCAAAACACATTAAACACCACCAGCAACCACTTAGCAACGTCCTGTCAACAACCTGAAACAATATAGCAGCTACCAAGTAAACACCCAGTGACCACTTTGGATACTGTTGAAACCAACTCGAATGCCTTTGCAACCACTTTAAAACACAGCTGTTGCTTAGCAACACACTAGCAACATTCTAGCAACACCTTAGCTACTACCTAGAATACCATAGCAACCATGCCTTAAAACCTAAGCAACCACCTGGAACACCATAGCAACCGCTTAGCAACACTAAAGCATCAACCTAGCAACAACATGGAACAATACAGCAGCTAACAAGTAAACCATAGCGACCACCTTGGATATTGTAGAAACCGCTTAGCAACACTTCAGCTACTACCTGGAACACCATAGCAACCGCTTAGCAACACTAAAGCATCAACCTAGCAACAACATGGAACAATATAGCAGCTACCAAGTCAACCATAGCGACCACCTTAGATATTGTAGAAACCGCTTAGCAACACCCTAGCAACAATCTAGTAACTGCCTATCAACACCTTGGCTACTACCTGAAATACCCTAGCAACCATGCTTTAAAACCCAAGCAACCACCTGGAACACCATAGCAACCACCTAACACCTTAGCAACTGCTTAGCAACACCCAAGCATCAACCTAGCAACAACCTGAAACAATATAGTAAACCCCAGTGACAACCTTGGTAGAAATTGATTAGCAATGCCTTTGCAACCACCTAAAACTTCGTAGCAACTGCTTCCTAGCAACTGTCCAGCAACACCTTAGCTACTACCAGGATTACCATAGCAACCATGCATTGAAAACCCAGCAAGCACCTGGAACACCGTAGCAACCACCTGGAACACCATAGCAACAACTTAACACCTTAGAAACCGCTTAGCAACACCCAAGGACCAACTTAGCAACAATCTGAAACAATTTAGCAGCTACCAAACAACTCAGCGACTACCTTGATCAACTTTTCCCACCAAAACATAATGAAACACGAGAAACAGAGGTTCTGCAGTGACGGTAACGAGCTCAGCCCCGCGGTGGCGTCGCAGCTCTACCTTGTACACAGGAGATGTGTTCGCTGCTGAGCTGGTTCTGAGGGCTGGGCCGGTCGCGGGCCGCCAGAGGACCGCAGGGGGAACCCCGTCCTTCACCGTCGTCCCTGACGGAGCCGTCTTTACTCGTGGAGAGTCTGCTGGAGCTGCAGGAGTCTGAGGATCAGGAGGAAACAACAGCTTTCAGTTCACACATCATTAACAGCACAGTACAGATCAGCACTGTGAGCTGGAGAGTCCCACTACAGGAGCTCACTCAGCAGGAAAAGGGTGCTGATCAATAACCAATATCGTCTATAATGGCCTATGAGTGAGTGCATTCAATCATAATCTGATTTCTGCAGTTATCTGATTATTCAAATGATCATGTAAACAACACACTCTGATTTTTTAGATCAGGGTAAGGTCTAGAAATCCGATTAAGAAATCAGATGAAGAGGCTGGATTTTAGCTCAGTAATCAGATTTCTCAGTGCTGTAAACTCTTACTCTGATTTCTTTCGGATATCTCAGTCTGAGCATGTGCGAAACAAACGGCGGCACCGGAAATAAGCGAGCAGCGTCGCCGCAAAACGCAGCAAAACACTTTTGTACCAAATACATGCTTGACGAAATGAAGGGTTTAAATATTCTTCATGTTCTGATGATGTATGTTCATATTTTGAGGTAAAGCAGCAGCATGACATTTTGAGTTTTATGTTACGTTTACGTCACGTCTTATTCTGTGAGATTACTGGCTGGTTATAAAGCTGAAATCTGATTACTGTCTGACTCATGCAGACCCAGAGTTTCCCCATTATCTGATTACTCAAGAGCATATATATATATATAGACAGATAGATAGATAGATATAGATAGGTAGATTAAAATCACTCCACAATTATTACTGTCAGACTGTAAAACTACACACTGCAGATTCATACTGGATTAAAATCGCTCCACAATTATTACTGTCAGACTGTAAAACTACACACTGCAGATTCATACTGGATTAAAATCACTCCACAATTATTACCGTCAGACTGTAAAACTACACACTGCAGATTCATACTGGATTAAAATCGCTCCACAATTATTACTGTCAGACTGTTAAACTACACACACTGCAGATTCATACTGGATTAAAATCACTCCACAATTATTACTGTCAGACTGTTAAACTACACACACTGCAGATTCATACTGGATTAAAATCACTACACAATTATTACTGTAAAACTACACACTGCAGATTCATACTGGATTAAAATCACTCCACAATTATTACTGTAAAACTACACACACTGCAGATTCATACTGGATTAAAATCGCTCCACAATTATTACTGTAAAACTACACACTGCAGATTCATACTGGATTAATATCACTCCATAATTATTACCGTCAGACTGTAAAACTACACACACTGCAGATTCATACTGGATTAAAATCACTCCACAATTATTACTGTAAAACTACACACACTGCAGATTCATACGGGATTAAAATCACTCCACAATTATTATTGTCAGACTGTAAAACTACACACTGCAGATTCATACTGGATTAAAATCACTCCACAATTATTACTGTCAGACTGTAAAACTCCACACACTGCAGATTCATACTGGATTAAAATCACTCCACAATTATTACCGTCAGACTGTAAAACTACACACACTGCAGATTCATACTGGATTAAAATCACTCCACAATTATTACCGTCAGACTGTAAAACTACACACACTGCAGATTCATACTGGATTAAAATCGCTCCACAATTATTACTGTCAGACTGTAAAACTACACACACTGCAGATTCATACTGGATTAAAATCACTCCACAATTATTACTGTAAAACTACACACACTGCAGATTCATACTGGATTAAAATCACTCCACAATTATTACCGTCAGACTGTAAAACTACACACACTGCAGATTCATACTGGATTAAAATCACTCCACAATTATTACCGTCAGACTGTAAAACTACACACACTGCAGATTCATACTGGATTAAAATCACTCCACAATTATTACTGTAAAACTACACACACTGCAGATTCATACTGGATTAAAATCACTCCACAATTATTACTGTAAAACTACACACACTGCAGATTCATACTGGATTAAAATCACTCCATAATTATTACCGTCAGACTGTAAAACTACACACACTGCAGATTCATACTGGATTAAAATCACTCCACAATTATTACCGTCAGACTGTAAAACTACACACACTGCAGATTCATACTGGATTAAAATCACTCCACAATTATTACTGTAAAACTACACACACTGCAGATTCATACGGGATTAAAATCGCTCCACAATTATTACCGTCAGACTGTAAAACTACACACACTGCAGATTCATACCGGATTAAAATCACTCCACAATTTCTACTGTCAGACTGTAAAACTACACACTGCAGATTCATACTGGATTAAAATCGCTCCACAATTATTACAGTCAGACTGTAAAACTACACACACTGCAGATTCATACCGGATTAAAATCACTCCACAATTATTACAGTCAGACTGTAAAACTACACACTGCAGATTCATACTGGATTAAAATCGCTCCACAATTATTACAGTCAGACTGTAAAACTACACACACTGCAGATTCATACTGGATTAAAATCACTCCATAATTATTACCGTCAGACTGTAAAACTACACACACTGCAGATTCATACTGGATTAAAATCGCTCCACAATTATTACAGTCAGACTGTAAAACTACACACACTGCAGATTCATACTGGATTAAAATCACTCCACAATTATTACAGTCAGACTGTAAAACTACACACTGCAGATTCATACTGGATTAAAATCGCTCCACAATTATTACAGTCAGACTGTAAAACTACACACACTGCAGATTCATACTGGATTAAAATCACTCCATAATTATTACCGTCAGACTGTAAAACTACACACACTGCAGATTCATACTGGATTAAAATCACTCCATAATTATTACCGTCAGACTGTAAAACTACACACACTGCAGATTCATAACGGATTAAAATCACTCCACAATTATTACCGTCAGACTGTAAAACTACACACACTGCAGATTCATACTGGATTAAAATCACTCCACAATTATTACAGTCAGACTGTAAAACTACACACACTGCAGATTCATACTGGATTAAAATCACTCCACAATTATTACTGTAAAACTACACACACTGCAGATTCATACTGGATTAAAATCACTCCACAATTATTACCTGCTGTCTCTCTGTCCGCACCGTGGGGCTCTCTGTGCATTAGCGCCCTCTCTGGTTGCCTCTGACGCCTCCTCCTGGTCCTCCAGCGTGACCTCCTGAACCCCACAGACCCCGCCCACTTTGCCCGCTGACGCCAGGTTCTCCACTGCTGCGCCAGCCGGAACCGAATGCTCATACACCTCCGGGTTCTGTGACCCCACCAAGCTGGTCGACTCAAGCTTGGCGCGTCAGCCCAAGTGTGGGCAGGGTAGTCAGGAAAGTCCCTGGCTTTGAGGCCTGCCTGATTACGCAGCGGCTGCAGGGCCTCTAGCAGCACGCAGTTGTCCTCGCTTTCGGAGTTTCCACGGAAACTCTCATCCTCATCCGCCTCCTCTTCCATGTCTTCATCTTCCCCATCCATCTCTTCCTCCTCCTCTTCCTCTTCATCAGGTACGGTGTACTCCGCCCCCCACAGGCTAACGTCCTGCACGCCGCGGCCCAGTTTGAGCTGAGCCGGGCTGGGTGCGTACTGGGCCGCCGCTGGGTCCATTAGATGCCTCCCACCAATAGCGCCCCCGCTGGCGGTGCCATCTTCGCCCGCCGTTAGCATAAGCTCATTGGGCCAGTGCGTTTGTGCTAGGCCGCTAGCACTGTCCCTCATGGTCCACGGGCACCCCACCACCTCCGCCAGCCTGACTCCACACCAACACTAATACAGCGCAACAGCCAGCCAGAAGGGGGCGCTCACACTGGCACAGGAATTCAGACTGAAAAAGAAAAAACAAATGATAACAATAATAACCATAACACAGAATAACTCATATGAACATTATAGAGCTTTTTAAATGAAACAGTAGAAGCCATATCGCCCCCTACGCTTCCTGTAGTGTATTACAGTCTGTCAGAGTGACTGTGTGGATCATATGAACATTATAGAGGCTTTTTAAATGAAACAGTAGAAGCCATATCGCCCCCTACGCTTCCTGTAGTGTATTACAGTCTGTCAGAGTGACTGTGTGGATCATATGAACATTATAGAGCACTGCTGGTTGTAGGTAATCAGTGTGTCATATACCCACTCATAATAGACATTAGTTATTTTCCAGCGTCTTTCTGGCCAAATTGCAAGTGGTAAAAATAAAAAAGCGTAAAAAATGTCAATGTTTCCATCAACCTGATGTTTTGGTTCATTAATACAGTTTGTCATGTTTGCATCTTTATTTTCACGTTTGTCGCGTCTTGTGTGCATTTAGTCTCCCTGACTTTCCCTCCACTCACAGACAGACCTTCTGTTTTAGTTATTTTGTTGTTCTGTGAGAGAACCTGTTTCTCTGCCATGGTGCTGTTTGAGCTGTGTTGATCCTCAGTGCAGCTCCGCCTCTCCACCACGCTGTGTGGGGTTGATTGAGGGAAATCTTTCATGATGCTAAATTTATCCATAAATTCATTATTTTTCAGTTATTCTGCTTCTAAACTGTGGAGCTCAGTTCAGCTTTTATTAGACAGTCGAGCTCAGAGCTCACTTTTAATAAACACCTGAAAACGCAGCTCTTTAACTCAGAGCTTCAGTAAAACTCTACTCTATCTGTTTAATCTGATCTGTTATTGTCTCATATGATTTTAAACGAATACTCACAGCTTCTTCTATTACTGTAAAAACATTAACACCTGTCTGTAAAGCACTCTCAGCTGCCACTGGCATGAAAAGTGTTATAAAAAATAAAGATGTTTTTTTTAACCCAAAACAAGCTTTAACACTGTAGGTTTCCACAACATTTCAGGTTTTAAAAAACAGTTCTGAAGCATTAAATAGTTTTAGGATGCTTTCACCACTGAAGGTCCAGACCAGGGTTCATGTTTAGGTCACACTGTCTACATCTAATCTGGTTAGTTTTGGTTCCTCATTGCAGTTTATCGTGCGACTAAAGAACTCTGCGTGACACACCTGCATCCTGTCGTCATCACCTGCGTGGGCTGCATCTCTGTACTGGACTAGACTGGTTTGTAGAGCGTCTGATGGTGGCGTGAATTCGGCGGGCAGCCTTTTCCATTTGAATGGGGTAAAATGTTGACTTGACTTTTTCTTTGAACCGAATTCAGTTAAATGTCCGGTCTCCTCCCTGAGAGCTACCACGGCTCACTTTTACTTCTCTCCCGCTTCTTTTTCTTCCTCCACTGTTTAACAGGTCGTCATCATGATCTTCCATCTCATTCGAGAGCTCTCTGATTGTCTCGTCTGAAGAGGCTAGAAGTCCTGGTGTGGTTCTGGATGGTCAGTTATCGTTCTCAGCTCATACTGCGAACCTGACTCGGTCATGCAGGTTTCTCCTGTAAAACATCCGGAGGATCCGACCCTTCCTCACTCGAGAGGCCACCCAGGTGCTCGTTCAGTCTCTTGTCATCTCAAGCCTTGACTGCTGCAACTCGCTCTTGGCTGGTCTTCCTATGTGGCCATCAAGCCTCTGCACCTCATCCTGAATGCAGCAGCTCGGCTCGTCTTCAATCTTCCTAAGTTCAGTCACGTCACTCCACTGCTGCGCTCCCTTCACTGGCTTCCTGTAGCTGCATCTGATTTAACACCCTGATGCCTACAAAGCCAAAAATGGACCTGATGGCAATGGTCAAAACTCAAACTGTACCTCAAGCGCTTCGAGCTTCAAGTACAGCTCAGCTGGACCCGCCGTCTTTCAACACATGTGGAAGACGAGCATCAAGACTGTTCTCTGTACTGGAGTCCAGGTGGTGGAATGAGCTCCCACTGGCTGTCCGAACAGCAGAGTCTCTCACGGCCTTCAAACACAGATTGAAGACCGTCTCTTTATACAGCACTTAAATGAGCACTGAGTTAAGTACTTAATGTAATGTATTGTCCAGCACTTACACTGTGTCCAATTCTGTTTCTTTTAAGTTTTAATACAGGCTTTTGTTCCTAGCAGTATCTGAGCTCAGGAGTAGTTTGTAGTTGACCTATTTGTACTAAAGGATACTTTCTCTGAGTCGACGACAGAGACCACCTCTTTTGGTTTGGTCCTGTGGTCTGAACCGTGGCACCTTTCACACCTGCTATTTTGGTTCAGACCAAACAAAGTAGGCGGGAAACGAACCTTAGATGGTGGTGCAACCGTCTAAGCCAGGCAGGTCAAAGTGGAGACCTTCCAGTCCAAAGTGCAAAGTGTGTTTAATGAGGCAGTGCAGTCTGCAGTGTGTTGGTCTGTGAGGTCTGGAGTCTGATAAACAAGGTCTAATCGTTGTCTCTCTCTTCAGGAGATCGCAAGTTTGATCCCCGGTGATGCTGCAGCCGTCGGTGTCCAGCAGTCCAAGAGAGCTTGCTCTCTCTGGGTGGGCAGGATGGCCCCCTGTCTCCCCCCATCACTCAGCGTGATGCTGCCAGCGCAGGTGTCTGTTAGCTGACATAACAGATCTGGCGGTCAGCGTCTCCTCCGAGCGCGTTCAGCTGTACAGTGAAGCTGCGTTAGCAACAGTTAGAAGGATGCAGTGGAGCTTCACAGAACTCAGAGGAAGCCTGTGTTTGCCTTCACCCTCTTAGCGCTGATGGTATCGTGTGACTGGGGGAGTCAGAACTAGTGGGTGGAACTGGAAAAATTCCTTCCAAAAAAAAAAGGTTTATCTAATGTATTATAGTTTATTATATTTTATCAAGTAGTTGTTTCGCACACCTGTCCTGCATGTTTTATTATTTATCTGCTATAACACACACATCAGCTCAGGTAGGGCTTATTACAGAGCTGATTAGCTGGATCAGGTATGTTAGAGCGGGAAAACACCAAAACATGCAGGACAGCGGGCCTCCAGGACCAGGAATGGGAGCCTCTTAACTGTCTTTCACAATAACAATTTTTCTCTTCAAAATACATTATAACAATGTAATACGATGCAGTCATGTTAGTAAACAGGAATAAAAGCCTTTGAACCTGAGTAACTCAGTGTGTGAGGTGTAAACAGAGAGATTCAGAGTGGTTTGGTGTGAAATGGTTCAGATGTCTGTACAGTGGTGGTGATGGGAACCAGGGGTCGCCATGACTACAACACAAATATAGACATTTTATTTACTATCCAGAACCACCAGTGAACCTACACGAGTCTTCTGAGTTTAAATGGAATGTTGATGATGGGAAAATAGTGGAAAATCTGAAATAATAAGTTTTCTTTGGGGACTATTTTGCCTCACAGCGCCCTGCATGTATCCCTCCACCATGAATGGAGTTTAAGTTCTCTAAACTACCATAAAACAGTGTCTCAGTCATCAGGCAGTGAATTCATAACCATTTCATGTAGGAACTTTCTGTGAGGGAGCTTTTAGAGGTGGACGTCTGGTTCCTATCACCACCACTGTGAACAGTTCTGACTCGGTAAGTTTATCTAGAACGGAGCGTTTCACACCAAACCACTCTGAACCGCTCTGTTTACATCTTAACCGGTGGATTAGGCAGATATTTGGGAAAGTGGGTGGAATTTCCCTTTAAATGGTTTAAAGAGGACTAATGATTAACGTTCTACGTTCCTAAACGTTCTCAGGTTCTCAGTCGTTTTAACCTAAGGTGGAACGTGTTTGATGTGTCCAGTGTGTTCAGGGGGATCGGTGGTGTGTGTTTGTGTTCGCCGCACGAAGCTGAATTTAGCTCCTTTATCGAATTCCCGTTCCACCTTAAGCGCTGCAGCAGCCGCGCTCCGGCGCCCAGGCTCCTGACTGTAAGCGCTGCCGTATTTAAGGTGGACCGGGGGAGTTCGGAGGAGGAGCTGGCGGTTAGGAAGCCAACTTCAGCCGCGCGCTGGTTGTTCGGTTAAACACTCACCTGCAGCCGAGCCCCGCAGCAGAAGGCGCTAGTAATCCGCTAATAGGCCGTTATAATGCGTTATAACCGCTGGGTTTCGGTGGAGCTCCGGGTTTAATTCGCTCCTGTTTCTGTTCGGCTCTCATTCATTGAGCGCCGGCGCGACTTTACAGCGAAACACTGCACTTCCGCCGCGCGCCGATGACGCCACCGCGAGGAAACTGTTCGATCTTCCAATCAGAAGCTGCGATCAGGAAGGCGGGCTTCGGCCTGACCAATCAGAGCCGCGATAACTGCGCCGCTAATCAATATTCAGTTAATTTTGTGTGAGAAACGCTTTTTTTCCCCCGATTTACGAAAAAATCAACGAAATTTATTTTATATGTCCCGCACTGTCTAATATTATATATTCTAATAGATTTAATTAAAAAAGATCGCGGTAAAAAATTTTTTTCCATACAACATAAAAATTAGAACAGTTTCTAAGTCGTCATGTGAAAAAAAAATACATTTTTTAATATCTGAAAAAAATGATTATATTTCTTTAATTTTATGCATGAAAAAAATTTGGTGTTAATTTTTCTGATAATATTTCTAAATATTTCATAAACTGATGTGGGAAAGAATGTTATGTTTCTCAATATTTCTATTTTTAAATATTTAAAATTTTAAATGTTCCAATAATCAAAAAAAAAAAATTCTAAATATTTCTTAAACTGTTGTACATTTTTCTAATATCTAAATATAATGATAATATTTCTTAAATTGGTACATTAGAAAATGTTACATTTTCTAACATAAAAAATATTTCTTAAACTGTGAAGTGAGAAAATATAAATTTTTCCAATATACTTAATTATACCCAAAAAAAATCTTAAAATGTGTACAATAGCTGTGTTGAGGTCATTTTTAGGTGTTCTAAAGTGTGGAGAAGCTTTAAATGATGGAATATCAGTATATCAGTAAACTGTAAATGAATCTCAGAGAAAAAGAAAACCAGATCAATAGTAGAATATGAGCCCTTTAATAAAATACATATTTTGGCAGCAGCTTTGCTTTACAGTAAGACTGACTGCACCACACTCTCTTCTCACACAGTTACATACTTAATATAATAATATTTCCCTATATATTTAAGGATCTGTGTGATAATATGAGGACAGTGTGCTGCTATTAGATCCAGTACATAAAATATTAATATTATAAATATTTATCCTGCTTTTGTAATGTTTTATTAGAGGCTTAATGTAGAATTCCTGAATCTATCACTGCGTAATCAGGCTTTCCAATGTTAGGGGGAATTAAATTCTTTATTAAGACACCAAAAACAGCACAATTACAGTAATAGTTAAATTATAGTTCACAGATATTTAACACAGTTATAAAGACTGTATAAATAAGACCCTGAACTTACAATACAGCACAGTTCTCTTAAAAATTAAACATAAACATTCAGGTATATATTCAATTAATGAAATATAACAATGTGAATTAAGAATTAAGTATTTATTATAACCAATTATTACTCTAATTACTCTCATACTCCAGAGTATGAAGCACAGTAAAAGTCTTTCATCTTCATCCGAACACACTGCACCGCTGACCCGAGTCTCCGGTGCTCTCGAAGAACATGAAATCCTGCAGAGAACCAAAGAGAGTGACTGAGTGAATAACTGAGTGAATGGATGAATGAAAGAATATGTGAATGAATGTGTGAATAATGAAGTGACTGAGTGGCTGAATGAATGAATATGTGAATCAGAGTGAGCGAATGGATGAATGAATAAATGAATGAATGCCAATTAGCGAACGGATGAATGAATGATCCAAATAACTGAATAATTGAATGAATGAGTGAGTGAACACAAAATAACTGAGCGAGGGAACGAATGAATGAGTGAATGAATGAAAATGAGTGTGAGTGAATGAATGAGCAAATGAGCGAATGAATGAATGAATGAATGAGTGAGTGAATGAGCGAATGAATGAATGAACACAGCCCATGACTCACTATGAGGAAACAGGCTCCCAGCAGAACGGCCTTCATTCTGACGTCCAGGTCGAGAGGGAAGTTGATACCGAAGTTATCGGCGTCGGTCAGTGACTCTTTAATCAGTCCACTCCACTGCTTACTGATCCGGCCAATCACAGAGCCGTCCTTACCTTTCACCTGACAGCGGAGGGGCACAATACAGGTGTGTTTCAACTGTGACGGCATGATAACAGGTGTGTTACAGGTGTGCAGGTTTGTTACCACTGTGGAGGTATGATACAGGTGTGTTACAGGTGTGTTATAGGTGTGCAGGTTTGTTACCACTGTGGAGGTATGATACAGGTGTGTCACAGGTATGTAGGTGAGTTACAGTGGTGGAGGCATGACACAGGTTTGTTATAGGTATACAGGTGTGTTACAGGTGTGTTATAGGTGTGCAGGTTTGTTACAGCTGTGGAGGTATGATACAGGTGTGTTACAGGTGTGTTATAGGTGTGCAGGTTTGTTACAGCTGTGGAGGTATGATACAGGTGTGTTACAGGTATGCAGGTGAGTTACAGCTGTGGAGGCATGACACAGGTTTGTTATAGGTGTGTTATAGGTGTATTAAAGGTGTTCATGATGTTGGCGTGCCAGTGTGTTACCAGTATATTACAAGTTGCAAGGTGTGCAGGTGTCTTACAAGTGCATTACTGTTGTGCAAGTGTGTTACAGGTGTGCAGGTGCCTGTAAGTGTACAGGTGTGTTACAGCTGTATAGGTGTGTTAATGGTGCCTTACAGGTGTGCAGGTGTTACAGCTGCATAGGTGTGTAAATGGTGCCTTACAGGTGTGCAGGTGTGTTACAGGTGAAGAAAACAAATGTAAAACTGGTGATACAGCGTTTTCTCCTGACAGTGATGAAATGAAACATCAACATACAAAACAAATACAAACATAACACACCTGTAGCCACTGTGTTTACCTGCCTTGAATACGTGAAAAAGCTGATGTAAAGAAACTAACGAACAGAAGTCTTAGAGAAACAGCTCAAACAAACATGCTAATGTGGCTGAGAGTGAATGGAAGCTGGAAGTTTCTTTGACTGAACTATTCCTTAAAGATCTCACGCTGAAACACACACATCAAAGTCAACGTCTCCGCAGCAGCTGATGGTGCACAGTGGCCCCTCGATGGTCAGCAGCGGCTCATGCGAAGCCCCCAGCACAGAAAATTTGGGCAGGAATGGGTGCCAGTTCTGAACCACGAATCCGATTGTATTCCCCGGAGGAGCCTGGACCTCCATCTGCAATCAATCATCAATAAACAGTCATCAGTTGCTTTATTGCTGCAATCCGTCAACCTCTCAGGGATCCACCCACATCTGTATTCTTTCATAGCTACTGCTGTGGACAAGATTTACAGAGATCAGCCCCCATTAAACATAATGAGAAACTGTTTATATCACAATACCTACATTTAGAGTCGGTTATTCATTCAACCTAATGAGAAACTGTAGAACAGACTCAGTTTATATCACAATACCTACATTTAGAGTCGGTTATTCATTCAGCCTAATGAGAAACTGTAGAACAGACTCAGTTTATATCACAATACCTACATTTAGAGTCAGTTATTCATTCAGCCTAATGAGAAACTGTAGAGCAGACTCAGTTTATATCACAATACCTACATTTAGAGTCATTTATTAAATTCCCTCAGCAGCACCTGATTTAATTTAACCCCTTAAAATGTCTCATTTCATATTAAGGCTTAGTATTCAGTAACTACAGGGATGTCAGTGAAAACGGGCTGAGCTATTCTAAGATTATAGACGTGTGTAATAAAACTTTGGTCATTTAAGGAGTTAATGAAGTATTGATTAGATAAAGTAGGTACTGGATGAGCCTTCCTTGAGGAGAGAGCAGTAAATGATTAAGTAAACACACTGACATACTTTAATGCTATTTGCTATAGAGGATATTATTAGCCTATTACATATGTCAATGCAAATGAGTTCTATATAATCATACACTGATACGAACAAAATGATTTTAAAACAAAATAAAGCAGTTCCGGCAACACTACTGTAGGGTTCTGTTCATAAGGCTATATGACACCCACATAAGGTTATAACATGGTCATAACAACTGACATAACCCTTTATAAATGTTTATGAAGGCCTATTCCAATGGGCATCATTCGCTCTAAAGGATATATTTGCCAACTTACTTAGCTAAAGTAGCCCTTGTGACAGAAGGCGCCTATTGGAAAAAGCATTAATAAATATTTATCTAGAGTTACATCAGTTGTCATGACAACCTTATGTAGGTGTCTTACAGCCCAATGAACAGCACACAACAGAAAAGTGTTACCAAAAATTTAGTGTAATTGACAAGATTTTAGTCTCTAATAATACAACATTATGACATTATAATACTACTACTAATAATAGTAACAATTATTATTATCAATATTGTTAGTAGTATTAGTCGTAGTACAATCAATCAACAGTCAGCTCAACAGCAGCAAATTAATCATTTGCATGAAGTCACTGATAAAACTGATCAAATCTTGACCTTGAGAACGAGTCCTTGAACTACAGCCGGAGTGCAGTATTGATTATTTACATCACTGTTTGATCCTGTCTGACAGTGTAATAAAGGTAGTAGCTGTACATGCAGGTTTAATAACTAACTTCTTGCTCACTCAGCAGCTCCTCCAGAAGTAAACAGTGGAAAATCTCAGGCAGTAAAACGTCCTGTACATAATACAGGTGTAAACCTCTGACCTCAGAGTGAGTCACTGCCTTTACATTCATTAGGAAACGATTCAGCACAACACAAACCTCAGATTTCACCACCGTTCAGTTTGATCCAGTTATTTTGGTATGATTCAAAGTTATTATTAGAAATATACTGAATACATAAAAGTAAGTGGAGGAACCGTTTACACAGTAGTGAAATATGGACAATAACAACAATAAACCAGCTATACTGAGCTGTATTGGGCTGTATTGAGTGTTATTGATTAGTATTGAGTTGTACTGATTTTTTTGTTTAACATTGAGCTATACTGAGTTATACTGAGTTGGATTAAGCTGTATTGAGCTATACTGAGTTATACTGAGTTGGATTAAGCTGTATTGAGCTATACTGAGTTTTACTGAGTTGTATTAAGCTGTATTGAGCTATACTGAGTGATACTGAGTTGTATTAAGCTGTATTGAGCTATATTGAGTTATACTGAGTTGTATTAAGCTGTATTGAGCTATATTGATTTATACTGAGTTGGATTAAGCTGTATTGAGCTATATTGATTTATACTGAGTTGGATTAAGCTGTATTGAGATATATTGAGTTATACTGAGTTGTACTGAGTTGTATTGAGCTGAATTGAGTTGTATTGAGTTGCATTGAGCTGTATTGCGTTGTACTGAATTTTTTGTCGAATATTGAGTTAAATTGAGATGTACTGAGTTGTAACAAGTTGTTTTGAGCTGTACATAGTTGTACTGAGTTGTATCGAGTTGTATCAAGCTTTTATGAGCTGTATTGAGTTGTATGGAGTTGTACTGAGCTGTATTGAGTTGTACTGAACTGTATTGAGCTGTTATGAGTTGTATTGAGTTATATTGAGGTGTATTAAGCTGTATTGAGTTGTACATAGTTGTATTGAGTTGTATTAAGCTGCACTGAGTGGTATTGAGTTGTATTAAGTGGTATTAAGCTGTACTGAGCTGTACTGAGCTGTACTGAGCTATATTGAGCTGTATTGAGCCGTACTGAGCTGTATTGAGTTGTACATCGTTGTACTGAGTTGTGCTGAGTTGCATTAAGCTGTATTGAGTTGTATTGAGCTTTATTGAGCTGTACTGAGCTGTATTGAGCCGTATTGAGTTGTACTGAGTTGTATTAAGTTGTATTGAGCTGTAAGAAGTTGTACATAGTTGTACCGGGTTGTATTAAACTGTATTGAGTTGTATTGAGTTGTATTGAGCTGTAGTAAGTTGTATTGAGTTGTATTGAATTGTATTAAGCTATATTGAGCTGTATTGAGTTGTATTGAGCTGTAGTAAGTTGTATTAAGCTGTACTGAGTTGTATTAAGCTGTACTGAGTTGTATTGAGTTGTATTGAATTGTATTGAACTATATTGAGCTGTATTGAGTTGGACTGAGTTGCAGTACCTCTTGCAGACAGCAGGGGCACCAGCAGGAAGTGCATCGGAATGGTTTAACGAGGTGAATCACTTCCTGTTCATTGTGGTCAGTGATTTTGAGGTCGAAGCTCCTCAGCGGGCCGCAGCAGTTCCGGGTGCAGCAGTCGTTCTGCTCCTTGGCGCTGTAGATCTTCTGACCCAAACTGTTCTTTATTTCATACCGGTTATTCGTCTCAAAGCCGATGATCGCTGAACATGAGCACGAGGAGTGATGAGAGGACAAGATGAGTCAGAGTGGCTCTGAACGGAAGCTAATCTCTTACACAGTGGAAATGTGCTGCTATATATTGGAAAATAATATGGCATATGGTTCCTAATGCAGCTCATGCCAATATATGTCAGGATTTAAAACACCATCTAAAATATTTGGCTTTTTAATCTTTTACATTGTGTGAAAATTTCAGGATGAATGAACCTAAAATTATTCAAAACACTGGTACATTAATGTACATTGAAAATATAAATGTTTTTTCCTTCTGCTGAAATGTTACCATTTAATTTGTTTACGACGTCAGGAAAACATCGGCTGCTGCGGTTCAAAATAACAGAATATACTGGTGGATTCCATCTTATCTATACGTTGTTATCTTTAATTAGCCCAAATATACAGTATGATTGAATAAAATAATGCATTGCAGTATAAAGTTCCCTACCTGTACATGATTAATATATTATACAATCATATGATCAATATATGTACCAATATAAACCATTATATACATCAAATGTATGGAAATGCTCAGGTCTGTGGTCCATACTTTTTCTCCATGTATATAAAATCTATCAATAATTTCTTATTACAAATATATTGTAGAATATATTTACAATATACTATGAACGAGACACCATATATTTTAATATACAACAAACATTATATAAGCTTAATATCTGTATGTTGTGTAAAGGCTGGACGAATCAGTTTTACAGGAGAAAGTGCACCAAACGTCACAGATCATCTTTACCTTCAAGAAGCTCGACCTGCTGGTGGACCAAAATCTGATCAATCTGCAAAATAGAAAGGCACAGTTTTAGTAAATCTTCATTATGGATGTAAATTTAATTGAATATTTTTATAAACGTTCCTAACTCTTGCATTTTCAGTCAATTTAGAACTTTTTTATTTACAGCTTCCTGCTATGTGAAACAGTTCATAGCAGCATATTAGAATCATTTCACGCTGTAAAAAGTGTCTCATCAGATCTACTTAAAAAAATGACTTCATCTGATAACAAATAACTGAACCAGTTTAATTCAACTCAAAAATGACTTTAATTGAAAGAATCGTTCATTCAAAGTATTTATTTAGGTTGAATAAAACTAGTTAATTTATTTGTTACCACATGAAGTCATGTCTTAAGTATATGGTTCTATCTAGCAACAAAAAAGCGTTCTGTTATTGTTACAAGCTTGACAAACAATAGCAGAACCCTTTTTGGTGCCAGATAGAACCATATACAACACATTCTCCATCAATCTGAAGAACCGTTTCTCCATGCAAAGGGTTCTTTAAGTGTTTATGGTTCTATATAGAACCATTGTCTTTACTGAAGAAGCCCTGAAGATCCATCTTTAAGGGTGTATGTGTGCATTAATTACCACAGCTTTGTTCTTATTCTTAGTAAATGCAGGCGCCACGATTTAACAGCTGCACTATTTAAGGTGGAACGGAAAATTCTAATAAGAAACCAGATTCCACACCTCTGACCCGCCAGGCCTAAACACCTGCGGCTAATAAAGCTCTCCTATCTGAACTATTACTAACTATAACCCTTATCTTTTATTAGTTTATTATACTGATACAGAGCTCAGGATTTCTGACTGCAGCTACTAATAAAACACACAGGTAGCTGAGATACGAACACTGTGTCCAAATCCATTCTTTATGATGTGTCCCAACATTTTCAATAATGCTGTATTTATTAAACAAGAATAAATAAAGATTAACAAAGTTCTATTAACTGATGTACTTGTATGTTGGATTAGACAATAGGGTGAGGATCTACACAACGATGTAATATATTGGACTCTAATACAATATATTATTATTATATTGCATTATACTGTTATGTATTAAATATATTGTTGCTGTCCAAAGAAAAATATGAATCTTTATTTTTTCAATTTTTACCTTTCTACATCATTTGAGTGTGACAGCTGTTGTTTACATTGTGTGAAAATTTCATGAAGATTGGACCAATAGAAATGCTCCAAAAATGCCTGGAATAATATCTCTTTACTTTAACTTACACTAAAGGGGAAGAGCGTTTTTACCCTCTGCTGTAAAGTTGGCATTTTAGAGACACTTGTTTTTCTCTGGACAGTAACAACATATAATACACTGTAACAATTTTTATAAGGTTTTCGTGAGTATATAATGATTCTAATATGATGACATCACTCCACAACTTCATAGATCTCAACTAATCAATATGAAGCTGTAAATGAAACAGAATGAGTTTGTCCACAGTGAAGAACAGAGACAGAGAAGGTTCTAAAACACTCGAGAAAGCTGGAGAACATCCAGAATGAAGTTCTAATAAAATTAACATCCAGAAAGAAGTTCTAATAAAATTAATATTCAGAATGAATATCTAATAAAATTAATGTACAGAATGAAGTTCTAATAAAATTAACATCCAGAATGAAGTTTAATAAAATTAATATTCAGAATGAAATTCTAATAAATTAATATTCAGAATGAAGTTTAATAAAATTAATATTCAGAATGAAGTTCTAATAAAATTAACATCCAGAATGAAGTTCTAATAAAATTAATATCCAGAATGAAGTTCTAATAAAATTAATTTAAGAAATGAAGTTCTAATAAAATTAATGTCCAGAATGTCTTATATTTGAAAAATGGTATCAAATCTATTGGTGAGAAATATGATAAATAGATTACAGTGTATAAATAAATTACAGTGTATTACTTGCTGTTCGGAATTTCCCAAAATGTTAAATATTGAATAAATGCCCTCTGCTGTTTACCTTACAGTATTTCAGCTTATACTGTATAAGTTATTACTCAATAAATCAACAGCAATTATTAATGTAACAAATTGGTTCTAAACCTTTGAACTATGGTGTATGTTAACATATTCCAGTGTGTATATGGGATAATACTAAAATGCCAAAAATTAAAAGTAAAGAATAAAAAAGAAACAAACAAAAATTTGTTTGATGTGGTTAGACTCTCACCTGTGAGAGGTATTCCAGTCCAGGTGGGGCTGCAGGTGGAGCATAAGCTGGAGCAGCAAAGCCATAAACTGGTGTTTTCTCCATTATTCGCACTGATAATGATTAAAAAATTACAGTCCAGTGTTACTACAGTTAAAACAAAAAACTGCCATAAAAAGAATATTTTGTTGTTAAAGTGAAATAATAAAATATACAATAAATTAAGTTAGACCTAAGAATATAATATGAAAAAATTTAAGAAAAATCTCTCAGTCCTGCTATTGATGTCTTGAAGAGGGTCATGTTGCTCGCCTAGTTCCCAACAGATTACATTATGGATTTTTATGAAGAACTTCTAGAAAAAAATTATTTAATTTCTACAACTGTGCAAAATTTCAGAGTTGTTCTATAAATAGTCGTTTAGTTATTAATCTTAAAATTTTACTTCAACAGGTTCTAAGTGTAAAGACTGAGTTTAACAATTTACAAAAGCAATGAACTGAGCTGAAATATTAATAATAATATTGCAGTTTAAATCAATGATTTTCATCCTCATTTTTGAAGGGTGTACTTTTTACATCTGAATGTGAAATCTTTAATCTTTAAAATGTAATCATTTTCCAAAATACTTTTTATAAATTTAGGTTTTATGTATGAGTACAACCGAACCTCCTCTCAGTACAACCAAAACCCTCCCAGTACAACCGAACCTCCTCTCAGTACAACCAAAACCCTCCCAGTACAACCAAACCTCCTCTCAGTACAACCAAAACCGTCCCAGTACAACTGAACCTCCTCTCAGTACAACCAAAACCCTCCCAGTACAACCAAAACCCTCCCAGTACAACTGAACCTCCTCTCAGTACAACCAAACCCTCCCAGAACAACCAAAACCCCTCCCAGTACAACTAAACCCCCGGTAGTACAATCGAAACTCCTCCCAGTACAACTAAAACTCCTCCCAGTACAACCAAACCTCCTCCCAGTAGAACCAAAACTCCTCCCAGTACAACCGAAACCTCTCCCAGGACAATCAAAACTCCTCCCAGTACAACCAAAATCCCTCCCAGTAAAACCGAAACCCCTCCTAGCACAACTGAAACGCCTCCCAGTACAACCAAAACTCCTCCCAGTACAACTGAAACTCCTCCCAGTATAACCAAAACTCCTTCCAGTACAACCAAACCTCCTCCCAGTACAACCAAAACTTCTCACAGTACAACCAAAACCCTCCCAGTACAACTGAAAACCCTCCTAGTTCAACCAAAACCCTCCCAGTACAACTGAACCTCCTCTCAGTACAACCAAAACCCTCCCAGTACAACCAAAACTCCTTCCAGTACAACCGAAACCTCCCCCCAGTACAATCAAAACCCTCCCAGTACAACTGAACCTCCTCCCAGTACAACCAAAACTCCTCCAAGTTCAACCAAAACTCCTCCCAGTACAACCAAAACCCTCCCAGTACAACCGAAACCTCCACCCAGTACAACCAAAACCCCTCCCGGTACAATCGAAATTTCCCCCAGTACAATCAAAACTCCTCCCAGTACAACTAAAACTTCTCCCAGTACAACCAAACCTCCTCCCAGTAGAACCAAAACTCCTCCCAGTATAACCGAAACCCTTCCCAGTACAATGAAAACTCCTCCCAGTATAACCAAAATCCCTCCCAGTACAACCAAAACCCTCCCAGTACAACTGAAACTCCTCCCAGTACAACCAAAACCCCTCCCAGTACAACTGAAACTCCTCCCAGTATAACCGAAACTCCTCCCAGTACGACCAAACCTCCTCCCAGTACAATCGAAACTTCTCACAGTACAACCAAAACTCCTCCCAGTACAACCAACACTCCTCCTATTACAACCGAAACCCCTCCCAGTGCAACTGAAACTCCTCCCTCTGCAGGTCGTCACTGGTCATGTGACCCGTGTCTGAGAGGAAGATAGTCATGGAGGTTGTGGATGAAACTAAAGGCTTAACATCAACACAGACGGACGCGACTGTACGACACACTGCAGGCGAAGAGGCTGAACAGATAAACAGTTGGTAATTGGTTACTGTGTAACGAGCTGATTTGCATATTCCGCCCCACAGCAATCAGATTGCGGTCTGACTGACCAGAGACGCATTTGACTACCAAGTGTAATGAGGCTAAAATCTTATCAGATCAGATACTGGACACAGGAACTGACCAGGTGTAAACGGGGTCCAAGTTACTCAGTACTTAAGTAGTTTTTGATCTGATACTTTTGTACTTTTACTCAAGTTGTTTTAATTGAAGGTACTGTTAGTTTTACTTGTGTCTTCTCTTTACCGAAGTATCAACACTTCTACTTAAATATTGATTCAGGCCACTCCACCCACCTCTGATTAAGACCGTCCATCACCACTAAAGCAGCTGATTGTTTATTACTAACACGCAGAATGTGCAGCTGTAATGATGATAGGAGATAATTACTGCAATTAACATGTCAATCAGAAATAATAAGCAGCTTTTCACACAGAAACACTTTCTAAAGGAGAAGTGTCAAATGAAGCATCAGTGGCTTTGCTTGTGTTAAAATATCAAAATTTTAAGCGTTTTCTGTGCTGACAGGCTAATTTAGAAGAATCTGACAATGTAATCCTAATAAAATACTTCTGCTAGTGATAACATTAATAACTATAACAATAATTAATAATAATACATAGCAGATGTTTGTCCTAAAACATTTAACAAGGTGAAGATTTTCCATAATAAAGTTTGCGATCTTAACTCTAAATCATCTCTAAATTATTTTTTAAAGATTCAGAAAGCGATTATTTCACAGAAATTAACTTGAGGCTACGTAAAGCTTTATTTACCTGTAGATTATTTTAGAGTGCGCATAACTATGAAACACAATCTGGTAAACTGCACAACTATTCTTATGTTCTAAAACCCAAACGGTAAATGTTTAAAATGGGTATATAAAAGGAAAACAGTTTAAGTTTAATTCCAGAGTGACTCACCTGTGCTGTGACTGAGTGGAGAGTTGAGCTCAAACTGGAGCACAGAGGAGAAATAAAGCAGTAAAACTGTGAATCGGTGGAGTAATAACTGCTGCAGAGCAGGGAGGAGCGTCACAGAGCTCACTGAGTCTGATAAAACTCTGGAGTCACTTCAGAGCTCAAGCCGGCAGCGCAGGCCTGAATACATTTTCGGGTCGGCCTGTGAAAAAGTGAGTAAGCTAACGTCCCGCGGTGTCGTAACATCAGTCGGTAGTGCAGTCTCACCCTGCTGATTACAACACATCCATAAAAGGTTTCCTATGCTAACCGTGCACTAGAAGACCTCTGAGAGACTGAAGTCTGATGTCCTCTCACATCTAAAGACAGTGTCACAGAGCTTTTAGTCACTGACTGAGATTTTGCAAAGACTGGGGATCCTGCAGTGTCACTGTTTACAAGACTGCAACTAGAGTTTTGAGTTTATTTCCCATCATGCACCTGGTGGGAATTTACAAGCAGATAAACCCTTTTTCTTCCACTCTGTAGTGGGACGGATGGGAAGACGTTGGCTGGGCGTGTAAAGATCTGGGGCTCAGTTCACTGTAGAGCTGTATATTCTGGCAGATCATCACCCAGCATCTTTAATTAACCTGTAAAATGTGCAGCTACTTTTTATTTAACATAAAGATTTACATATTTTTTACATATATTACATACTTTTTTCTCTCTCTCTCTTTCTCCCTCTTTCTCTCTCTTAACTCGCTCTCTCTCTCTTTCTCTCTCTCTCTCTCTCTCTCTTTCTCTCTCCCTCTTTCTCTCCCTCTTTCTCTTTCTTAACTCGCTCTCTCTCTCTCTTTCTCTCTCTCTCTCTCTCTCTCTTTCTCTCCCTCTTTCTCTCTTTCAACTCGCTCTCTCTCTCTCTCTCTCTCTCTTTCTCTCTCCCTCTTTCTCGCCCTCTTTCTCTTTCTTAACTCGCTCTCTCTCTCTCTTTCTCTCTCTCTCTCTCTCTCTCTTTCTCTCTTTCAACTCGCTCTCTCTCTCTCTCTCTCGCTCACTTCTGGCATGTCACTACTTGCATTAGCCACGACTTAAAACTTATGATAATATTGAACCCGGTTGATTTTGCCGTAGTGTCGAGACGAGAAAAAGACCGAGTTAAGACGGCCGTCCTGACCACCTCACACTAAACGATCGAGACGACGCGAGCGCGACGCGACTCTAGCAAGACCCTGATGATTTTATTCCGACAGTGGATATTTGTCTGCGACAGTGAAATTGCTTGAGAAGTCGTTTGCTGTGAGGGCGGCGTGAACTGTTGATTTAAATTTACATTCAACTGCATATTTGACTCAACATGAATGAAATCATTACTGTGTAAACACTTAAAGGTGCAGTGTGTGAGATTTACAGGATCTATTATCAGAAATGGAATATAGTAAATAAAACTATGTGTTCATTAGTGAATAATCAGCTGTAACTATGAATCATTCTGTTCTCGTTATCTTAGAATGAGCCTTCATATCTACATAAGGAGCAGCTCCTCTTCAACAGAGGCCGCCATGTTGCACCGCCATGTTTCTACAGCAGCCCAGAGCGGACAAACCAAACACTGACTCTAGAGGGCGCTTTTCATGTTTTTACACTGAAACGGAAGCATGAATTTGGTTTTTCAGATTGATGGAGAATGTGTTGTATATGGTTCTACCTAGCACCAAAAAGGGTTCTTCTATTGTGTGATGTCAAGGTTGTAACTTCTGTTTTGGTGATATAATCCTTTTCAAAAAGTGTCTTTATAGAACCTCTATATAAGATTATTCATCAATCTGATGAACCATTTCACCATGCAAAGACGCCTTTAAGCATGAAAATGGTTATTTGAAAGTTCATGGTTCTCTATAGAACCATTGTCTTTACTAAAGAACCTTTTAAGAACCATCTTTTTTAAGAGTGCAGGCTAAAGCATACTGCCATGAAAATGTTTATGGTCCATTTATGTCTCACCTTTGAAGACTTGATGCATTAAAGTGATGTTACAGGTTTGCTTTGATGTTTTCGCAAAAGCCCATTTCGGCTTTTAGTAAAAGAACATTGTGAGTACCAAAACAACTTCTTTACATATGATTTTTGTGTTTGGATGGTTATAAAACAACATACTCTACAAGACGGAATGTCACTTTAAACTTCCACAGTTACATCTTTTAACCATGACTGGAGATTCAACTTTCGAAAACTGGTGTGCTGATAACGAACCGAAGGCTTGAGGCAGTGGTGGATAGCAACCGTTGCTAAGCAGTGATTGGAGAGCTGAAACAAGTAGGCAGAGCTTGGTCTTGACAGAACTCACAGAAAATGAGCCAAATTTCATTATCTTAAAAAATTATGCAGAGTAAAAATTCTTCAGTTCAAACGAATTAAATACAGTCACACATTTTTAAAGGATTGTATTTATTTATTTCAATCTTCACTAAACAGAACCACCAGAAAAACCAGCATTGACGGTTCTGCACACAGCTGTACCTTTGTAAATTGAGATGTTTTGCTGTGATGTGTTTTACACACAGATCACTACATTAAAAGCTCTTCACTCCATTTTTACTCCGTCTGAGAACACCAGCTGTTCTTTAAACTGTGTAAATGGACCGACAGAATCAGTCCAAACTGACTTAGAATAAAATCTGGTTACACTAAAGTCGAGGAGGTTTTCTTCCGTTTCCTGTACGGTTCTTGTTTCAGAGGTTTCATTGTGACAGTGACGAAATCAGCATGAAGTGACTAACACCCTCACTTATCATGGAAAAAGCTGAAGATCCTCCTGCTGACCTTTTGATACACCATAAAACCTTATTCATATTCATGTGACAAACAATAAAAGTTAATCTGTCATTAGAGGAACAAAGCCTGTGCCAAAGATCGACACACAGCACACTCTAAAAAAGTGACGCGTTAAATGCCAGCAGACGTACGCGAGCTTCCTGTACGAACAACTTTATATGACCTTGTTCTGTTTCAGCTCATTCTGTGTCAAACGTCCTGTCCTTAACTGAACTCAGTCTAATTAAGGACAGAACGGGTTGTTTTCCTCTGTTTTATAAGTGTAGACGGGTGAACTGCACTATTGATGCATGGAACAGAGGGATACGCCTGTTTACATGGTCACACTACACCCATTTCCAAAGTTACACTGCACTCGTTTCCATGGTTACACTGCACCCAATTCCATGGCTACATTACACCCATTTCCATGGTTATACTACGCTTGTTTCCATGCCTTCACTACACCCATTTCCATGGTTATACTACGCCGGTTTCCATGGTAACGCTACATTCACTTCCATGGGTACGCTAGACCCGTTTCCATGGTTACACTACACCCATTTCCAAAGTTACACTGAACCCATTTCCATGGTTACACTACACCCATTTCAATGGTAACACTACACCCGTTTCAATGCTTACACTACGCCGGTTTCCATGGTAACACTACACTCATTTCCATGGGTACGCTAGACCCGTTTTACAGTATTCTACTACAATCATTTCCATGCCTACACTACACCCATTTACAAAGTCACACTACACCCATTTCCATGGTTACACTACACCCATTTCCATGGTTATACTACATCCATTTCCATGGTTACACTACACTCATTACAATGGTTACACTAGACCTGTTTACATTATTATACTACACTCATTTCCATTGTTACTCCATTTCCATGCCTACACTACACCCATTTACAAAGTTACACTACACCCATTTAAAAGTTACACTACACCCATTTACAAAGTCACACTACACCTATTTACAAAGTTACACTACACCTATTTACAAAGTCACACTACACCCATTTACAAAGTTACACTACACCTATTTACAAAGTTACACTACACCTATTTACAAAGTCACACTACACCCATTTACAAAGTTACACTACACCTATTTACAAAGTTACACTACACCCATTTACAAAGTTACACTACACCTATTTACAAAGTTACACTACACCCATTTACAAAGTTACACTACACCCATTTACAAAGTCACACTACACCTATTTACAGTTACACTACACCCATTTACAAAGTCACACTACACCTATTTACAGTTACACTACACCTATTTACAAAGTCACACTACACCCATTTACAAAGTTACACTACACCCATTTACAAAGTCACACTACACCTATTTACAGTTACACTACACCCATTTACAAAGTCACACTACACCTATTTACAGTTACACTACACCCATTTACAAAGTTACACTACACCCATTTACAAAGTTACACTACACCTATTTACAAAGTTACACTACACCCATTTACAAAGTTACACTACACCTATTTACAAAGTTACACTACACCCATTTACAAAGTTACACTACACCCATTTCCATGGTTACACTACACCCATTTCCATGGTTACACTACACCGGTTTCCGTGGTAACACTACACTCATTACAATGGTTATACTACGCCTGTTTACAGTATTCTACTACACTCATTTCCATGGTTATACTACGCCGGTTTCCACGGTAACGCTACATTCACTTCCATGGGTACGCTAGACCCATTTCCATGGTTACACTACACTCATTTCCATGGGTACGCTACACCTGTTTCCAAAGGTACACTACATTAATCTCTGTGGTTACTTTACACATGTTCTCATAGTAACACCTGCGTCAAAACAGGAAACAGATACAGCTCACAGTACGAAAGACTTCAGTCACTGCTGAGAGAGACGCTTTCACTCTCCACGTGACACGAGGCAACAACAGAGAACCATCATCCAACTCTACTCTCACATCATGGCCAATAAACTAGTCATTCATCATGAAATGTGATCATGTGATGTATAACGTATCTAATCTGCTGTCTCCTCCACCTGGACCTGAACAGTACTGCACTTTTCTATATTTCTACATAATTCAGTGTTATTTATTTTAATATATCTTGTATGTGTATGAGCATGTCTGATTTTACCGCCTCGTTAGTGTCAAACTCTCACACACCTGCTATCTGAGCGTTTCTGTTAGGGTTTGATTTGATTGCTCTCCATAAATGATTGATCGCCTGCCTGTATCTGGCATAGACAACCACCTCTGTGCTCTCCCTGTTTTCCAGAGGCTGGAAGTGAACCAGAAGGAGATGTTTAAATCCAGTGAAGGCCCAATAACACCTAACACCACTTTTACAGCCAGGAGTCATAAAGTTTTATCGCTTTAAGGGCCATTTCTGGTGAACAGGCACGAAGCTTTATCTACATACAGTCCTTGATGAACAAGAGCCAAAGCGACACTGCTGATCACCTGTAAAGCACAGTAGTACATATATAGTACAATAAGTACTAATAGTATAATAAGTACTAATACCTTTAAAATGGTTCTTCAGGGATTCTTTAGTGATGGCAAGGGTTATATAGATGATTTAAATATTTAAATATGTATATTCCATGTAGTGTTTATGTACACTCTTCAAAAACATGGTTCTTCAAGGGTTCTTTAGTAAATACCATGATACTATTTAGAACCCAGAACACTCAGAGAACCATTTGCATGATTAAAGAGTTCTGTGCATGCTGAAATGGTTCATGAGATTGGTGGAGAATGTGTTGAATGTGCTTCTATACAGAACCTTTTTGAAAAGGGTTCTGTTGTTACAAACTTGGTGCTATACAGAACCATATACAACACATTCTCCATTAATCTGAAGAACCATTTCACCATGCAAAGAACCACTAATGCATGTAAATAGTTCTTTGAGTGTTCATGGTTCTATATAGAACCACTATCTCTACTAAAGAACCCTTGAGCTCCCTTTTTAAATAGTGTTGTTTATCTTTGTTTACATACATTTTGTTCATAATTATAAATATAAAATTATAAGACATATGTGTAGACAGTAAATCCACCTTGCTGGTGAAACATTAATGAAGATTACATAAATTAAATATTAAATTTATAATCATTCACACTTTACAGAAACAGGTCTTTATGTCACATATTGACAAGTTAGCATTAGCTGGCTGGAAGTTCTGTACAGAAAGAAAGCAAACAGCTTTGCAAACCACGAAATCACAGTTATTTTTATTTTTAAAAATACTTACATGGCTAATTAGACGTTTCTATAATTAAATCATAATATTAATGATATATATCAGACAGAAACTGTTCATGTAAATAAATACAGCGAAATTATTTTTCCCGCCCGTATTTAGACTTTTCCCGCCTCTCCCGAGCTGCGATTGGCTGGCAGGATCTCTTCCTGCGCTCTGATTGGCTACCAGTTCTTCCTCACAAGCCGTCCACCTATCAGCGAGAGACGAAGGCGGGCTTTATTGGCCTTTAGCAGCAAATTTCAAAATTAAAGTTTTGAGTTTTCGCCAACTAGCTGACAGGTCGCGTCCTTAGAGCGAGTGTTTCCCACAAAAACGAGTAAAACCTACAAATTTCTACAAACCCGAGATCTCAGAAACACAGAGCAAAGAATTCATACACAAATACATTTGAGGTTTGACGAGACTTCAGTTGAAATTTTGTTAAAAACTTGGAAATAACTTTTTCCCTTCTTTGAGTGGATTTAGAGGTTGGTTAATTTTCTTTTTGTGTTATAAGTCGAAATGTTTGTTAGTATACATATTAATGTGCGGTTGTACGTTATTTCAAAATAAAAGCCCTCTAACAGGCCCTGTAACGTTTACTGTACGTTTCACAAACACTGATAAAGGACTTCAGTCGTATTCGCTGTGTCAATGTAATTTTCATTCTCAGATGCTTCACATTTGAAAAGGAATATAAAGAATAAGAGTGAAGAATTGTTTTCAAATGGGAAGACTTGAACTGAGCGTACATTCAAAATAAAATATTAACAACTTGTCTGAATTTTTTTACATTTCTTTAATTGTAGAATCATCAATATTCATTTCAATTTTAACATGGTTCTATATGATAACCAGTCATAACTCATACAGCCCGTTAATATGTGTGTTTCAGATCTTCTAGAAAGTTTGCTTTGTACGCTTGAATATGAACACATATGAATACATTCTGTGGACTGGAACTACATACATTCAGAATATCCTGTTGGAGAATGTTGTCTTTATTTATTAGGAAAATCGATTCAGCTCTTTTGCATCGCCTCACACAGACCGTTTGTACAAAAGGACGTATTCAGATATACAGATTCACACAATTCAAAATTCGCTTTGATGCGATAAGGTTGTGAGTCCATCCACACAGCAAAAATAAGGAGTGCTGTGACTGTGCCTGGTATTAATGTTAGTACATTAATGTTTTCATTCTCAGTTCATTATAACATTATTATAAAACATAATAAAAAAGTAAAATATTATAAACTTGAGCACAGCACAGTGGAGTTCAGCCTGACACTTTCAGACAACTATTATTACACCATTCTGGAAAATGGTGTGGAAAATATGATTATATTTAATGTAAGCGTGATCACTTACCTCACATTACATCATTATATGGATCAGTGGACATAAACATCATTGTATTTTGATAAATGTGGCACTGCTGGTGATTTTTTCTCTGTTCTGACTCAGAAAAAACTATTATACTAAATATAATATAAAACTATAAATATTGTGTATAGAGAATATGTCCTCTAATATTGTGATATTTTATTTTACAATGTGTGTGTGCAAAGTTTATTATTTCTCAAATTTTGATAGCTTTGCTACAGAGTCCCTAAGATGACGTAGTGATTATTTTTTAATAAGCTGTGGCCACAAATTAATTTACTGAATAAACTAATTACTATATTGAGGCCATGAGTTACTATATTGAGGCCACAAATTACTCAGGCCATAAATTTATACACTGAGGCCTGAATTACTAGACAAATCAATATATTCAGGCTACAAGTTACTATATTGAAGCCACAGCTTATACTGAAGCCATGAGTTACTATATTGAGGCCACAATTTACCATACTCAGGCCATAAATAAATATATTGAGGCCACGAGTTACTATATTGAGGCCAAAATTAATATACTGAGACAACAAATTAATATAGCAACTCGTGGCCTTAATATGTTAATTTGTGGTCACGCGTTATTAAAAAATAATCACCGTGTCCCGTTAGTGGCTCCGTAATTTGCAGTGGTCATGATTAAAGGTTTGAGTTGTGACAGTTTGAGTTGTGACAGTTTGAGTCAGACAGTTTGAGTTGTGACAGTTTGAGTCGGACAGTTTGAGTCGGACAGTTGAGTCGGACAGTTTGAGTTGTGACAGTTCGAGTCGGACAGTTCGAGTCGGACAGTTCGAGTTGTGACAGTTTGAGCTGGACAGTTTGAGTCGGACAGTTGAGTCGGACAGTTTGAGTCGGACAGTTTGAGTTGTGACAGTTTGAGTCAGACAGTTCGAGTTGGGACAGTTCGAGTTGGACAGTTTGAGTTGTGACAGTTTGAGTCAGACAGTTCGAGTTGGGACAGTTCGAGTTGGACAGTTTGAGTTGTGACAGTTTGAGCTGGACAGTTTGAGTCGGACAGTTGAGTCAGACAGTTTGAGTCGGACAGTTTGAGTTGTGACAGTTTGAGTCGGACAGTTTGAGTTGTGACAGTTTGAGTCGGACAGTTTGAGTTGTGACAGTTTGAGTGTTGGACAGTTTGAGTCGGACAGTATGAGTCGGACAGTTTGAGTGTCGGACAGTTTGAGTCGTGACAGTTTGAGTCGGACAGTTTGAGTCGGACTGTTTGTTTGAGCTGGACAGTATGAGCTGGACAGTTTGAGTCGGACAGTTTGAGCTGGACAGTATGAGCTGGACAGTTTGAGTCGGACAGTTTGAGTCGGACTGTTTGTTTGAGCTGGACAGTATGAGCTGGACAGTTTGAGTCGGACAGTTGTTGGAGCTCCTCTTTAAAATTAACTCTCTCCGCAGCTGCCGCGTTGGTGGCTGTGCGGAAGTGACGCAGCTGGAGTGCCGATGGCGGCCCGCAGTTCTGCCCGGGTTTCGCTGCTCTGATGCAGCTCGGCGGCGGTGGACAGGCGCTTCTGCTGCACCTCAACTCACGGAGCTTTCCACGAGCTTTTGGCGGGCTCGGATACAGTCCGTTTTCTGGAGCTCTTCTGTCCGGACGGCGCGGCCGAGAGGCGCTAACAGGGGCAGCCGGACGAGCCGCGCTAGCGGCTAACAGAAAACACGCTAAGCTAAGCTAATTAGCCTGGCTTAACTGGCTCCCTCCAGTGTTCGTATTAGCTTAGCATAGCTTAGGTCGGCTAGCGGCCGTTAATACGGCGCTGTTTGCGTGGCTCCGCTTTCAGATCCCGCTCGGTAAGAGAAATGACCGATTTTACAGCCGGTTTTTAACAGACTTTTCGGCGTTGGAAGCTGATCACCGCCTCCGGTTGGTCCAGCGCGGAGGCTGCGGGACTCTGAGCCCGGGCTGCTCCGTTAGCCGAGAGGAGAGGAAGCGGTGAGCTGGCCGCTTTAGCAACAGCTGTTTTCCCGTCTTTAACCGAGACTTTAACCGGGACGGGAGCGGTCCCGGTGTGCTGTCCCCTTGTCCAGAGCAGGTCCTCGGCTGCCAGCATGTTGAAGACACGCCAGTGTCTGCTGGGGATCCGCACTTTCCTCGGAGTGGCGAGCAGAATCTGGGGTTTCATCCTCTACATCCTCAGGAAGCATCTCAGAACGGTGAGCCCACCAGACAGACACAGAACACAGCGGACCGGTATCAGGATCAGGGCTGGAGGAAAAGTAGAACCTCTTCACTGAGTGTGGAAAATGTTACTCGAGTAAAAATGTAGTTTACTTCTGTATCAGAGGTGAAAGTGCTGTATATCATTTAGTTATACATCAAATTAAAAGGGGAATTCTACTTATTTCCCTAAAGTTCTGTGGTGGTGGTGATAGGAACCAGACGTCCACCTCTAAAAGCTCCCTCACAGAAAGTTCCTACATGAAATGGTTATGAATTCACTGCCTGATGACTGAGACACTGTTTTATGATAGTTTAGAGAACTTAAACTCCATTCATGGTGGAGGGATACATGCAGGGCGCTGTGAGGCAAAATAGTCCCCAAAGAAAACTTATTATTTCAGATTTTCCACTATTTTCCATCATCAACACTCCATATAAACTCAGAAGACTCGTGTAGGTTCACTGGTGGTTCTGGATAGTAAATAAAATGTCTATATCTGTGTTGTAGTCATGGCGACCCCTGGTTCCCATCACCACCACTGTAAAGACATCTGAACGCACCAAACCACTCTGAATCAATTTTTCTTTAATATTACCTTCAGTGACTCACAGTAGTATTTTAAATCATATTCTTTCTAGATTAACTTGAATACAGTTATAAATATGATACCTTTCAGCCCTCTACACATGTAATATTTCCACCAGGAGCTCTGACGGCACCGTGTAGGCGCATCAAGTTCAGGTTCTCCAGTGAAGAGCCCTTCGAGACGACTCTGCTGAGTCCTGTTTTAAAACTATCTTGATGTAAATCCATACATAAATGATCTACAGCAATCGTCCGATACTTTTTACAGGATTCTTATAAGAGTGCCAACATTTACTGTAGTTCACTAGAGAATACTGTACACGTAGAGGTGGGCGATATGGCATAATATAATCACGATATTTAAGGATGTTTTTTATGATACACGATATTTTATTTTATTCACATCTGATGTTAGAACAGACAAAGTGAGCCTATTAAAAATACTATCAAAATTATGAATTCAGTTATTTTCATTCATTATAAAGGTGGACAGTATGGCATAAGTACAATATCGTGATACTTCATACACAATATGGCACGATATTTATTTTTTCAGACGTCTGATCGGAGAAAAAGGAGCCAGTAGTGCTACATTGTAAACTGTGAACACTGTGATTTTTAATCAGTATTTGGCACTAAATCCAGTTAAACTGGACAAATTTTGTTCTCTTTATGATACAAGTACTGGTGATATACACAGTAGGTTCAGAAAAGGGTATTACATTTTATATTGTGATGTAATTTTCACAAAAGCAGTATATATTGTCATATTGCCCAGCCATAATTCAACATTTCACCCTGGGCTGCACTAAATCCAAATTGAATGGACTCTATTTTAATCAAACATACAGTTGACGAGTGTTTTTGAGTACTGTTGATATCCACAGTACACTCAGAAAAGCATGGTGTGATGTAATTCATCACAATAATGATAAATGTTGTCTCATTGCCCAGCTCTGTGTACTTATATTATAGATCACTCCAAAACAGCAGTACAGGAATGTTAAACAGAGCAGAAACTGTTATAGATGATCATAGAGTCCAGCACTGTCTCTGTAATATAACTGTAGGTGTTTTTGTTTGGGAATATTTCTCAGTCTTGTATCAATGCTGTATTGTAGGCCAAATTCTGGTCCATGGCTCCATTAAAATGGCTATTGTAGCCGAATCCTTCACCCTCTGTGTCAGAGATCGACATCAGAACCTTCCCCCCGGTTCAGCTGTGTGTGTAGAGACGTGCTGACCGTGTTTGTGTCGCAGGGCTGTTTTATGGTCCGGTATTTCTCCTGGACTCTGGACTCCTGTGGGTCTTACTGACCTGAGCACGAACACAAACAGTTCTGTCAGTGTTGTGTTGAAATTGTTACTACAGCTGAGCGTCGCTCGAATGGTTTATACACACTAATACATCAACAGAGATACAGAAACTGTTGAGGTGAAAATCACAGCTTTATAGAAATATATTTAAAAATAAAATAAATATTACTTGTGAATATATTTTATAAATCGCTCTAATCGTGTGTGTGTGTGTGTGTATGTAGGTGTATATATACACACACATGTATATATACATATGTATGTGTGTGTGTGTGTGTGTGTGTGTGTATGTAGGTGTATATATACACACACATGTATATATACATATGTGTGTGTGTGTGTGTGTGTGTGTGTGTATGTAGGTGTATATATACACACACATGTATATATACATATGTGTGTGTGTGTGTGTGTGTGTGTGTATGTAGGTGTATATATACACACACATGTATATATACATATGTGTGTGTGTGTGTGTGTGTGTGTGTGTGTGTGTGTGTGTAGAACCATGAACACTGAAAGAACCCTTTGCATAATTAAAGGTTCTTTTGCATCATGAAATCCTTCTTCAGATTGACGTAGAATGTGTTTTATATGGTTCTATATAGAAGCATTTTGAAAAGCGTTCTTTATAGCACCAAAAAGGGTGTCATCGTAACAATAGCAGAACCCTACAGCACGTTTTCCATCAATCTGAAGAACCCTTTCATGATGCAAAGGGTTATTTGGGTGTTCATGATTCTACATAGAATGATTTTCTTAAAGAACCCTTGAAGAACCATCTTTTTAAAGAGTGTACTGACGATACCCACGATATGCTTAGCAAAGCGTATTGTGAGTAAGTATCGCGATGTCAGTGAATATCGTCTGATTAACGCTTTGTTAACTTGTTAACTTTGACACTTTTTACTGTCTGATTGCTTTACTGATTGTTCTAGCTGTGAACCGTGCAGTCGGGCTGTTTCAGACTGTGATGTGAGCTGCACGTATCTAGAACGGCTGCAGATTTGTGGCTCTGGCTTTGATGCTGTTGCGTGTTGTGAAACAGAGCTGGTAGATCACCCACAGTTCAGCTGCTCCGCTCTGATGGATTCACCTTCAGTGGAGACACTTCTCCTCCTGCTGCTGTTCTACAGCCTGTAGGTTCTGCGTGTGTGTGTGTACTGATTGCAGTGAGTGAGGGTCTAGATAAGGGCCGTTCTGAGTCTGAACAACCCTCAGCTGTTGGTGTGTGTTTATGTAAGCAGCTCTGACGTGATGGAGGGATTTCTGCTCAGTTCTGGCTGGAACTCTTGTTAAATCTCATTGTTGCTTAATTCTGTTCTGTTTTTGGTTCTAAACATGAGTTTGCAGTTTTCTCACATTGGCACGTCTTTCCAAACGCTGCACGGTACGTCGTTTGTTGCAGATCCTGACGTTTATAATGGTTTTATTGGCGTCTATTAAAACATGAGCACTAATGATCTGATTATTGGTGACTTTTATTTGGTTGCGCAAGTTTGAATCATGTTCTCTTGACCATAAGGTAGTGCTGGGGGACTTAGATCCGGAGTACATGACGTAGACCAGCCCACCTTAAACTACAACTATACACTGATAACATTATGACCACCTCCTTGTTTCTACACTCGTTGTCCAGTTTATCAGCTCCACTTACTATATAGGTGCACTTTGTAGTTCTACAGTTACAGACTGTAGTCCATCTGTTTCTCTGATACTTTGTTAGCCCGCTTTTACCCTGTTCTTCAGTGGTCAGGACCCCCATGGACCCTCACAGAGCAGGTACTATTTGGGTGGTGGGTCATTCTCAGCCCTGCAGTAACACTGACGTGGTGGTGGTGTGTTAGTGTGTGTTGCGCTGGTCTGAGTGGATCAGACACAGCAGTGCTGCTGGAGTTTTTAAACACCTCAGTGTCACTGCTGGACTGAGAATAGTCCACCAACCAAAAATATCCAGCCAACAGCGTCCTGTGACCACTGATGAAGGACTAGAGGATGACCAACACAAACTGTGCAGCAGCAGATGAGCTATCGTCTCTGACTTTACATCTACAAGGTGGACCGACAAGGTAGGAGTGTCTAATAGAGTGGACAGTGAGTGGACACAGTGTTTAAAAACTCCAGCAGCACTGCTGTGTCTGATCCACTCGGACCAGCGCAACACACACTAACACACCACCACCACGTCAGTGTTACTGCAGGGCTGAGAATGACCCACCACCCAAATAGTACCTGCTCTGTGAGGGTCCATGGGGGTCCTGACCACTGAAGAACAGGGTAAAAGGGGGTTTGGATGAAAGTCTGGTTCCACTGACTTACATTAAAAGTAAAGAAGGTTTTTCCTTCTCCTGTAAAGTCACCATTTTGGAGATTTTGTTCTGAAAACAACGAAATGCTGCACTGAGATTGCCGAGGTCGCTCTCACTAAAGTTAAAAGTTTTCCCCAGTTTTTAATTTTATCTTAAATGTGTCCAATCATGAGGTCATTTTTATATCAAAATCACAATTTGATAGAATTTTCAAACCACAAACAGCAATTTTTTAAAACTACAGCCTGCATAATCAAAAACGTCATAAGTTTTAAGTGGCTGCACCACAGAGCTTGTGAACCACCTGTAGATGAGTTAGACCAATCAGTGTCAACCGAACACCCATGTTTTGTGACCTCATAACCACAACTTACTGGCACTCCAGCGCACTACATTCAGGGGTTGAGCCTCATGCCAGAAACAGTGGATATTCTGGTCTTCCTGGCAAAAAAAACGGGTCTGAACCTTAATTGATAGAAAATAATCGCAATTTAAATCGCAGTCGTGATATTAGTCAGAAAAATCGCGATTAGATGTTTTACCCAGATCGTTCAGCCCTACACAGTCATGGCTCTCAACGTGCTACAAACTAACGAAAGCACCACATACACACTAGTGAACACACACAGTAGGGGGCAGTGAGTACACTTGCCCGCAGTGGTGGGCAGCCCTATCCACAGCGCCCGGGGAGCAGTTGGGGCTTAGGTGCCTTACTCAAGGGCACTTCAGTCACGTACTGTCGGCTCAGGGGATCGAACCGGCGACCTTCCGGTCACAGGGCTGGTTCCCTAACCTCCAGCCCACGACTGCTAGTTGAGTAAGTCAAGGTCGCCGTTTCTCAGCGCCCACCTGCTCGGATACGTCCTCATCTTCCTTAATTAGCTTCTTCTTTCTCGTCTTCTTGGTGCCAACTCGTTTTTTTGCAGTTGTAATGTTTCCAGTTTATTAGAGAATTAAACACCATACATTTAGTTTAGTCTGATTTCAGACCTTTCTAGGTTTATTAGCAGCACAGAAACACAAACATAGGCCGTGATTTATAGCGCTCAGGGGTAACGAGGCCGCCGCAAGCTAATACGTTATCAGTTCAAGCTAATGAACTAGCTACTGTTACCCCTGAGCTAACAAGCTAGCCAGGAGCTAACATGCTATTAGACTGAGCTTACAGTTCATGAGAAACAATGAACTGCAGTGTTACCCCAAAGCTAACAAGCTAGCCACAAGCTAATTTATTACCCTTTAGCCAGTGAGCTAGCCACCAGCTAAGATGTTAGCCCTAAGCGTGCTCTGTCAGCGATTCACGATCCTGGCGTTAACCAGCTCGAGGCCAGCCGTGACTTTGTCCCTGCGTTTTAGTGCTGAGTCTCCTTGAAGACTCTCCTCTTACTCAGTCGGCCCCTGACAGCTGATTCGGGGGGATATAAATAGTACTGTAGTGCTGGGGGGCGGGGGGGCTGGGGGGCGCGGAGTCTGTAACTGTGTCTGCTTCATACTGGACTTACTGCACTACTGCGGTCGAGCAGACTGTGTGGTTCCTTTTCATCACAGCCTGATCAATATATTGGTTGACAGATCTGTAACAACACTGTACTTTCAGAGTCGGGTTTCTGTTTGTTTTCTGAACCGAGCTCTGGTTCTGTTCTACAGGCTGGTTTGGCTCAGATAAATAAACGTCTTCCACTAGAACTTTTTCAGCCCCACTAATGAAGTAAACCCATAAACTCTCACTGCTCTGCAGGCTGGTCCTCAGTCCGCTCCTCAGCGACTGCAGACAGTCCACGGTTTTGCTCCAGCCCAACGTGCAGCACACGGGTGTGAAGTAAATTTGTGGACGGGCTGGGGGCCGTGTGGACCGGACTCAGAACCACTGGCCTACCATTTATAAACTCTTCAGGGGAAAAAGCGCTGAGTGTGGGTGTGTCCCTAGCATAAGCCCCGCCCACTTTGCTACAGACTAGCAGTCAGAAAACTTTCTGATCAATAATAAAAATAAAATTATCACAAAACAGAACTACAAATAATTCTGGGTAACTACATTAGGACATTAGTACAACATTAAAAGTGAAATATAAAATTATCGTTAGGCCTGTGCTGATAAATGGTTAAACAAGTATAACATAGCTTGTTACTATTATTTATAATATATCAATAATAATAAAAATAACAATAATTATTGTTATTATTGTTGTTTTAACAGAAACACCTTTTCCCCTGTAATTTTGTGACGGTCTCTAACTCTGAAGCAGAAAGCAGATGGAGAGTAAACACAGTGACAGTGTGTGAGCTGAACCCTAATCTTTATTAGATTAAAATAAACACAGAAAATTGTCTTTGTAGTTTGTCGTCTTTAATTTGGTTACAAAACTCTTATCAATCCAGTAATAAAGAACAGAATAGGGGACGAAGTTTACGGTCCGGTGTAGCTTATCTAAGCCTGACTCTGCACTCTGAGGATGTTCTGTGGCTCAGCTCAGCACAACAAGCTCATCTACATTAGTACAGTAACTGTGGTGTTAAAGGGCCCATATGCTGCGTTTTCTTCGTATTCTGCGTTAAGGTGAGCGTCCACCTATAACGTTAGTTCACCACAACTAGTCTTAATTCATTTTCACATGACCACTTTTTAAACAGACTGCACCTTTAAGACTGATATATGTAAATGAGCTCTGTTCTGATTGGCTGCCCTGTGTTGTGCCTTGTTCGAAAAGCAGTCCGAGCTGAAACCTTTATAACTTCAGTGTGAGTGGGTGGGGCTAAACTGTGGTGGATATATGTAAGTACGCTGGTTTTTGTGACATCACATAAACAGCGAATACAGAAAGAGCTGCTTTTGCAGCCAAGGCTTCACAGACTGCGCAGACTGGGGACGTTTTGAAACTTTAACAGTGACACGTTAAACTGATCACTGTTCACTTTTATCACGATATGGGCCCTTTAATGTCAGTTCAGTTATGTTAATGTGTGGGAATACTAGTGTCCTCCTGCTGCTTGCATGAAGTTCATTAATAAATGAAAAGAGCTGGTTGTAAATGCGTTTTGACAGTCATTGGGTCAAATATGAGTCAATATTATCGGTTATTAGAATTTTAAAATCTGAATCAGCCACAAAACCTTTGTATTCAAATCAGCATAAAGAGAAGTTAAGGGCTCAGAGTGCAGACAGTGAGTACAGTAGAAAGGGACGTCTGCATGTGTAGCGAGTGTCTGAAGTGACCGAGTGCACTCGGTACATGAGGGTAATATGAGCCTGGTGGGGGTGGTGGGGGTGTTGGGAATGTTCCAGACTTCCAGGGATCCTCCGTCTAATCTGTGTGACGGTTAAGGACGCAGCTCAGCCGGGTCAGTCTGAGGGTTTTAAAGCGATAGTTCAGAAAAAAAATCAAAGCCCCCTCAGTTTCTCCCACCTTACCTGAAATGTAGTCCGTCAGCCAGTGGAACTACGAGGCTAACGAGTAATGGAAGCTTATACCCCACCAATTAGCATGGTGCTAACTGCGTCCCTAAATCACACACTCACCTCAAACGCACATCAGCTTCCTACTGAAACGCTCTGTTCCACCTTAAATGGTCCACCTGATGCTGTGTTTACACTGTTCCAGCATGTCAATGCGCTGCAATGTATCCCATTCTTTTTCAAAGTAAAGCGTCGGTTCCATCCAATGTGGCCGCGCGGAGCTTGATGGGTCCGACATGCCGAGTCTGAGGCCTGAAAACGTACCTCACGCAAGGACATGAACGCAGAGTTTGAGTTACGCAGACAGGGTTTCGCATTTTATAACGCAGCGCGAGCGAGAGCTGCATTCTAAATGTTACAGCAGGGGGCGCTAGAACGGCAGCCAAGCCTGTCCAAGCTGTCTCGTACTGCCAGCTTGTTTCCCAGCTGCCACAGCAGACGAGCAGCTGAGTCTCGCATAAAGACGACTTACATAAACATAAAAATATGTTCCATTATGGCCTTTCAACGCAGCCTGAGGCGCCAGAATGTAACTGCTGCACCATTTAAGGCGGAACGGAACGTTAAAATAAGAAAAGAGTTTCAGTTTTGTGCATCAGATTAATCTAATGCCTGATTTTGCTCTGTACTTTTGTCCATTTTTATATGACTGATTGATTGATTATTTCCTTTTGGTGGAAGAAAGAAAAGTTCTGTTAATTTGGTGGAAAATTCAGCTTATCTCTTTAAATTATTGGTGTGTTGACATTATGCATGTCAGTTAGGGTTAAAATGCAGGTGAACGGTTCTGTGTTGTGAACCGGGATGTTCGGTGATGCCCCTGGGACTTTTATCTTTCATTTTATTAAGAAATAAAGGGGATGTTTTTCTTTTTCAGCTGTTGTAATTCCATCTAATTTTATGTGATGTATTATTTTGCAATGTTTTATTTGGATTTGTTTGGTTACTTAATTTTTAATTAATCTGGTCCTACTTTATTTTCATTTTTAAGTTCTTTTTTTCACGTTTACTGTTAATTAAGACCATAATTAGTCTTTTTTGTATTATTTTCCTGTGTTTTCGTTCTTTGTTTCTATTCTCCTTTGCTTTGTTATGCTTGTTTATATTTGTTTCTTTATCAATAAAGCTGCATTTTAGTGTCAGCAAGGTACTATATACATAGCTGTTATTAGTTTTGTAGAATTAATAATTACAGGTGGGCGATATGGAAAAAGTGTAATATTATGATACTTTTTCAGGAAATTTTCACGGTACATGATATGCCACGATATTATTCTTTAACACATTTTATCAGTTACAACAGAGCAGAAAGAACCAGTAGTGCTACATTTTAAAAAATACTACCAAGAACATTATTCAAACTTTCATAAACTATGTTGCAGTAAATCCAGTTAAACAGGACTAATTTTGCTCTCTTTATAATGAAACATGCAGCTGGTCAGTGTCAAGTACTGATGATAAACACTGTATGTTCAGAAAAGTGTATTGTATTGTGACATCATTATCACGATAATAATCTCTCTCTTTTTCTCTCCACAGATAATCCAGTATCAGACAGTTCGTTATGATCTGTTACCTTTGTCTCCTGCATCTCGAAACAGACTTAGTGAGTTAAACCTTCTCACTCTAGAAATCTAGAAATTTCCCTCACTCAAACGGCTGCTGACTGTGTTTGTCCTGTTTGTGCAGATGCAGTAAAGAGGAAGATCCTCGTGTTGGATCTGGACGAAACTCTGATCCACTCTCACCACGATGGAGTGCTGAGGCCTACAGTGAGACCTGGAACACCGCCAGACTTCATATTGAAGGTACACACACTAAGCCCAGTCACTCTGACTGACTGTAATACACTACAGGAAGTGTAGGGGGCGATATGGCTTTTACTGTTTCATTTAAAAAGCTCTATAATGTTCATATGATCCACACAGTCACTCTGACAGACTGTAATACACTACAGGAAGTGTAGGGGGCGATATGGTTTCTACTGTTTCATTTAAAAAGCTCTAATATTACTGTGCTTTGCCCATTTTAATGATTGTATTTTCTCACTCTGTGTTTAGGTGGTAATAGATAAACATCCAGTGAGGTTCTTTGTCCATAAAAGGCCACACGTCGATTTCTTCTTAGAAGTGGTAAGTGTCTCTGTAAATTTACGAAACTGTGCAAAAGTCTTAGGGTCCAGTTCCGCTTGTGTTCAATTTTTTTTTCTTTTTTTGTGAGAGAATTTACATTTATTTACATTCAATTAATTAGACCAGGTGGGCCAGGTAACCGTGAATACTGGACGAGGAGAGGGCAGAACAATCAGTGTTTTATTTGTATTTATTCTAATGTTAGTGTTTTTGTAAACAAATGAACAGTTGCCCCCCCGGATAAACAGCTTTACAGGTCACGTCCTCAGATGAACTTTTTCACCGTACTGTATGTGTTCAGTCTGTGATAATAAGTCATTTTCTTTGTTTATTTACTCGTATTTATTTATTAATCCGTGTTTGTTTGTGGTGTTGATATTCACTCTGTGAGTGAGTCGTGTAAACAAAGCAGAGCTATATCAGCGTTTACAGTGCAGCGTGTCTGTGATTGTTCGGTGCTCTTTACTGCTAATGTTAGCGTGTTTATGAGCTCAGAGTGTTTATTTAATCTCTGTGACTCGTGGAGCGAACAGCACATACTAACATACAGCTGGACAAACAGACCCAGCACTTCCATTTCAGTCCACATGGGGGCAGAGTTTTATTTCACTGTCAGTAAACTTTATGAACCTTTTTAGGAATCAAGATCTTTCACTTTTCAGTTCAAATGCAGAAGAGATCATAAACTGGACACGTGTGTACATCTGACCCCATGCTGTTATTAGAAATGTAGTAATAACAGTAGTAATAGTAATAACACATTTATAACATGCTTTTTTTAAACCCAAAGCGCAGCAAACCAATAGTTAAACAATGTAGAACCAAATATAAAATAAAATATCATGTGTTCTTGAAAGTTAATCATAAAAGTTATGGAAAAGAAAGCAAAAAGTCAACTGTCCTTAAAAATCTTAAAATGTCACTTTTTGACGCGTTCTTAGGTAAGACCATTCTTAATAGTGTCAGGTAGACGTTCCAAAGTCTGTGCTTTTTATATGTTAATATGGTTAGAAAAGTAATAGAAGTCATTTATTGCAGGTTAAAGAAACAGAACATTTATTTAGTTCTAGAAGGAGGTAGAAAAATACTAAATTAATAATTCATGTATTATTTATAGTAATTACATAAACAGTTTAATATTAGTGGTTATAAGTGGTAAATGTTTAGTAATAACAGTAGTTCATCCAGTAATGAGAAAATGAATTAATGTGTGATTATTGTATTTGTAGCAGTTAATTAAAAAGCAGAGATTTATGTAGTAATATGTTCGTAATAGTAATAAGATGAAATTAGTTATTGAAATATGTTTAGTAGTAATCTTGGTTGTTATTGTTTTTGTTATAGTGTTATAGAGTAATAGGTGTTTTATTGAAGCTCTGCTAACAGGGTCTTTGTTCCATGCATCAGTGATTGTGATTGGTCAGATTTTAGCCTATAGCTGATCTGGGGGCGGGGCTAATGGTTCCAGCTGGGAGTTTGTGCTGATGGTGGTTTTTCTGGTCGTGTCTGAATTAAGCTGTGGTTGAAATCTGAGCCTCTGCAGTTCTCAGTGCTCTGATCTATTGTACAGGTGTGTGTGTGTGTGTGTGTCTGTGTGTCTGAGTGTCTGAGCTGACTTCGGTGTGTGTTTTGTGCAGGTGAGTCAGTGGTACGAGCTGGTCGTGTTTACGGCCAGTATGGAAATCTACGGCTCCGCTGTGGCAGATAAACTGGACAACAACAGGGGCATCCTCAAACGCAGATACTACAGACAGGTAACAGCACTGCTTTGATTTGAGCAGTGAGACGTAATGTGAACGTAGCCTGAGTTACTGTTTTAACGTTATATGTGTTGTATGTTATGTAATTTATAAAGTTATGTACGTTACGCAAGTAATTTAACTTTACTAGAACAGACACAGTCAGCAAACCCACTTCATGACCAGCAGAGGGAGCTGGTGTGACTTCAGTGCTACACTGACAGCTGCAGCATTTGGACAGATTCCTTTAATTTTGCGGTTTTCAGTGTACAGAAAGGCCAAATCCAGTGCTATTAAAAGATCCAGCCTGTGAATGTCCGTGGTTACGTCCTCCTGAAGTCGCCACGCTGCGTTTTGGAATGCAGAAGTAGTCACGGAGAACTTCGTCTGGGTCTCTTTGGTGGACTGGAGACATTAGTGTTGGTCACACTCTGCATACGGCTCACTGCTTTTGGGCAGAATCCAACACAGCCTGCGTCTCTATAACCGTCGACTTAAAATGAATGTGAATAATTACTGAGTGTGTTTACATGCATTCAGTAATCCGATAACTGCAGAAAATCTGATTTTATCAGGAATCCGATCAACGCGTTTACATGTACTTGAGTAATCAGATAATGGGAAACTCCAGGTCTACATGAGTCAGACAGTAATCAGATTTCTGCTTTGCAACCAGCCAATAAACTCACAGAAGAAGACGTGACGTAAAGGTAACGTCGCGCCGCTTTACCTGAAAATAGGAACAAACATCATCTAGAAGATCAAGAATATTCAAATCCTTTATTTCGTGTTTGGTTTCAGCGCCGCTCCAACAGAGTTTTGCTGCATCTCGCGACATCCACCGTCTGATTATTGAGCTAAAATCCAGCCTCTTTATTGGATTTCTTAATCAGGTTTCTAGATCGGAGTATGGTGTTTACATGACCTCTTCACTAATTGGATAACTGCAGAAATCTGATTATGATCGGATTATTGAGTGCATGTAAACACACTCATTGTCAGTGAACGGCTTTTATACGATCACTCAAAAACTGCTTTACACCAAACTGCTGAACTTGATTGAAGCCTTAAAATAAACAAAAAGCTGTTTGGCAGTTTGTGGATAATTAATGCTCGTTAGTTTTCTGAAACTGATGTAATGGAAGGGCACACATGCAGAGGTCTTAATGCTGGTGGGTGGCACTGGGTGGCCAATTAACAATTCAGTCAACTACCAGTGAATTCAAACCGGAATCTGGATTCAAACTTTGCTTTATAGGATTTTTTTTGCCTTTATTGTGCTTTTTGGCTCGGTTTCCCAGACAGGACTGGGCTTAACCCCTGTCCACTTACAGTTCACACAGGTAATCATCGATCCATTCAGCAAGGGACATCAGCATCCAGTTTTTTTATTTTGTCTTATGTTTTTACGGTTTTATGCTTTTGTTTTTGTTTAAACACTGTCTGTGTTTACATGCAAAGATTTTCTCCAATCTGATTAAATTCATTCACATTATAGATTCAGACTCTGAGGTGTTTATTCTCACTCTACTCAACAATCTGATGAAAATCTCTGTTTACATGCTCACTACAAGTAATCAGATCCAAAATTACACGCACACGTAGAGAACCGCTTAATGTAGACGTTACCATGACAACCAGCATCACGTGAGTCCAGTCAGAGTGAGATGAGCAGCAGTGAGCAGTGCTTGTGTTTTTAACTGCTTTAAAATGATGTCAGACTCAGGAAAACGTCCTTCACATGTCCTTATTAAAGAAGGCTGAGAGGAAGACGTCGTGTTCTGAGACACATAAGCTGGACGTCCGTCCCACCGCCGTCTTTTAAAGATCAGAGCATAAACTTCGTCTCCTCTGCAGACCAGTTTCTGCTCCGCCATGTTGAACGGTATAAACTTTCACTGACGCGGTGAACATGATCAGAACGGACTTAAACTTTCCGATAGGGAATGTAATCAGATACAGGCGTTTACACGGATATTATTCTTCTATTTAACGGATTATTTACAGGATTACCCACCTCGATCAATCAGATAGACACTGTATTCTGAATGGCCTCAATCGGACTAGACTATTCCAGTTTAGGTGTTTACATGGATGTATTCTATTCCCAGTGAGCTGTTAGTTGGATTAATAACAGATTATCAGGCTGCATGTAAGCATGGCTGCTGTGAGCTTCTCTGAAGTCTTCACTGTGATGTATGAAAGTGTATTTTATTCTGATTTACTGTAACTTTTTGTGTTTACAGCACTGTACGCTGGATCTGGGCAGTTACATTAAGGACCTTTCAGTAGTGCACAGCGACCTCTCTAGTATAGTCATCCTGGATAACTCACCTGGAGCCTACCGCAGTCATCCAGGTACACTGCAGCATACCTGAGCGTTCACACAGACACTCTACAGGACGCAAGTAATGGAAGCAAAAGGATTTTTTAACTGAAGTCCAATAGCCATGAACAAATCCATCAGTCAGTTGTAATTACATGTTTCCACCAAAGGGGGCTCCACATTACATCAAATTATGTAAACTCTTCCAAAAGTGATGGCTGAAGTTTCCGATGTTTCCTTCAGCTGCTGAGGCTGTCAGTCTCAGAGTCGGTGAAAGAGTTAATTCAGAGGAAACTAAAACCTCAAAATAAAGTCAGAATCCCACAGTTTAACTAAACAGGACGTGATACAGTTTCCCTGCTGGGCCACTGTTTTATTCAGCGCTTCCTACCACAATAATAACATCGTGACAGATGGGTTCTACATTTCAGTGTAGAGATACGACGTTAAAGGGCCCATATCCTACACTTCTGTGGTATTTGATTGTTTCCACAGAGGTAAAGTCCAGGTTTGTGTGTTTTTATGTACCAAAAACAGTCATTATTAGTGTTACATGACATTTTCCAACTTCTCTCCATCCTTTACAGTTAAACAGGCTGTGCCTTTAAGACGGATATATGTAATTGAGCTTGCCTACTTTGTGCCTCGCAGTCTGTGCTGAAACACTCGACATCACTTAAGCAGAAGTTGCCATGTATGGACTGTATGGACTGAGTGAACAGTATATTTTTAAACCTTGACAGTTTTTATGCACAAACTCTCTTATTTAAATAAAATGTTTTTTTCATGAGATGGGCCCTTTAATAGTTAGAAACACCCACCTTGTGCTTCCACTAACTGGCCACTTTATAAGAAACACCCACCTTGTGCTTCCACTAACTGGCCACTTTATAAGAAACACCCACCTTGTGCTTCCACTAACTGGCCACTTTATTAGAAACACTCACCTTGTGCTTCCACTAACTGGCCACTTTATTAGAAACACCTACCTACTGGATAAACTAATCTGCTGGAAAACTGACCCTTTAATATGAAGCTTGTAGTGATTAGCTGTTAGTAAATGAATAAACTGTGTTCTGCAGGATAACTAATAATAACTGTAAATAATTAGATACATTGTGTATTATTATTATTATTATTATTATTATTATCATTATTATTGTTATTAGAGAAAATGTGCTGAACATTGGGTCAAATCTGTGCCCGCTGTTGGTATATTCAGAGCTAAATGAAACGTGAGAGAAAATAACGCCTGACTTGAGAGATTACTTATTATTTATATCTCCAATGTACTTCAAAAACGTCCAAGAAAATCGTATTTAATAACTCCAGAAAATGCTGATTGTAACCCCTGTAAAATCTGCACTGTGTCTGTCTGAAATGTCCTGAGTTAATCTGACTGAGTTTGCTCTCTGCACAGATAATGCAATACCTATAAAGTCGTGGTTCAGTGACCCCAGCGATACGGCCCTGCTGAACCTGCTGCCCATGCTGGACGCTCTGAGGTACTGAATCCCAGCATGCACTGGGGCAATTAGACCTATTACTGAGTAATTATTTTTCAAAGGGATGGAAGTTACTGGAGTGCTGTAAACATGAAAACACCATTTATAGAAACTGTTTATTAGAAACACCCACTTTGTGCGTCCATGAACTGGCCACTTTATTAGAAACACCCGCCTTATGCTTCCACTAACTGGCCACTTTATTAGAAACACCCACCTTGTGCGTCCACTAACTGGCCTCTTTACTAGAAACACCCACCTTATGCTTCCACTAACTGGCCACTTTATTAGAAACACCCACCTTGTGCTTCCACTCACTGGCCACTTTATTAGAAACCCCCCATCTGTGTGTCCACTCACTGGCCACTTTATTAGAAACACCCACCTTGCGCTTCCACTCACTGGCCACTTTATCAGAAACACCCACATTGGACGTCCAAGGTACTAATGCACTAATGCTCGCTCTCTCTCTTTCCCTCCCTGTGCAGGTTTACCTCGGACGTCCGCTCCGTCCTCAGTAGAAATCTGCACCAGCACCGGCTCTGGTGATTGGTCCAGCCGGTCCAGCCCAGTCCTGGACCTGCCCCCTTTGGTTTTAGCCTCCGCTAACACGCTAGCCGTTAGCCTCTCCACCGCTGGAACTGTCCACTCTGACGGTCGGCCGACCCTCTGGGTCACGTGATGAACTTCACCAGTCAGACTGGAGGGAGAGGAGAGACGCACAGACTGAAATCAGAGCGGAGAGGCCAGCTGTTTTATTCTCGCTCTCCTTTTTTCTTCTTTTTTGATTTTTTTTGTTTTTGTTTGTTGTTTTTGTTTTTTGTTTTTTGGTCCGGATTGGAAACTGCCTTACAGCGTGAGTCCCGCAGGGGCGTGCATGACCGGAGTGAGTCTGTAAAAACTGTTAAACGTGCGGGAGAACGTTCCCTTCGTCATGTTGATTTTATTCTCGGACGTCTCCTCCTCTGTTGTGAAGAGAAATTTGGTAAAAAATCAGTTTTTCATTCATCGTCATAGCACTTATCTTTACCCTCTTTTCATCCCTCCATCACTCTCTGTCCTTTATCCCTCTCTCTCTCTGACTCTGCAGGACTTTCAAGTACATTTATTGTCGTATACATGAAGAGCAGGATGCTAAAGCTCATCTAAAACCTTAAAAGCGATAGCAGATCTGATTTTCACATTAGCACAGGAGCTAAAAGGCGAATGTAGCTAACAGGTAATGGAAGCAGACACCCCACCAATTAGCAACAGGGTGTTTTACAGTGCTGCTTTAAGGTGGAGCGGATTCCAGCAGAAAGCTTGAGAACAGCGCCAGCTTGGCGAACACGTTTAAGGCGAGCGTGTGATGATTCAGGCATGCAGTTAGCACCATGCTAATTGGTGGACTATAGCCTTTCATTACCTCTTGGCTACATTAGCCTGAGTTTAGCTGCAGTATCAGTGTTCAGTCTGTGGTATTAGAGCTGCACGATTCAGACAGAATGCAGCATCGCGATTAGACCGATGTGCGATATACGTACCTGTAAACGTTATTAATTATTCGTCGGATCGTGCGACCAGCCTGATTTCATCCACACGCACCGAGGGCGTCTCTGATTGGTCTGACGCTCTCAGCACAAAGCTTATTTACATATTTAATATCAGTATTGTACAGATTGATATCATGATAACAAGCACTGTATCGTGCAGCTCTAATACACAGTAACACCCACCTGCTCCTCCTCTCTCTCCTTCTCTCCTCTCCTCATATCTTCTCCTCGTATCTCTCGTATTTTCATTTTTCTTCTCTTTTTCTTCCTTTTTAGTCTCTTCTTGTTATCCTCTCCTCTCCTTTTCTATTCTTGTCTTTTATTCCCTTTTATTCAATCTTCTCTTTTGTCTTGTCTTTTTCTCCTCCTCTCCTTCTCTCCTCTCTCTAACCCCAGCCATCTCAGGTATCAGCTCATATGAACTGAGTGTTTCTGGCTGTTCTGTTTGATCTGTTTCAGTATTGAGTTCTGGTGGTTCTGAATGATCCAGAAAAGCCACCTCAGCAAAATCCACCAATCTAACCCTAATTTAACCCAGCAGAGTCCGGCTCAGTCCGGCTCCGGGCCTGCAGGGCGTCAGTCCAGCACAGTTCAGTGCCGATTCTCCTCAGCAGTTCAGTGTCCTCTCCAGGTCGCGGCTGATTTAAGCTAAAGGTGCTGGCCTGTTCAGGGCGAGTCTGGATGATTGAGAGATTGTCTTCATTACTATGATTTATTTTTTTATTTTTGTCCTCTAAAACATGGAGTGTCGTCATGGAGACGGATCAGTATGGACTCTTCGGGAGACGCTGTCGTCTTCGCTTCCGTTTCTCGTCCCATTGGATCTCACAGTCGTTCACAACTGGAAGCGTTTTTGAGCTGTTTCAGTCCCTCCGAACGCAAAAGACAAAGACGCACTTACTTTTCTCTGTTTTCTTCGTTTTTGTACCGAGGACTCATTTGATTGGTCAGAAAAGTAAATCTCCCGCCCACCGTTTCCTTCAATCATGCGGCATTCGTTCTCATTCTCTCTCTCTCTCTCTCTCTCTCTCTCTCTCTCTCTCTCTCTCTCTCTCTCTCTCCCTCTCTCCCGTATCGTACTGGACAGCTCTGCCTGTTTGAGCAGTACAAAGCGAAGTGTCTGAGCGCACTGGTCCTCAGGTCTGTGCGTATTTCCAATAAAAACTCTTGTCACCGTGGATCTGCCGCTTTTCTTGTGTCGCTTTTGCTTTTAAAGCTTATAAACGTCTAACTAGACGGCACTGCAACGATCAGTCGTCAATGATACTGATTACAGCACAGTGTTGTTTAATTAACCCTGTTGTTATCTTCAGCTGTGAGGACCAGTAATATTATTCCCTGGTCAGATCGACCTGCTTCATCTTTAACCATCAGAGAGTAGTTAAAAAAAACATTTTTCTCCATAATTTATCTCAATGTCAGTTTAATCAATACTTAGTGTTATCACGTTTTTCACTCATTACAGATCATGGTTCACTTTTAATGATTCATTTTTTTCTGTACATCAGCAAAAACTAGACTAGACACTAGACTTTTTCAACGTTGTTGGCATGTTTTTTTATCATTATGTTGATTAATACAGTCTGGCTCAGACTGACCCTTTCAGGTCTAATAAGCCATAAGTTCAGCAAAAAAGGTTTCAGGCTCCAGAAAATTATTTTAAATAATTTTCCTGTATTTTTAAACTTTGAAATTAGTCAATTTGACCAACATGTGTGACTGTAATACACTACAGGAAGCGTAGGGAGCGATATGGCTTCTACTGTTTCATTTAAAAAGCTCTATAATGTTCATATGATCCACACAGTCACTCTGACAGACTGTAATACACTACAGGAAGTGTAGGGGGCGATATGGCTTCTACTGTTTCATTTAAAAAGCTCTATAATGTTCATATGATCCACACAGTCACTCTGACAGACTGTAATACTCTACAGGAAGTGTAGGGGGCGATATGGCTTCTACTGTTCCATTTAAAAAGCTCTATAATGTTTATATGATCCACACAGTCACTCTGACAGACTGTAATACACTACAGGAAGTGTATTATGATTGTGGTATTGTGGATTCCTGTGCTGTTTTTCTTTATATACAGTATTTAACCATATTGGTGGTTTCAGTCAGTAGCAGCTGGTGGACCAGCCGGTGGATCAGCCCAGCAGGACGAATGAAAACGGATCCAGAAAGAAATTTAATATATGCTAATGGTAAAGTAATAGAACGAAAACAAATCAAAGCCATCGACTCTGTGTTCATGTGTACTTTTCTGCCAATAGAGTGACTGACACAGTCATAATTGTGGATCTAAGCAACTGCTGACCACTCAGGGCAGGAAACGGGCCTGACCGTGACAGTACACTGCCCGATAACTGGAGGACGGTGACGTCTCCACTTTTCCTTCCAGCTGTAGATCGAACGTCAGACTGTTTCTGATTCGCTGAGACGGTCAAACACAGTCTGCTCTCTAAACAAACACTTCACACACAGATAAACACACTGTATTGATTCAAACGAGCCAATTTTGGTGCAACAGCAGCAACACAGAACACACTGTCCTTAACACTGTCCATAACACTGTCCTTAACACTGTCCATACAGAGGAGCCGATATAGTGATTCAGGGGCGCCAGCTAACAGACAGGCATGCACTCTTTAAAAAGATGGTTCTTTAAGAGTTCTTTAATAAAGACAGTGGTTCTATATAGAACCATGAACACACAGAGAACCTTTTGCATGCTTACATGGTGAAGTGGCTCTTCAGATTGATGGAGAATGTGTTGTATGTCGCTGTTGTCGGAAGAAAACCTTGTATTCCCAAAATGGTAACTTTACAGGAGAAGGAAAAAACATACTGTACTTTTAATGTAAATCAATGGAACCAGACTTTATTACAAGTCATTTTGGATCAGTTCTTTTGGTCCATTTATCATGAAATTTACATACAATATAAAGGGCAATAGGCATTTTCAAACTGTGTCAAAAACTGAAAAACGTCAAAAATGGAGAGACAAGGTTTTGTTCCGACAGCAATATGGTTCTATATAGCACCGAAAAGGGTTCTGCTACTGTGATGAAGCTTGTTATGATAGAAGGACCTTCTTGGCACTACCTTGAACCATGTACAACACATTCGCCATCAATCTGAAGAACTATTTCACTATTAAGCATGCAGATGGTTCTGTGCGTGGTCATGGTTCTTTTTTAAGTGTTTGGGCCCCTGGAGGCACATTTTTACATTTTAACGCTGCAAATAATGATGATTTCTAATAACCATAACATTCCTCATTTTGAGTATGTTGTTAGATTATTTATCTTGGACAGTTTTAGTAATTGTATCTGGTGAAATGATCTCGCTGTACTGATAGATCGTCTTGCTTGTTTTTAAGAAATGATGCTGAAAACAATCATTGCCTGTCCTGATAGTGGAATAATCTGCTGAGGTGATTTGGCTCAGTGAGGTGATGAGCAGGTAATGTGGTCCTATTACATTTCAGGAGGACTAAATACTCACTTTTTCTGAGTGATTACTCAACACTGGAGCATTAGCGTTAGCACTGTGTGCTGCTGAGTCTGTGCGGTGCTCAGTTCATATTGAAGAATCTCCTTTATAACATGTAATTATCACTTTATTGCCTTGTTCATACTAGGCATGTAACAACATGGAATAGTCGGTTATAACCATATATATATATATATATGGTTATAATGGACTATTCCAATGGTTATACATCGATCAGGCACAACATTCTGACCACCTCCTTGTTTCTACGCTCATTGTCCATTTTATCAGCTCCACTTACTATATAGGTGCACTTTGTAGTTCTACAGTTACAGACTGTAGTCCATCTGTTTCTCTGATACTTTGTTAGCCCCCTTTTACCCTGTTCTTCAGTGGTCAGGACCCCCATGGACTCTCACAAAGCAGGTACTATTTGGGTGGTGGGTCATTCTCAGCACTGCAGTAACACTGACGTGGTGGTGGTGTGTTAGTGTGTGTTGCGCTGGTCTGAGTGGATCAGACACAGCAGTGCTGCTGGAGGTTTTAAACACTGTGTCCACTCACTGTCCACTCTATTAGACACTCCTACCTTGTCAGTCCACCTTGTAGATGTAAAGTCAGAGACGATAGCTCATCTGCCGCTGCACAGTTTGTGTTGGTCATCCTCTAGTCCTTCATCAGTGGTCACAGGACGCTGCCCACAGGATGCTGTTGGCTGGATATTTTTGGTTGGTGGACTATTCTCAGTCCAGCAGTGACACTGAGGTGTTTAAAAACTCCAGCAGCACTGCTGTGTCTGATCCACTCAGACCAGCACAACACACACTAACACACCACCACCACCGTCAGTGTTACTGCAGTGCTGAGAATGACCCACCACCCAAATAGTACCTGCTTTGTGAGAGTCCATGGGGGTCCTGACCACTGAAGAACAGGGTAAAAGGGGGCTAACAAAGTATCAGAGAAACAGATGGACTACAGTCTGTAACTGTAGAACTACAAAGTGCACCTATATAGTAAGTGGAGCTGATAAAATGGACAATGAGGGTAGAAACAAGCGCCATGTACATTAATGACGTCAGTGAGCGTGAACAGCCAATGAGCTGCTCCGCTCGCCAACCAATCAGCACTCAGTAGCAGTAATGCCCGCCTTCTGCTGCCCAAAACCAGAAACCAAAACAGAGCACAATTGTGGCCAATAAACTAGCGACGTTCAGCAGTTAAGAACATGGTACTGAATGCTGACTGGACTCTGTACGCAGGGGCAGTGTTTGCACAGCACTCTTAAAAAAATGTTGTGCAAAGGGTTCTTTAGTAGAAAATGGTTCTATATAGCACCAGAAAGGGTTCTTCTATTGTTACGATGTCAAGCTTGTAACAACCGAAGAACTTTTATCAAAAAGGTTCCATATAGAACCATCTACAGCACATTCTCCGTCAGTCTGAAGAACACTTTCATGATGCCAAGAAGCTTTTAATCGTGCCAATGGTTCTTTGCGTGTTCATGGTTCTATATAGATCCATTTTCTTTTATAAAGAACCCTTGAAGAACCATCTTTTTTAAGTGTGGACCTAACCAAAAATAAGCCTACTGAAAAAAAACATAGAAACCATTAAGTGTGACTGTCGGTTCCTGATGGTTCTGTAATGTGTTTTGTCTTTTTAGGTTGATATCACAGTGTAAAGGATCCTAATGGTTTAAGAGGTGACCAACAGCTTATTCTAAATGCATTTGATGGTTTCCTAATGGGTTCTAAAGGTGTTCTACATGAAACTAGTGGGCTGTATTGGAAACCATTGAGCCAATTCCTATTAGACAGCAAAACCGTTAATCCTAATGGCTCCCGATGATCCTTTCCTCAGCAGTGACGTCATGTTTTGGTTTGTGCTCATTCTACATGGTCACTGATGGTTTCCCCAAAACCTACAGCTGCTGAGGGGGCGTAAATATTTAGCAGCTACTGAACTCAGCGTTAAACTAGTCTGTAGTGCAGCTCGTTCTGATTTAGTGATGATAAATCTGAACTTAGTAAACACTTAAATTACAACCAGGGATGGGGGAGTAGCTAAGTAGCGCTACTTTTTGTAGCTAACTACAAATGTTTGTAGCTGTAGCCGCTACAGTTGTATGAAATGTAGCTAACAGCTGTAGCGCCTACAAATGTTTGTGTAGCTATAGTGATCATTTCACTACAATTTCACTACAAGCTTCAGGTAATCTACGCAAAATCTGAACCACAGAACGTGGTCAGTAACTGGGCTGGTGGCGACTGTGTAACCCTGACTGAGCTGTGGACAGGTCGAGCAAACGGTCACATGCTGACCACCCCTTACTAATAGGCTCAGCTCAGCCTACAGGCTAAAAATAGAATATAAACACAAACTCAGACTCGCTCTGCTCTGCTTTAAGCTTTAGCTCAGCTGTAGCCGCTTTTCTCGCATCTCAGTCAGGAAACTTTTCCACGAGTTTCTTGTAAAATGTTTCTCATCATTCGACTTTTTACGAGGCTGAAGTCGCTTCTCGTTCTCCAGCCTCTCATTCAAATTGTCCTGTTCCACCTTAAATGGTGCCTGAGGTGCCAGTACTGCTGTGCCATTTAAGGTGGAATGGGAGAATTTGAACGAGAAGCTGGAGAACGAGAAGCGACTTCAGCTTCATGAGTTGTTGCAGATTAAACGTATCAGGAAACCAGCTGGAGTGATTATAACTGTAAATAAGTTCATTCATCTCCAAATTATCTATGTTCATCTTAAGTCTCTCTCTTTGCTGTTTCGTTAGCTACAAGCGAGACTGTCTGTGTTGCTATGGTGACCAGCAGTCTGCATGTCAGTCTGCAGCATTAAAGGGTGAATTAGCAGTTCTACATTAACTCCAGAGTTTAAGACCATTTACTGTTAAACTGTGTTAGAACTGTGTGTTATAATGGTTTTACAGTAAAGGAGGATTATTATGTTGATCATATTATGATTATTAAAAATCTAGTTCTGCTGTGGAGCCGCAGCAGCTCTGCAGCAGTGGAGACTATTCAGGCCTGATTCACCCCAAACAGAGCCAGAGTCACTGATGAGGATTCTGAGGCTGAAGAGTTGCTGAAGGACTCTGAATGTCGTGTCTGTCTGTACAGATCTGGCTGAAATGTGTAAATTGGAGCAGTTTCAGTTCAGCAGTTGACGATGCTTCACACAAAGTTGTTTGGTTTGTATTCAGTTATTTCTGTTGAGTTTTGTTAGGAAAAGCCTGGAATGACTGACTTTGCCTTTAGCCTAGGTTTTTGTTGGATATCAGGCCTTTGGTTGTGTAAGTTTGATTGTTAGTCACTTAAACTCACTGTTTGGTGATCTTTTTGTAGATTTGCAGCTTTTTAACTGTTTCTTTCTGGCTCATGATTAAATGCAGTGACCTGTTCACTCTGTCAGTTGGGCTTGTTTGGTGTGTCAGGTGGAGAATCACAAACAGTGACAGTCGCGCTTTGAAAGTAGCTAAAAAGTGGCCACTACTTTTTCTGGAAAGGTAGCTAAATCGTAGTTAGATACACATTTAGGGAAAGTGGCTAACTGCTCATTTTTCAGTAGCTATCCCAACCCTGATTACAACTAGCTTTCGTTTGAACTTGCGTACAGCTGGTGCAGCGAGCCAGTGACGTCATAGCGGGCAGCCAGGGCTCCGCCCACTAGCCAAGCGTCCTCGCAAGTGCGCTTATTGGAACGCAGCCGAGGCCAGTTTGTAAATACCGAGTCAGAGCGCTGCTGCTTCTCCGTCTCTAGCGGCCAAAATCCAGCAGAGGACGAATTTTTCACGGGTTTTCTCACCTCAAACTCTCCAACCATGAAGTTTCTGTACAAAGAAGAGCATCCCTTCGAGAAGAGGCGGTCTGAGGGGGAGAAAATCAGAAAGAAGTACCCGGACAGAGTGCCCGTGAGTCCGCATCCCCACCAGCTGTTCACCACAACAACACGGCGAGCTTCGCTTAGCGTAGCAACCTCTCAATGACAAAGCAGAATCCACCGCCGGAGCGCATTTAAACCGCCTAATGTCCACCTTAACCGTCTACACTGCGCTGTAGTGAAGTCCTGTGTCGATTGTCACCGATATATTTCGCTGTTTTCCGATATAAAAGCTAGAAACGCACTGGCTGCTTGCTAGCTTAGCATTTTAGCTTAGCAGGAATCAACAGAGCAACAATAGAGGAGAGATGAAGGACTGATTTTGGTCAAAATCGTCCTTAAATGTTGATTTATGTCGTTTTAGATCACTACATTTGGATTAAAGCTCCTTTATAGAACTGGTGGAGGTCAAATAAACGAACCAGTAGCTGAATTAGACGTGTATGTTTCAGTTTTGTTCACTATTATTTGGCTAAAATCATTAAATCACTGAAACTGAGGTGTTTTGTATAAAGATAGTTCTTCAAGGGTTCTTCAGTAACGGCAATGGTTCTGTTTAGAACCATGAGGTTTTGAAAATGATTCTATATGTTAGCACCAACTAGGGTTCTCCTATTGTGTACGATATCAAGCTTGTAACAATAGAAGAACCCTATTTGGTGCTATATAGACCAATATACAACACATTCTCTGTCTCTTCATCAATCTCAAGAACCATTTCGCCATGCCGAGAACCTTTTAAACATGCAAATGGCTCTGTATAGAACTAGTGGTTCTAAATAGAACTATTCCCTTTTCTAAAGAACCCTTGAAGAACCACCTTTTTAAGAGTGTAGAGGAGAAATTAGGCATTATTTTGTGCTTAAACGTTCATTTAAGTCGTTTTAGATCACTATACTTGGATTAAAGATCCTTTATAGAACTGCTGGAGGTCAAATTAACGATCCAGTGCCAAAATAAGACGTTCATGTTTGTTTTGTTGATTATTATTTGGCTAAAATCATGAAATCACTGAAACTGAGATGTTTTGTAGTCAGACAGAAGCTGGAGAAGAGCAGTGCAGGCCCTCTGAACCCTAATCAGGGGATTTCTTCTGGATCAGACTCGGTCTAATCTCTCTCTTTCTAATTTTCTTTGTCCTGCTCTTCTTCTTCTCCTTTTCCAGGTGATTGTTGAGAAAGCTCCCAAAGCCAGAATAGGAGATCTGGATAAAAAGAAGTATCTGGTGCCATCTGACCTCACAGGTGAACAGCTGGAGCACATTTTATACTGAAATTCACTGTAAATCATCTAAAACTGTTTCCTGCAGTGAAACCAGGCCTGTGAAAGCCTGTTTACTCTGCAATATGAAAGGGGAATTCCACTTTTTTAAAACATTTCTACGTAATTCAGTGATTCAAAATGGTTTGTTGTGAAATGGTTCAGATGTCTTTACAGTGGTGGTGATAGGAACCAGGGGTCGCCATGACTACAACACAGATATAGACATTTTATTTACTATCGAGAACCACCAGTGAACCTACACGAGTCTTCTGAGGTTATATGGAATGTTGATGATGGAAAATAGTGGAAAATCTGAAATAATAAGTTTTCTTTGGGGACTATTTTGCCTCACAGCGCCCTGCATGTATCCCTCCACCATGAATGGAGTTTAAGTTCTCTAAACTATCATAAAACAGTGTCTCAGTCATCAGGCAGTGAATTCATAACCGTTTCATGTAGGAACTTTCTGTGAGGGAGCTTTTAGAGGTGGACGTCTGGTTCCTATCACCACCACTGTGAACAGTTCTAACTCAGTAAGTTTCTCTAGAACAGAGCGTTTCACACCAAACCACTATGAACAGCTCTGTTTATATCTTAACCACTTAATTATGAAGAATTTTTTAAAAATTGGTGGAGTTCCCCTTTAACTTTTGTTGTTTTGTTTTTCTGAAGTGGGACAGTTTTACTTCCTGATCCGAAAGAGGATCCACCTGAGGGCTGAAGACGCGCTCTTCTTCTTCGTCAACAACGTCATTCCTCCCACGTCCGCCACCATGGGGCTGCTCTACCAGGTACAGCCTTCTTTGGTCTCACCTTCAGTCTGTCTGACCTTATTATTGTTTATGAATATTCACTCAAACACTCAAACCTACTGTGGTAGATTTGTGATGCGTTAGAAAACAAACCCGAGGCCGACGTGTTAAAAATGAGCAATAAACATGGTTTTGTTGGGCCTTGTCTGGTGGCAGATCTCTAACAGACGTTCATGTGCTGCTCCGGCTGAGAACAGCAGCAGAAAGAAGTGCTAACTTTATTGCCTGCTATCATTAAAGGGCCCATACAGTGGGACACTGAGTCTTCCTCTGTCCTCTGCACAAATTCAGTGTTTTTTTTCTAAGTAAATCAAATCACATTTATTGTTGCATCACATTACACAGGTGCAAGGTGAGTCAAAATCTTAGGTGCGTAGCCCCCTTATAGAATTTAAATACAAAACACGACCACCTCCTTGTTTCTACGCTCATTGTCCACTTTATCAGCTCCACTTACTATATAGGTGCACTTTGTAGTTCTACAGTTACAGACTGTAGTCCATCTGTTTCTCTGATACTTTGTTAGCCCGCTTTTACCCTGTTCTTCAGTGGTCAGGACCCCCATGGACCCTCACAGAGCAGGTACTATTTGGGTGGTGGATTATTCTCAGCACTGCAGTAACACTGACGTGGTGATGTGTTAGTGTGTGTTGCGCTGGTACGAGTGGATCAGACACAGCAGTGCTGCTGGAGTTTTTAAACACTGTGTCCACTCACTGTCCACTCTATTAGACACTCCTACCTTGTCGGTCCACCTTGTAGATGTAAAGTCAGAGACTATAGCTCATCTGCTGCTGCACAGTTTGTGTTGGTCATCCTCTAGTCCTTCATCAGTGGTCACAGGACGCTGCCCACAGGACGCTGTGGGCTGGATATTTTTGGTTGGTGGACTATTCTGAGTCCGGCAGCGACACTGAGGTGTTTGAACTAAACTAAAGCTGGACCTGCCGAGTATTGAGTATTGAGATTCAGTACTTTTTCACTTCAGTACTATGAATTCTGCCGTTCAGTACTAAAGAGTAAAGGCGTGTGCTGGATTCATAACACACGACTAAACAAGAGCATCGCTGTGGATCAGATTGCAGCACAATAACTGTTTTATCTGGATTATCTTGTTTTCATACTCATTACCAGAATCTTAACTGAAACTGATGTTTGATTAATCGCCCAGCCCTGTTTTTCACACTTTTATTTTGATAGCTTTAATATATTCAGCTTGCCAGTTTTAAACTGTATCTGTGTCCGTTGTTTGTGCTGTGTTTGTTTAGTGCTGTCAGGTTCATAAATATTACTATAATAACAGTGTGAGAGAAATATGCCGTCAAAATACAAAGACTTTTAATGTGAAAAACTAACCAGGTTAACTTGAAATGTGGAGTTTGTTGAGCTTGTAGTGTTAAGTTAACAGGAGAGTGATGTGTGTTTAAATGTGTGTTTAAATGTGTCAACTTATCATTTGAGGTTCTGTGATCTCAGCATGTCGAGTTCAGCTGCTTGTTTACCTTTTAAATGTAAAATCTGTGTGTGACTGTGTGTGTTACAGGAGCATCACGAGGAGGATTTCTTCCTCTACATCGCGTACAGTGACGAGAGCGTGTACGGCGACAGAGAGACGCCCGTCTAACCCCCTACTGTTCACACGCCCCCCCCCCACACACACAGACCTGATAAACACAGTAATAAACAGAGCAGCCCACCTGAGTGTGTATGTTTAATGCACTTTCACTTCTGCTCCTCACTTCTCTCCTCTCGTCTACCTGAAACACACAAACACCACTAACTCTCTCTCTCTCTCTCTCTCTCTCTCTTTCACTTTTCTGTTTAAATTTCTTTTTATTTTCTCTCCCATCATTTTTTTCACTTTACATTCTACGGTTTTGTATTTTTAGTTTTTTGTTTATTTTCTCCTTTTATCCTTTCATGTTGTTCCTGTCTCTCTTCTGCCTTTTTTAATTAATTTTTATTTCACTTTTTTATTGTTTTTACCTTTTGTCTTTCTGTATTTTATTATTTTTCTTGCTCGTCTCTTTGGTCTCTTATCCTCTCCGCTGATGTAACTGGACTCCCACAGTTTGATACACTGACTGTGTTCTGTTTATAATGACGCGTTCTGTGCGTGAATCATTTCCAGCGATGATCTGATTGTTTTTTATTCAGTTTGTTTTTCACAGAAAGGTTTTTGTTTGAGTTCCTGGTTTATGAGGTTCGGCTCTGTCGTCGTCTCGCACGTTTGCTTTTTGCTTTGGTGAAATGGACACTGTATATCCTGAGTGATTCATATATGGTGGAGACTTGGTAATTGGGCAGATATGATTTGTGAGAGTTATGATTTTTTTTTATTTTATTTGTTTATGCAGAAGCTCTGTCATTCAGCTTGATCTTGCAAACATTATAAACGTGATGGGAAAATGACTGTGTGGCTTATTCTTTTCATTCTGCAGCTCTTTTACATTCACATTTTACACCGAGTTCACTGAGATATAATGAAAAAAGCTGAGTTTCCTGTTTTCAGTGATGCAGTTTGCAGTGATGCAGTAACACAGTTTTATTATTGTTAAAATGAGAAATTATTGGTCATTTACTGTGTTATTTTATATGAAATTAAATGAAAGTAAAGACAACAATAATGAAAGAATAAATAAACAATAATGATACATAATATTTAAGATATTCAGAATCAAAATCTTACGGGATGAATGTGATATGAATGTGATGAAGTGATATTTTAGTTCATGGTGATAAATGTAGCTTCAGTTCAGTGTCCTAAAAATGTCTAACTGTGCTTCACCTGTGAATTACCTGTAAATCAGTTCACTGGCTATTAGAGCTTTATTTTTATTTTTGTTTAATTACATTCATAATTATATACATTATACTGAGTTATAGTTTTGAGAGAGAAAGGGGCCAAGGGAGTCTGTTAACAGTTCATTTTATCATCATTATTAAAAAGGGTAATAATACTGTCATTGCTGATATCTTTTATATAATAATGACCATTTTAAAATGGTTTATTTTAGAAATAATAAAAAAGGATTGATTAAAGGAGAAAAAATGAGAATTTAATGAAGAAATAACTAACACTAGAAATTACTGTTCAGCATTTGTTTTAATTATGGTCTTATTTGATATGAAAGTAAAAATAAATAAAAATAAGCAATAAGTAACGACAAGAATAATAAATATATAATAAACAATAATAAATGCATAATTAAAATAAATAATAATAAACAGGCAATGTATGTACAGTAAGGACCCAAGCAAATAAATAAATAAATAAATAAAAACAATAATTGATAATAAAATAGTGTAAAATTACGAAGTGTTTCCGCGCAGGCGCCGCGGACACGCCCCCCTGACCGGAAGTGCGTCTCAGCTGCGTTTTTGGCCTGTCTCCGTTTTTAAATGTTGAGTTTGTGGAGCTGAAAAACCTTTTAAAGGCCCAAAAACGGCGACCAGAGAGATTTACTGACCTTCAGCCGCACCAGAGCCACCAAACGGATAAAAGTGCGTCCGAGCGCCGCTGACTGGCTCTGCTGAGGGGAGTTAGCTTAGCATGCTAGCGGCTAACGGAGCCGCTCGGCCTGGTTTTAATGTGAATTAAACTCTAAATAAGTTTAAATAAAGTCCTCCGTTTACCCGCGCAGGCCTGCGGGGTTCGGGCAGGAGAGCCCCGCTGGGCGGACGGCGTGTTTAGAAGTGGTCAGATCAGAGTCTGAGACCCAAACCGCTCAGACCGTTTATATCAGTTTATACTCGCTTTATAGAGACGCGGAGCTCAGACAGCGCGCTTATTAAACATTAATAACGCCGCACAGTCACTCTGTTCGGCTGTCGTGTGTGCTGTGGAAGGTTCTAGCTTTGCTTTAGCCGTTCTGTATGCTGTGAAGGGCTCTAGCTTTACATTAATCGTTCTGTGTATGTTACAGAAGTTTCTAGCTTTGCCTTAACGGTTCTGTATGCTATGGAAGGTTCTAACTAGCTTTTTAGGGATGCTAACTTTAAGATATTATAGCTTTGTTTAACTGTTCTTCGCGTGCTATGACAGGTTCTAGCTTGACTTCAACCGTTCCGTGTATGCTGTAGAAGGTTCTAGCTTTGCTTTAATGGTTCTGCCTGCTGTGGAAGGTTCTAGCTTTGCGTTAACGGTTCTGCATGCTGTGGAAGGTTCTAGCTTTGTTTAGGCATACTGTAAGATACTCTAGCTTTGCTTTAAAGGTTCTGTGCGTGCTGTGACAGGTTTTGGCTTTGTTTTAACTGTTCTGTGCATGCTATAGAAGGTTCTAGCTGAGCTTTAATCATTCTGTGCATGCTTCGAAAGGTTCTAGCTTTGTCTAAGCATGCTATAAAAGTTTCTAGCCTTGCTGTAACCGTTCTGTGCATGCTTTGAAATGTTCTAGCTTTACTTGAGCTGTTCTGTATATGCTGTGAAAGGTTCTAGCTGACTTGTCAGAGCAGATCAGGGTTCCTGTGGTTCCTTTACTTTGGGCTGGAGTAGTCTCTGAATGTCTTCTTATTGGTTTTACAGTAACGTTTGTAGCTTTGCTTGTTTATTGTATAATAAACTGTCTGATCTGTTTATCTTGTTTATTAGAACGTTCTCTATTATCAGTGCAGCATCTCCAATTGCGCATTTTGTTCTGCTCCAGAAGAACCTGATCAGTTACTAATATGCATGATAAAATGCACAGAACGCCAGGTTACAGTGAGGGTGCTACATGTGTACGATTATGGCTGTCAGTGTAACTCAGTTAGTCAGTTACTCCATTTAAAACATAGAAGTCCATTAAATTGAGCCTTTAGATGAATCTGCAGTGGTTATTTGCCTGTTTGTTTGTATTATGATAAATCATATTTTAAATCCTGCTGACTTTTTCAATGCCTTATTGTAATTGTAAAGTGTGAGAAAGGTGCTGCAACAACAAACATACAATTATTATTATTATTATTAGTATTATTATTGTTATTATTATTGGTGTGTAAGTGGGCTGCAGCACTAGAGTTGGAAATACTAGATCGTGTAATTTTGTCTCTCCGACTTTAACCTGATTTGTTGTTGTTTTTTCTCATTAATCTGTAGATTTGTTATTATTCTGTTTAACCTGTTGTTTTGTTGTTGTTTTTGGCCCCAGCTGGCCCCTCCAGTCCCTGCCATCATGCCCGCGCTGCTGGAGAGGCCGAAGCTGTCGAACGCGATGGCGCGAGCTTTACACAAACACATCATGAGGGAGAGAGAGAGGAAGAGGCAGGGTGAGCACAGCAGTGTAGCTCCGCCCATTCAGCTACAGCAGTTTGGCCCCACCATTCAGCTACAGCAGTTTGGCCCCACCATTCAGCTACAGCAGTTTAGCTCCGCCCATTCAGCGTATAGCAGTTTGGCCCCGCCCATTCAGCCTACAGCAGTTTAGACCCACCATTCAGCTACAGCAGTTTAGCTCCGCCCATTCAGCGTATAGCAGTTTGGCCCCGCCCATTCAGCCTACAGCAGTTTAGCTCCGCCCATTCAGCGTATAGCAGTTTGGCCCCGCCCATTCAGCCTACAGCAGTTTAGCTCCACCATTCAGCTACAGCAGTTTAGCTCCGCCCATTCAGCCTACAGCAGTTTAGCTCCGCCCATTCAGCTACAGCAGTTTAGCTCCACCATTCAGCTACAGCAGTTTAGCTCCACCATTCAGCTACAGCAGTTTAGCCCCACCCATTCAGCTACAGCAGTTTAGCCCCACCATTCAGCCTACAGCAGTTTAGCTCCGCCCATTCAGCGTATAGCAGTTTGGCCCCGCCCATTCAGCCTACAGCAGTTTAGCTCCACCGTTCAGCTACAGCAGTTTAGCTCCGCCCATTCAGCCTACAGCAGTTTAGCTCCGCCCATTCAGCTACAGCAGTTTAGCTCCACCATTCAGCTACAGCAGTTTAGCCCCACCCATTCAGCTACAGCAGTTTAGCTCCGCCCATTCAGCGTATAGCAGTTTGGCCCCGCCCATTTAGCTACAGCAGTTTAGCCCCACCCATTCAGCCTACAGCAGTTTGGCCCCGCCCATTCAGCTACAGCAGTTTAGCCCCACCCATTCACCCTACAGCAGTTTCTGCCCATTCTTCCTCACCCCTTCACACTGAAGTTATAAGGAGTGTTTCAGCTCAGGCTGATTTCTGAATCATGTTTGTTTCTGTGTATTTCTTCTAATGTTAGTGTGCAGTGAGATCATTTACTTAAGCAAGTCAAAAATTAGTGCACCTGTTAATGATCAGAGCAGGTGTTTACAGACAGTGTTCTGTGTTCTGTCTTACAGAAGAGGAGGAGGTGGATAAAATGATGGAGCAGAAGATGAAGGAGGAGGAGGAGAGGAAGAGAAAGAAAGAGATGGAGGAGAGGATGTCTTTAGAGGAGACCAAGGAGCAGGTCAGTGTTTCTCCTGCACTGCAGTAGAATTTTTCCAAACTCTGCATTTATTACTGAAGTACACTACAGTTCCTCTTGTACTTCTCAGATAATGAAGATGGGGGAGAAGCTGCAGGGTCTTCAGGAGGAAAAGCACCAGCTCTTCCTGCAGCTGAAGAAGGTTCTGCATGAGGAGGAGAAGCGCAGGAGGAAAGAACAGAGGTGAGAAAATGAAACGCCTGAATACACAGGCAGCAGACTCATGTAGCTCAATTTATGTACGAAAATACATACGCCATCACTGCCCACATACTTCAGTGCGTCCTGTACGTTGGCATGGATGTTAAGCGGTACATCCACTAGAGGGCAGTCCAGAGTCAAAAGCTTCTAACAACAAACATGGCGACGGTGGGGGAGGTTGTGATAATAAGCCTACCAGCTGTTCTGTATCAACAGTTTGTCCCTATGCGACGTGACATCATAGATGTTTTAAATTTCTGACCAGGTCACACATCCTCTCCTCAAAAAAGCTGTAGCTCAAACGCACTGGCCTTTCATACATACAGTGTTTGAGCTGCAGAGCAGAGCAGCGAGAAAGTTATACAGACGGATAAAAGGTCACATCAGTCACTCTGCTCAATAAAAATATCATTTATGAAAGTGCACGTTATGTTTGTTTATCCTCAACAGCATTCTGACTTCTGATTAGGCAAAAGGATCAAGCCTGGTAGACCAACCGAGAAAAATGTGTTTACAGCATGCATTAAAATGTTTAACTGGTATTTCATCATGAATTAAATAAAATAAAAAGATAGCGTTTTAAGCTTAATTTTCATTGATTTTCGTGGCTTATTTCAGCGTATTTTCGGCGCCAGATCTATTCTCTAAACACTGCACCGCTTCACTGTGGCGTCTGGGACTGTGTGAAAGTGCTGACTAGTTAACACGGGCAGCGAAATGAAAAGCAAGACTTTCCGTGTCGCTCTCGCTGCACAGACGCAGTATGTGTGGATCAGGCCTATGAGTGAACATGTGCACTGTGTACAGCTACAGGCAGGTAGCAGGTAAGTTTTAACTAAGGCTCAGCTGTTTGGCTGCCCACAGTAGTCAACCTATAAATCCATTAGTGGGCGCTGTGGGGACTCAAACAGCTGATCTTGCTCAAAGCTTAAAGCTGCTTGTCTGTAGCTTTACGCAGTGCGCAGCGTTGAGCATAAATGACTCTTAAGGCTGTTCGGATCTCTGCGTTCATTTGTGCAGGTTCTCTGAAAGCTTATGGATACAGATAAACAGAGCGGTACTGTCGGAAATCGCCGGGGCAGCGTAGCCGATAGTTCAAGCAAGACACGACCACAGCCGTGGGTCTGTGGACATGGCGAAGGAGAAACTTTAAAAATGGTGGAACATTTTTTTTTGAGGAACGGTTCTGCGACTTGGTCAGGAATTTCCGTAAGGACAGGTTGAGGACAGTGTCTAAAATACAGCGACAGTAAAAACTGCAGTGAACAGACAGGAGGAGAGAACAGAGCTCAGCAGAAGATCGGTCAGCAGCACAGCTAATATCTTAATATCGTATCATCCACTCAGAGCCGCACTAGTCTAAACAGCTCTGGTGCTGTTTTGCTAAGCAGAAGTTGATATTTATTATGTTTGTGTTCTCACAGCGACATGACGACTCTGCCCTCAGCTGCCTATCAGCCCAACATGGCCATCCACTCGGGCCAGCACCTCCTGAGCATGCAGGGTAAGAACTGGATAATTCAGAGTGGACACTGAATAATTCATAGTAAATACTAAATAATTCATGGTAGATACTGAATAATCTGTAGTAGATACTGAATAATCTATAGTAGATACTGAATAATCTATAGTAGATACGGAATAATTCATAGCAGATACTGAATAAATGAATAATTCTGTTTGCCTGTCTGTCTCTCTTCTCTCTCTCAGCGAGTCCAGTAAGTCACGGCCGTCCGGCGGCTCTGTTAGGAGAGCGTAATAAACAGCTGTTCCAGCCTCCGGTCATTTCTGTGAGTACGATCTCTCTGTGTTTTCTCATACCAGCAGATAATAAACCTCAATTAAAGAGACTCCTGTTTAAAAAAAACTTACTTTCTAAAGCTGAAATAAATTAACTGGATCAAAAACTGAAATAAACAACAACAACAATAATGATCGACTTTAAGCAGAGTGGTTTAGAATGTCTGTAACTGTTTTTTTAAATGTTATATTTACGTAAAAAAATGAAAAATCTTCAACTGCGTCCAAAACTGAGAGCATAGCTCCACACCAAATAGTATTTCAAACATAGTACACCACTGCCATGCACCCGTCCCCCGGGCCCCGATGACGGCCGCAAGAGCTGGCAGGAAGGCGGGGCCCGCACTTCCAGTGAGGACGAACCCTGACGAGGACGGCTGGAAGAGAAACACAGCGAGTGAGTGGGGGACAGTGCGCGAGTCCCGAGCCCTGCCTCCTGGGCGCCACCTCCAGTCCCGCAGTGAGGCCACTTTAATTTGCCTCACGTTCAATCTGGGCGGACGAGCTGCGGAGCGGGGGCGGTGACGAGGAGGTGGAGCAACGAGCTCTCATTCCCTCTTTCTCTGTTTCCTCTCTGCTGTTTTTAAAAGTGAGCACCTGAGCCGAGAGGGAACGAGAGCTCGTTGCTCCGCATCCTTGTCACTGCCACCGAACCGCAGCTCGTCCGCCCGGGTCGAACGTGAGGCGAATTAATGTGGCCTCACTGCAGGACCTCGTCGGGGTTCATCCTCGTTCGTAGTGTGGCTCCCACCTTCCTGCCGGCTCTCGCTGCCGTCATCTGGGCGGGCACATGACAACCACCAATAGATGTCCATCCATTAGCATAGAATGTGCGGTACAGTAGTAAGTGGTTTTGGATGTAGTTTAGGTTTTGACCTATGAGCTACAGGACACTCATTTTGACAGAGATGTTAGATCAAGAGGCATTTACCAGATCAAAGACTGTGTGCTAAATCAAATGCTGTGTGTTTCTTCAAAGGCTCTGTGTTACATTAAAAGATATATGTTCACTAAAAGGCTGTGTTACATCAGAGAATATATCTTTGATCAAAAGCTTTGTGTTACATCAAAGCATATATGTTAGCTCAAAGGCTGTGTGTAAGATCAAAAGGTATGTCTTAAAACAACAACTTTGTGTTAGATCAAAGGATATACTGAGTCATTTTACAGTTAAATTTGGCCCACTAGTATTATCTCCTGTGGGACGCGCTGTGTGGAGTTGCTCGCTGGGTTATGTATGACTTCAGGGTTATTTTAGGGACTGTTTGTTTTCTAAGAATCCCAAAAAGAAACCACAAATGAACCGCAGTTACACCACCTCTGGAGTTTGGGGTCGATTTAGAGCAGTGTGAGTTTGTTTAATGTTCACTTGTGCACAAAGAAACTTGAGTCATCGCTCTGAGAGCACTTAAAGTGGCTAAATGTGAAAACACCCTAAAACACACCTGTTAAGCTGCTTAAGTTCATTTAATGAAACGAGGTGTGTTGGTTATTTCTTTAGCCTGTTTCTTTCTCCATCTATATTCTCTCTATCTCCGGTTTCAGTGACACACATTTTCCAAAAATGTCAAAGTGCAGCGCTGCTAAATTTGGCAGGCCGGAGTGGAATAAAGCTTTCTTGGCTCTCGAGTATTCGTTTGTTTCAGCCAGCCAATCGGGGCGCTCTGGAGGAGCAGATGCAGCGTGTGGTTGGTCAGATTTGTGGGTGTGTGGAAATTTGGCGCTGTTCTCCGGATGACTCTGGATGATGACTCAGTGGTTTCACCCACCGGGTCAGAGCCAACGGCCTTAATACAACATGTACAAAGGAAACATGGAGCAAAAACTGACCCCAGACCAGCTGGGACTTCACATGCACTCGTAATGAGGACAAGATGCAAAACTTGGAAGAAGTTTGATCTTTTAAGCTTAACGCTGTGCTGATGAACTGAAATTCCCAGTACTTCAACACAAAGGTCTCTACCGGCCTACGTGCCACATCCAGCTCTCAAGGCGATTTCATACATTCCATCACATAATCATTTAAATATGAGTCTCCGTATATCGTTTGCTTTCTTTTTTCTTCAGCTAAATATTCATGTGATGGGTAGCTTTGCTTCACCCATAAGTCACTGTGTTTGGTTACCCAACATAGGCTGTATAAAATCAGCTCAGACTGATGATTCCGATGCTAAAAGCTGAAATTTAACATTTCCTGTGGAGTCCCACAGGGTTCAGTTTTAGGGCCATTGCTTTTCTCTTTATACTGTTACCTCTAGGTGATGTAGTTAGGAAACATATGAATTTTCATAGCTGTGCTGACGACACACAGTTATAGATTTTCATTCCTTCTGATGATCAAGACTCTGTAGACTAACTTGCTGTGTGTCACATATTTAAAAAAAATTCTACAACTAAATCACGAAAAAACTGAAATACTGATCCTTGGTTCTAAACCTGCAGTAGAAACCTGGGTGTGATCTGAGACTCTGAGCTCTGTTTAATCTGCATGTAAACACAGTCACTAAATCAGCTTTTTATCATGTGAGAAAATCACTAAAGTTCAGCCTTTTCTCTCTCAGAGCAACGCAGAGAAACGTGTTCAGCAGAGTTGATCACTGTAATGATCTTCTAACTGGAGAAAACAGTCCATCCTCTAGAACCCGTACAGAACTCAGCAGCACGGATCCTCACAGCACCAACACAGAGAGCTCATATCACCCCGTTACAGACTTTAAAGCTCTGCTGCTGGTTTTTAAAGCTCTAAATGCCCTTAAAGCTCCTGAATGTGTGTCTGTTTATGATCTTAGATCTGCAGATTCTGACCTTCTGAACTCCTTCAGTAAAACACAGAAAACGTTTTAGACAGTCAAGCTCAGTTTTAAGAAACAGCTGAAAATGAACCTCTTTAATTTTAAGCATTTAATTAAAACTGTCTCTTTGGTATTTATTTTTTTAGCTTTGTTATTGTCTTATATGATTTTAAAACTCATAGTTTCTTCTATTACTGTTAAGCTTTATCACCTGTCTGTAAAGCACTCTGAGCTGCCACCGTTATGAAAGTGCTTTATAAATGAAAATATTATTATTATTATTATTATTATTATTATTATTATTAAGTAGAGCACTGCATGCAAGAGGAGCCATTCAAACGTTCAAGAGGAACCTTCATCCTGGAGCCAAGTATAGCTGCTGACCAGACAGAAGTGTGAAGTTTATGATATCCCATCTTTTAAACTCATTCAGATAGCCAGCACAGCATTTCCCACTGAGCTGTTTCCTCCGGGTGTGTTTTTGTTGTAGCACATAATGCAAAACAATGATTCATATAGCGTGCTGCGTTCATCTACATCACTCTGGATAGGAGCTGCTAGATGCCACAAATGTAAATATAGACCATCTGAGGATGGTCACTTTGCTTGTCAGTCACATGATCTATTTCTATCAAAGTAGGCGGTTCTTGTCCATGTTGAGTGAAGAAACCTACCGGACTGTCTAATGATAGCCCGACATCTGGCTTGCCGGACATCTGGCTTGCCGGACATCTGGCTTGACGGACGAGGATAGTCTCTCGCTGGAGGTTTATTTCAGAGACTGCTTGTTTTCTCAATCTACAAATCAGTCAGACCACAAAATGAACCAGTTTAGACCACATCTGGAGCGTCGGGTCTCTCTAGAGGAGTTTGAGTCATTTTCACATGCTCAAAAATGCCATTGCTTTGAGAGTGCTGGAATGTGGCCAAATGTGAAAACGCACCTGTTGGTGGTCTCTTCCTCCATGTTGGCCACGTTGGGTGACAAAACCTACCGGACTCTCTGGTGATGCTGGACGTCTGGCTTGCAAGACAAAGATCACCTTTCATTGTGAAAGCATGTAGATTATCTCCCTCAGTCAAATTTGAGTTTTCGTAATACAGAATATCTTGTTTAGGAATATATTTCACAATATATATATTTCACAATATATTTAGGAATATATTAACACTTAGGGATAATAGTTTTACGGTGTCTCTGTGAAGCCTGTGACGTTCCTTGAGATGGACGCTGTGACTTGAGATTAGGACATGTTTATGCTCATCTCCAGTTTATCCTTCCTGACGTGGTGGCGACCTGCACTGTAAACTTAAATTAGTTGGCAGTGCTCTACTTTTTCAAGCCCTGCGTACTCTTAAATTATTTAGGTTAAGAATTATTCGCTCTCACATAAAAAAACATTTTGCAAAGAGAATTATACTTATAAATTAGAAAAACGAGAATTAACAGTAACTAACAAAAACGCCCTGCGATGGACTGGCGACCTGTCCAGGGTGTATCCTGCCTTCAGCCCAATGACAGCTGGGATAGGCTCCAGCACCCCACCGCGACCCAGAAGGATAAGCGGTTTAGATGATGGATGGATGGATGGATAACAAAAACGATAAGAATGCTGAAAAGCTTTTTGGGTACAAGACTTTTCCATCTGTAGGATTTATCTAATTTGACTCAACTAGATTTACCTCAGTAACTGAGGATTATACAAGAAATAGTGTGTGTTACTTCATTTGTATTAGTAATTAAAAAATATTGAAGGAAAAATATTAAAAGAAAATGAGGTTATCGCAATTATTGTGTTTTACAGTGTGTACAGGTCCTGTACAGGTCCAGACGAGTCGGGTAAGTTTTTAAAGGTGCAGCGTGTAAGATTTAGCGTCATCTAGCGGTGAGGTTGCAGATTGCACCCAGCTGAATCCCCCTCCCTCACCCCTCCCTTTCCAAGCGTGTAGCAGAACCTACGGTGGCCATCAGGTTTTCTGTCGTCGTCTGTCCCGATTTAGTTTTCTTCTTCATGTTTTCCTTTTGACGGTGAAGATTCACTCTCCCTCACTTTTTCTTGTGCTAAATAGTAAGTTTAATCCTCCATTTGCCAAAAATTGGGTTCTCCATTTTGTCAAAGTTTGGGTTCTCGTGCAGATCGGAAGCTGTTTTTTTTTTTTTTTCTCCCCAATTTAGTCGTCTCCAATTCCACCCGCTAGTTAGGACTCCCCCAATCACACGACGCTATCAACGCTAGGAGGGTGAAGGCTAACACAGGCTTCCTCCGAGACCTGTGAAACCAACCACCGCTTCTTTTCGAACTGCCGCTCACGCAACGTCACTGGACAGCCGAACGCGCTCGGAGGAAAGCGCCAACCGCCAGATCTGTTACGTCAGCTAACAGACGCCTGCGCTGACTAGCATCGCGCTGAGTGATGGGGGGAGAAGGAGGGGCCATCCTACCCACCCAGAGAGAGCGAGGCCAATTGTGCTCTCTCGGACTCCCGGCTACAGACGGCTGTAGCATCACCAGGGATCGAACTCGCGATCTCCTGATGATAGGGCCAACGCTTAGACGGTTGCGCCACTCGGGAGCCTCCAGGAAGCTGTTTTAAGGTGGTGAAAGTAGTGCAGAATAAAGAAAGGCGTGAAACCAAAGCTGTGAAATGATGGTAAATTCTGAGAGACGGACTTTGAGAAGTCCACATTTGCAGCCGACCGGAGACGGACACATATTTGGAAAATGAACAATGTGAGCAGTCGAGTTTAGACAGATATTTCAAGCTCCACTCTGGAGGAGGTGGATGGTCCTCGCTCAGCTCCCTTCACTCAGAGATCACTAGCAGAATAGGCAGTTAGTGTTCTCCTCCAAGCGTGTTGAGCTCCAGTGACGTTGATTTAGTTTGAAAAGATGTGGCGGATCTTCTCGTGTCTCGATGAAGAACGTGTTAGAATCACCCTCCCAGCTTGGTAGCATCGTGTGATAGTGGGAGACCTACCTAACGGGGGGAAGAGGACACGACTGAATGAAGAAATAAAGAAAAAAACCTAAATTAATTAATTTACGTTTGGCCCACTATTACTGTCACCTGTGGGACAGATTGCAGTTACGGTACACTCTTCAACAAGATGGTTCTTTAACAGTCCTTTAGTAAAGACAGTGGTTCTGTAAAGAACCATGAACACTCAAAGAACAATTTGCGTGTTTAAAGGGTTCTTTGCATCATGAAATTGTTCTTTAGATTAATGGAGATGGTGTTGTACTTGGTTTTACGTAGATCTTTTTTGAAAAGGGTCCTAAATATCATGAAAACCGTGCTTCTATTATTACGACATCAATCTGGTAACAATAGAAGAAGCCTTTTTGGTGCTATATAGAACCATCTTTAGCACATTCTCCATCAATCTGAAGAACCATTTCACTATGCAAAGAACTATTTAATCATGCAAAGGGTTCTTTGAATGTTCATCGTTCTATATAGCGCCAAAAAGGGTTCTTGTATGGTAACAAGCTTGACCTCGTAATCATAGAAGCACCCTTTTGATGATATATAGAACCCTTTTTAAAAAGCTTTATATAAAAACCATCTATAACACATTCTCCATCAATCTGAAGGGTGACTTCTTTGCCTGTTCATGGTTCTATATTTTCTTTAACAGAGAACCCTTGAAGAGTGTCGATTATGGTTGACTGCGGGTTTATTTCAAGGATAGTTTGGTTTCACAATGAACAAATCAATCAGACCACAAAACAAACCAGAAACAAACCGTACTTGGACCACCTCTGGAGTTCGAGGCCGATTTAGAGGAGTTTGAGTTTGTTTTACGTGCAGAGAAACTGCTGAGTCATCGCCCTGAGAACACTTAGAGCTGAAGAGCTGAAACTGGCCACACCTCTTAACACGCACCTGTTAAGATGCTTAAGTCTCCTCCTGTAATGAAGGAAATCTTATTATTATATAAAAATATATACTTGATTACTTTTACAGGTTTCTCCATCTGGATTTTTCTCCATTTGCATCTCTGCCAAGTATGTCAAAGTGCAGCGCTTCTAAATTTGGCAGGCCGGAGTGGAATAAAGCTCTCTTGGCTCTCGAGTATTCGTTTGTCTCAGCCAGCCAATCAGAGTGCTCCTGAAGAGCGGATGCAGCGCGTGGTTGGTCAGATTTGTGGGTGTGTGGAAATTTGGCGCTGTTCTCCGGATGACTCTGGATGATGACTCAGTAGTTTCACCCACAGCAGCTAGACTGATCTGGGGTCAGAGCCAACGGCCTTAAAGCTGCACGCACAAAGAAAATGTGGAGCGAAAACTGACCCCAGACCAGCGGGAGACTTAACAGGCGTGCCTGAGGTTTCCTCATAGTCAGGAAAAGATGAGAAAACTGCCCGTAAATTGACCGTTAGTGTTCTTGAAGACTTTGCCACAGCCTTACAGGACCAGCTGGTGGTCAGGGCCAGGAGTAGATTCTGAATTATTGGACTTTACATGTTCATAACTAAAAGAAAGTGTATAGTTTAAGTCTTCAACTGTTTTGCCATGTTTTATTTTTTATTTATTAATTTCATTTGCTGCCTTTAACACTGTTTGTGCTCTCATTCGCCTCTAATGGTCTCGCCTGCAGCACTAGTTTGAGGCTTCATAAGTTTGACTTTGTCTCTGATCCAAAGAGGTTAAACTAAAATTTGTAATGGACTTCCAAGTTACACAGTGGTTCCAAGCCCTGATTCAGTTCCTGTCCTGCTCATTTTAGTGTTTCTCCTAGAGTTGTCCTGATCTGGTCCAGAGAATCAGGACTGAAGCTGAGCCACACACTTTTTAAGGTTATTTATTTATTTATTTTTGCATTTTTTCTAGTTCCTCTTCATTTTCGTTGCGACCAGTTCCTCCGTTAACTAGGTGTCCTATGCTACAAAGCTGAGAAGGTGAAGGCCAGCACATGCTTCTTCTGAAACAAGTGAAGCTCCACCACATCTTCTCAAACTGCCGCTAACACAGCATAACAGGAGTGCAGCTTGCTTGGAGGAGAATGTCAACTTTTATTCTGTTACATCAGCTAACAGATCTCAGCGTTGGCTAACACGTCCTGCGACACTTTTCACTTGCGAGTTGCGAAAACGAAACCATTGTGGAAATATTTTGCTTCTGGCGTGAACAGCTCTGTCTCAAAAAATAGGGACACCCTCCTCCTAGACATGACTGCACAAAACAGAGGACTAGGGCTAAGTGGTGGGGGCGAGGGGTGAAATGGGATTGGACCGTGGAGTATTACTGATTAGGCTGACTTCTGTTTATGTGACTCTGTTTCTCTCTGTAGGGTCGTCATTATCAGTCCCAGCAAGGGTTCAGCGCTCCTGGAGCGGATCACGGGCAGTTTTCCGGAGCTCAGCCGGGTCATGGGCCTTACGGGGTCACCCAGCAACAACACGCCTCCCCCTTCACCCCCAGCCAGCCTGTGCCGGTCAGCTACGCCAGCAGTCAACAGATCAGAGGTCTGGCTGTACGATACTAAATATTATTTAATACCGATTTATCAATGATTATTATACACATTTCCTAATGTAAATCGGTCAGGAGTAAAGCTCAGTGGGAAGAAAAGTTCACCAAAGCGCGAAACAGTCATTACTTGCTTTCGTCCACAATTAGCATTAACATTTATGATCTGCACATTTCATTTGTTTGAATGACTGTGTTTAAATGAGAAAGCTGTGCTTGTGTTGTTGCAGGTGCGTCAGCATTCCCGGCTATGCAGTACCTGCCCCATCAGCAACAGGGCTACACCGTACACAGCCACTTCACCTCTCAGCCAGGTGGGGGGTGTATAGAAGTGTATAGTACTATAAACGTAAATGTGATGTACAGTATCACTCATCATGTAGTTGCTGTTGGACAAAAACGTGTATTTTGTCCCAGCAGTGACGATGCGCTACTCTTTTTATGTTTTTAAATCATTTTCATTAACTTTTGGAACCACCTCCTCTGTAAGTCCTGAAACATACTTCACACAAGGATGCAAACGCTTCGAGCTTCGCAGACGGGGTTTCGTACATAGTTGCGTTCAAAAATATGCCACCAGAGAACTTGTAGAGAGGAGAATTGCCACTCTGTAATATCTTCTGGGTTTCTCAGACGCTAGAGGGCGCTCCCGAGCGAGTCCAAAATGAATGGGTTGATATGGAGCATTTGAGCAAAATCATAGTTTATAAATGATTAAACATTGTAATGTAAAAGAATTCGATCATTTCCTGAACAGCATAAAACACTTTAACACTGCTGTTATATTATTAAGAGCTTTTAAACCCGAGTTACAGGAGTTTAAATGGCGGCTCATGTACATTCATGACGTCAGTGACCGCAAACAGCCAATGAGCTGCTCCGCTCACCAACCAATCAGCGCTCGGTAGCAGTAATGTTAACCAATCAGCACTCAGTAGCAGTAATGTTAACCAATCAGCACTCAGTAGCAGTAATGTTAACCAATCAGCACTCAGTAGCAGTAATGCTAACCAATCAGCACTCAGTAGCAGTAATGTTAACCAGTCAGCAGTAGTTGCTGTAGAAAAAAAGAAAACATTCAGGTGAGTTTTCTTTGGTGTTGTCGTGAAATACATCCTTCTACTTTCTAAAATTAGAGGAAAGTTCTGGTTCAGTGATTAGAAACTATTTAACTTTCCATTTTTTAGCCGTTTATCTCCTTTTGCCTTCATTCATTGAGGACACGCTCATGGGCGCCCTCTGCTGTTTAGCAGTCTTGTTTTTGATATAATGGGGGAAACAGGAAGAGGCTAGACCTGGCTCTGGTGTCACAACGCACAAGCGCAAGCTGCATTCTGAGTGTTACAGCAAGGGGCGCTATAACGACAGCCAAGTCTGTTCAAGTGGTCTCGTACCGCCAGCTTGTTTTCCAGCTGCCATAACAGACGAGCTGCTGAGTGTCACACAAAGTCGGCTTACATAAACATAAAAATATGATCCTTTATGGCCCTTCAGTTCCAGCAGAAGAGCTAAAGCAGCTCACTCTCCTCTACTGTCCATGTTTAGCTGTTGAGGCTGTTGGAATAACAGAAGATCCTCTCGGGTTTGTCCTCTAGCGCCCCCTTCAGTACTGAGTGTTTTAACTGCCACAGTAACGTAAGAGCGCACAGTGAGTTTGTACAGAAGGACCCAGCGTTTGCAGTGCGTTGGCTGAGCGCCATCATTTGCTTTTGCATCTTTGTGTTGAGTCAGTTTGTGGCTTAAGTGTCCATGAATAGCCCTAAAACAGGACCAGCTGGTGGTCAGGGCCAAGCTTAGGTTCTCAGTCTGTTAATGTTATTTATTAATTTAACCCTTGTGTGGTTTTCGGGTCTGTGGGACTCAATTTTCAAAGTTTACCAAAAGAGAAAATGATGTGATTTATTATTATTTCAGCCTCAGATTCTGGTCCTTTGCTCATTTTCAGTGGAGAACATATAAAATAACCCATTTTCAGTGTCTTCACTCTGTTCACCCCCCACACATTTATACTACGCATGTGGTGTTGGGTGAACCCACGGGGAGTAAAAGTGTGGAGGTGCTGTGTCCTTCACTCTGTTCTCCTCCTACATGGCCTGCTGTTAGTGTGTGTGTGTGTGTTTGTATATATATGTGTGTGTGTGTGTGTGTGTGTGAGGGTGGACAACATGGACAGGCTGCTGACTGGCTACAGCTGCTAAAGGAGAACCCTATGCTGGATACGTGCGATATTTTAAACATCTGGCATTTTTACATGAATTATGGCTGTATTGATTTAATAAACCAATAATGTGGTGGGTCCAGCAGACCACTGAGTAACACACACACCAACACCGCACACAGGTATTCTGTTCTGTTTTATTTTTACATTTTAAGTAACTTAATTAACTTGTAGTACCTCTCTCTCTCTCTCTCTCTCTCTCTCTCTCTCTCTCTCTCTGTCTCTCTCTCTGTCTCTCTCTGTCTCTCTCTCTCTCTCTCTCTCTGTCTCTCTCTGTCTCTCTGTCTCTCTCTCTCTCTCTCTCTGTCTCTCTCTCTCTCTCTCTCTCATTGTCACTCTGTAGGTTTTATTCCGAGCGCTGGTATTCCTCTGCAGAAGCAGTTGGAGCACGCTAACCAGCAGTCTGGCTTTACTGACTCTGTGAGTTCAATCAGGACTTTATTCAGGAGGAGTTTATATCACAATACCTACATTTAGAGTCGGTTATTCATTCAGCCTAATGAGAAACTGTAGAACAGACTCAGTTTATATCACAATACCTACATTTAGAGTCGGTTATTCATTCAGCCTAATGAGAAACTGTAGAACAGACTCAGTTTATATCACAATACGTACATTTAGAGTCGGTTTTTCATTCAGTATGTATGTCTATTTAGAGCACCCTGAGGCCCATGCATCCCCAGGCTCTCCATGCTAGTGCGGCCGGTTTGCTGCCCACTCCGTCCATCGCTGTCCAGATCCCTTCTGCCAAGGTGAGAGAGCACCACAGTTTAGCCCCACCCTTTCAGCCTACAGCTGTTTAGCCCCGCCCATTCAGCCTACAGCAGTTTAGCTTTACCCATTCAGCCTACATCGGTTTAGCCCCACCCATTCAGCCTACAGCAGATTAGCCCCACCCTTTCAGCCTACAGCTGTTTAGCCCCGCCCATTCAGCCTACAGCAGTTTAGCCCCACCCTTTCAGCCTACAGCTGTTTAGCCCTGCCCATTCAGCCTACAGCAGTTTAGCCCCACCCATTCAGCCTACAGCAGTTTAGCCCCACCCATTCAGCCTACAGCAGTTTAGCTCCACCCATTCAGCCTACAACAGTTTAGCCCCACCATTCAGCCTACAGCAGTTTAGCTCCACCCATTCAGCCTACAGCAGTTTAGCCCCACCCATTCAGCTACAGCAGTTTAGCCCCACCCATTCAGCCTACAACAGTTTAGCCCCACCATTCAGCCTACAGCAGTTTAGCTCCACCCATTCAGCCTACAGCAGTTTAGCTCCACCCATTCAGCCTACAGCAGTTTAGCTCCACCCATTCAGCCTACAGCAGTTTAGCCCCACCCATTCAGCTACAGCAGTTTAGCCCCACCCATTCAGCCTACAGCAGTTTAGCCCCACACATTCATGCTGAAGCTCATGCTGAGTGTTTAAGCCTGGCCTGGACTGTTGTTTGAATTCAGCCAATCAGAACAGAGCTCATTGACTTTCTGTCTTAAATGGACAGTGACATAAATGGCTTCATTACTTCTAAGGGATAAAGAGAAGCTGAATAATAATCTAATTAAACCTCAGGCACAAAAATGAAATCACAGGAAATGTAGGCTATGGGCTCTTTAATACCGGAGGACGTAGGTTTGTTTAGTCACACTGTGACTGGTGTTTGCTGAAGTGTGTAATATGGTTTGCTGGCTAACGTTAGAGAACACCAGTGTTGGATATGATCTGTGTCAGTAGCTCAGTGTCATTAAGTGAACAGCGAGAGAACAGTGGTCCCTCTTTACAGCAGCAGGTCATTTATTGCTGCGGTCAATGCTGAAATATTTGCCCACTTTGTGTGTTATAATTGTTGTAGCCACAGCAGACTAACAGAGTTGCCACTGTGTAGGCGTTCTGTCCTTCAGCAGAGGGCAGCAGGTCAGGGAGCCTGTTTAACACGATCACTGGTTTTGGTTGGTGCACTAGGTGGTCTGGCAAATGTGGAAAAGACAGCACTCAGATTTTATACATTTTAAAATTGAAGATAGATTAGAAGCAAAAAGTACCAGCTTGTGAGAAATAAAAAAAGAGGTTCAAAGTACTTTCCCCTCAAAGAACAAAATAATTATGAAGAATTAAAGTAACAAAAAAAGCAAAAACAAAACATGAACACTGTAAATTATTTGGAATGTTTATCATTATAATAATACTGCATGCCCAGATACAGTAACTGTGGGCTGATATCTGATATTTTTCCACTGATGCCGATACATAAACATTCATAAATGTATAAATCGCCACCAAATCTACCTGGATCAGCATTACAGAGAAATATAACGCTTCTTTCTGTGGAGATAAAAAAGGAAAGTGAATAAAACAATATTTTTGTGCAGACTGGAAAAAATAAAACATAAAATGTGGTCCATGCAAAAGTCATGGCACATTTAATTTACATGTTTAATTTTTTTCCAATATGTTAAATTCAGCAAATAAACAGAAATTGTGGATTAAATGTACAGAAGGGTGTTTTCTGTAGAGGATTATTTACACTTAGACAGTCAACACAAACATCGTTTGGCTGAGGCTGCCCAAACTTTTGCATACAGTTGTATGTGGCGATGTTCTGTAACATTCCAAATACCATTTTAAACAAGTTCTGCTTGCTACATCTTAACTAGATTAAAAAAATTGATCAAATTTAAAATTACTAATTTCAATTTGAGATTTTTTTGTGACCCTCAATTTGAGAACTGCTGCACTAAATGATGTTGAATGTTTTATACAAACTGTGCTGTTCGTACAGTCTGCTGCGCTGTGCGGAGCTTTTCGTTTGTTGTGCAGTAGACTTTAGACGGTGTTCGGTAGCCTTTAGACAGCGTGCCGTATCCTTTAAATGGCTGCAGTAGTCCTTAGACGGTGTTCAGTAGCCTTTAGACGGCGTGCGGTAGTCTTTAGATGGCTGCAGTAGTCTTCAGACGGTGTTCGGTAGCCTTTAGACAGCGTGCCGTATCCTTTAGATGGCTGCAGTAGTCTTTGGACGGTGTTCAGTAGCCTTTAGACGGCGTGCGGTAGTTTTTAGATGGCTGCAGTAGTCTTTAGACGGTGTGTAGTAGTCTTTAGACTGCATGCAGTAGCCTTTAGATGGTGTGCAGTAGTCTTTAGACTGTGCAGTAGCCTTTAGATGGTGTGCGGTAGTCTTTAGACTGCATACAGTAGCCTTTAGATGATGTGCAGTAGCCTATAGACGGTGTCCATTAGTCTTTAGATGGTGTCTGTTAGTCTTTAGGCAGTGTCCGTTAGTCTTTAGACGGTGTGCAGTAGACTTCAGTGTGCAGTAGCCTTTAGACGGCTGCAGTAGTCTTTAGACGGTGTGCAGTAGCCTTTGGACGGTGTTCAGTAGCCTTTAGACGGCGTGCGGTAGTTTTTAGATGGCTGCAGTAGTCTTTGGACGGTGTTCAGTAGCCTTTAGACGGCGTGCGGTAGTTTTTAGATGGCTGCAGTAGTCTTTAGACGGTGTGTAGTAGTCTTTAGACTGCATGCAGTAGCCTTTAGATGGTGTGCAGTAGTCTTTAGACTGTGCAGTAGCCTTTAGATGGTGTGCGGTAGTCTTTAGACTGCATACAGTAGCCTTTAGATGATGTGCAGTAGCCTATAGACGGTGTCCATTAGTCTTTAGATGGTGTCTGTTAGTCTTTAGGCAGTGTCCGTTAGTCTTTAGACGGTGTGCAGTAGACTTCAGTGTGCAGTAGCCTTTAGACGGCTGCAGTAGTCTTTAGACGGTGTGCAGTAGCCTTTGGACGGTGTCCATTAGTCTTTAGACGGTGTACAGTAGCCTTTAGATGGTGTCCATTAGTCTTTAGACAGTGTCCGTTAGTCTTTAGACGGTGTGCAGTAGTCTTCAGACGGTGTGCAGTAGCCTTTAGACGGCTGCAGTAGTCTTTAGACGGTGTGCAGTAGTCTTTAGACGGTGTGCAGTAGTCTTCAGACGGTGTGCAGTAGTCTTTAGACAGTGTGCAGTAGCCTTTAGATGGCTGCAGTAGCCTTTAGATGGCTGCAGTAGCCTTTAGACGGTGTGCAGTAGCCTTTAGACGGCTGCAATAGCCTTTAGACGGCTGCAATAGCCTTTAGACGGCTGCAGTAGCCTTTAGACGGTGTGCAGTAGCCTTTAGACGGCTGCAGTAGTCTTTAGACGGTGTGCAGTAGCCTTTAGACAGTGTGCAGTAGCCTTTAGACGGTGTGCAGTAGCCTTTAGACGGCTGCAGTAGTCTTTAGACGATGTGCAGTAGTCTTTAGACGATGTGCAGTAGTCTTTAGACGGTGTGCAGTAGCCTTTAGACGGCTGCAGTAGTCTTTAGACGGTGTGCAGTAGGCTTTAGACGGCTGCAGTAGTCTTTAGACGATGTGCAGTAGTCTTTAGACGGTGTGCAGTAGTCTTTAGACGATGTGCAGTAGTCTTTAGACGGTGTGCAGTAGTCTTTAGACGGCTGCAGTAGTCTTTAGACGATGTGCAGTAGTCTTTAGACGGCTGCAGTAGTCTTTAGACGATGTGCAGTAGTCTTTAGACGGTGTGCAGTAGTCTTTAGACGATGTGCAGTAGTCTTTAGACGGTGTGCAGTAGTCTTTAGACGGCTGCAGTAGTCTTTAGACGGCTGCAGTAGTCTTTAGACGGTGTGCAGTAGTCTTTAGACGGCTGCAGTAGTCTTTAGACGGTGTGCAGTAGTCTTTAGACGGCTGCAGTAGTCTTTAGACGATGTGCAGTAGTCTTTAGACGGTGTGCAGTAGCCTTTAGACGGCTGCAGTAGTCTTTAGACGGTGTGCAGTAGTCTTTAGACGGCTGCAGTAGTCTTTAGACGGTGTGCAGTAGCCTTTAGACGGCTGCAGTAGTCTTTAGACGGTGTGCAGTAGGCTTTAGACGGTGTGCAGTAGTCTTTAGACGATGTGCAGTAGTCTTTAGACGGTGTGCAGTAGTCTTTAGACGATGTGCAGTAGTCTTTAGACGGTGTGCAGTAGTCTTTAGACGGCTGCAGTAGTCTTTAGACGATGTGCAGTAGTCTTTAGACGGCTGCAGTAGTCTTTAGACGATGTGCAGTAGTCTTTAGACGGTGTGCAGTAGTCTTTAGACGGCTGCAGTAGTCTTTAGACGGTGTGCAGTAGTCTTTAGACGGCTGCAGTAGTCTTTAGACGGTGTGCAGTAGTCTTTAGACGGCTGCAGTAGCCTTTAGACGGTGTGCAGTAGTCTTTAGACGGTGTGCAGTAGCCTTTAGACGGCTGCAGTAGCCTATAGACGGTGTGCAGTAGCCTTTAGACGGCTGCAGTAGCCTATAGACGGTGTCCATTAGTCTTTAGACAGTGTGCAGTAGCCTATAGACGGTGTCCATTAGTCTTTAGACGGTGTGCAGTAGCCTATAGACGGTGTCCATTAGTCTTTAGACGGTGTCCATTAGTCTTTAGACGGTGTGCAGTAGTCTTTAGACGGTGTGCAGTAGTCTTTAGACGGCTGCAGTAGTCTTAAGATGGTGACCATTAGTCTATAGACGGTGTGTGGTATTTTCTCTGTTTTCTTCATTGGACTAAACAGATTAGAACCTCTGACCAAAACATAAGATGCAGCTCTACACCGCCCCCTGGTGGAGTGGAGAGTTCAGACAGTTCATCTTAAATATGAGAACGTATAACGTTCCAAAATTCTGACTCATTCCTAGTGAGGTCAGACATTTGCACCCTGGATGGAAATGACAGAATCTGTTTGTGTGGTTATGTTCAGCTGTTTGTGAGAGGAAAGTCCCAGCAGATAGGAGTGTTCAGACAGTATGAGGACATGAAGGAGGCTGAGTCGAGGCCGGTGTGGTTTATCCGGACTCTTAAATGCATTGTGTAGGGAGAGGAGCGGGGAGCCGTTTGGTCAGTGAGTCAGTCTGTTACGTTGATTGTTCTTGGCCAGCGCTCTGGGCGGTCTGGCAGATCTGGAAAGGATGGGAACACCCATTCCTTCAGCCCAGCAGCTTCTTTAGATTCAACTTAACAAATAACAAATCTGTACCTACTGCTGTGGAGTTAGACAAGCTGGTACAAATCCCATTATACCAGTGTATATCACAATACCTACATTTAGAGTCGGTTATTCATTCAGCCTAATGAGAAACTGTAGAACAGACTCAGTTTATATCACAATACCTACATTTAGAGCCAGTTGTTCATTCATTCCAGCCCCATAATAATCATATCATCCATATTAATGTTGTACGTTCTGTGGAATTTGTTAGAGTTCAAATCCAAAACTCCAGCAGTGCCGCTGAGTGACAGTAAACAGTCTTTAATGTTGAGTTATGCTGTGAGCTGATAAAGCTGTTGTATTTCTGCAGAAGCCAGAAGGAGCTTCCGTCTCGTTCTGCTCTTCTGTTTGACTGTTTACTTTAACGCTCGCCATATGCTAAGGGTTTGTTTGTTCTCTTTGTGTTTGTTTTTGGCCAGACTGGCTTGCCATATGCCCACCCACCCAGGCCGGCCTCCCCGGGAGCGTTCACACACACGGCCCCCCCACAGCCAGCACACGCGGTGAGTTCAGCTGGACACCAGCCCGTAAAGCCCGGCCTACACTACACCTTTACACAGGGTTTAGGCTGAGTTTATGCCGAGACAAGGTGCAGGTTATAGTGCTGATAGTTTATGGATCCAGACATCGAGGCGTAATAAAATCTTCTCCTCTCAGTGTCGGTGCTGATGCCAGAACTTAAATACTGTATCGGTACCGGCCGTAGAGAACAATGATACTCGGGCTGTTGCGACAATTTCTGACACGCACACTATTAAATATTTGATGTTGTTAAATAATAATAATTAGCTACTGTTGACTTTAATTTAACTACTGTTAACTTAAAATCTAGATGCAAATAAACAAAAATACACATACAATATGTGCAAGTAAACCTAAATACAGTAAAAACACTGTATAACATTAGAATCAATGCACGTAAACATAAATATAGTAAAAATGCTGTACAACATTAGAATAAGTGCAAATAAACATAAATACAGTAAAAAATGCTGTGTAACATTAGAATAAGTGCGAATAAACAAATTATATATGTATATATGTCTGTGTATAAATGCAAATAAACAATACAATAAAAACGCTGTATAACATAATATATGCAAATAAACATAAATACAGTAAAAATGCGGTATAACATTAGAATAAATGCAAATAAACACAGTAAAAACACTATATAACATAATAGAGTAAATGCAAATTAACCCAGTAAATACAGTAAAAAGAACCAATTTTTTTGTTTGTTTTGAAAAAAGTATTTGAAAGTCTGGTTCTAGATTTCTCCTGGACGTCTCCGGACATTACTTGGATTTATTAGATTCTATCAGCAGCTCCTGATTTTACATAATGAAGTAAAGAATAATTTTGCTGTGGTGTCTGAATCTTAAGCACAGTACTGTACTGTATATATGTCTGTGTGTTCTGCATCTGAAGTGTTAACTCTAGGTCTGTATTGCTGGCAGAACCCAGAACATCTCATGCAGCGTTTGTTCATATGAGACTGTAGAACTTTATCAGTTTGAGTGGCGTCTCCATTTATTCCTGCCTACAGAGTTTCTGAACCGGATCTGACGTGTCGTGTATGTTTCTCTGTTTTTATCAGGCCACGTTTCAGAGCTCCGCCCAGCCGCCCCCACGCCACGCCTACCTCTCTCACAGCCAGTCAGGACAGAGGTTCTATCACCATGGCAAATAGCCGGCCTACCAGGTGGCGGAGATTGTGGTGTTAGATTTGGGTTTGACTCACTCCAGCTTCAGCACGTCACAACCACACAGTACCGCAGTAACGCTTTAGCGTAGAGAACGTTTATGATAGTTAATCAGCATGAGGACAAACGTCTGTTAGCTTCATACTTCATTTCTGCATCCGCTAATATTCACTAGCACAGGGTCATCACTCTTATATACCGTCAGTGGGCAGGTGCTTCAAAGGAGAACTTCACTGTTTCTCGTCCTGCTCTCCGTCTGCTGTACCTGTAGCTCAGAGCCGAGTAGCTCAGACAGTAACTTCAACACGTTTCCCTGAACCGAAAAAAGATCAGAAAACATAGTAGCATCAAACTCGCTTATAGCAGAAGACAGTGGGCAGTTCCTGAGCTTGTGCCGTATTTTTACAGAGCCTTTTCATGATTTATTCAGTTGAAATTTCTAAATGAAGCTGCAGTCATGCCAAAAAAGACTTTTAACATGAAATTTATGAACTTCTTATTAAAAAGAATCAGTTTAATATGGATATTACTTGATATTTATTTTAATAATAGTATAAAATTAGTCTTTTGAGAAGAAGTCATGTGGTGCAGCCACACAATGAAATGAATTACGTATTTTAAAGTTATTTACAGCTACTAAAGGGGTGCTAACTAGCCTTTGTACTTGGACACAAGGTTATACGTAATTTTGTTTCAAATGATGAACATTAATGTAATAATAACACGTTCATAGTTTGGCTGGGGTCGCACCTCCTGACTGAGCTGAAGCAGCTGAACCACGATTCAGAAATTACAGTATTTGTAAAAAGGCTGATGATCTCGGCCCACTCTTCCTTAAAGTCATGCCAGAATAAAAGTCCTTTGTTGTCAGTTGAAAGTTTTTCAAAACTTTTCATAAGCTGCATGTCTCTGCGACTAATTGTGCTTTTAAAGGTGTGAAACATAAAATCAAAGTATTTTATTTCGAATTTAATTTTTTAAATATAAATTATCCTTTTTAATAGTTTATTTAATCTGCATATATGGTTGGTGGTTGGACAATCACACCACCTGACATTTTCAGACTGTCACACTTTGAAATTAATTAAAATGTGTTTGAAATTAATTATTTTTTGATGCACTAAAAATGCATTTGTAAAAAAGGAGGTATTATATAATGACTTGATATGAAGTTTAATTAAAATTAATAATAATTTAAATTAGAATTGATTTATTTAATAGGAAAACAAAGAACTGGTTCTTTCAGACGTGGGACTAGTTTTCCAGAGACTGGATTCTGTGGTGATGCATTATTTTTCAGAGGCTCCGCCTCCTGATCGCCATGGATACTAGAAATCTTAGTGAAAGCGAATGAAATCAGAGCTGCTTTTGCCAGTTCACTCTAACAGAATTGAAATTTTTCAGCCTCACATATTATTTAACCATTTATCGATGGAATTCAGCAACTGCCCATTGACTTCCATTGAAAGTATGTTTTATGCTAATACGTTTTCTGTTATTTTCTAAGTTCAGGGAAACGTACGGAAATAACTGTCTGTGGTATTTAACTGTACGTTACAGGTACAGCAGATAGAGATCAGGATGAAAAAATACTGAAATATTCCTTTAAGCTGTTATCAGTGCAGTGAGTTCTGTTTGATGTTCTTATGTTCAGCAGTCGTGCCAAATAAAAAATACTGACAATAACAATAAACACAGGCTTAACCTTAGTAAGAGAGCACACAGTACAGACTGAAAGGCAGTTTAAACTGACAGGCATAACAGCTGTAAACACTCGGCTGTGTGTGATCTGAGGCAGGAAGTCTGAGCTTTTCCTGCTTTATTATTTTTAATAGGGAGTAAAGCTCTCAGGGCACTTTGTGTAGATACTGATAAATTCCCCAACACACATGGCCACGCGAAAAACGGGGAGGAAGAGTTATTTTCCTAAAAATAAAAACAAAACAATATTTTAATTTAATTAAAATGTGATATTTTTAACTCAGTTTGATGAAATTGCACTTAAAATCAGATCTCACACAACGGTAATAAACCATTATGAGGAAAAATTATACATTGATTTTGCTCCTGTCGTCTGAAATAGAGCGTGAACACACACACACACACACACACACACACACACACACACACACACACACACACACACACGCCTGGAACGGAGACTGTATTTATTTAGTGTTTTCTGGCGCGCAATAAAAGACAAACTGCTAATAATCAATAATGGACTGATTTTTATAACAGCGTGTTTGGGGAAAAGGGGATTTTTGTGGATTATATCTGTGGAAGTGCCTCCTCACCCTGTAGAGGAGAAGAAAATCACCCGTTTTTCCTCCTTCTCACTTTCTGGCAGCAGTTTGTCATATACTGACTTAAATATTGACTATCTAAAAATAATGACTCGCTGTGTTAATATAGCATTATAGTCATTAAATAACGTTGTTGGATCTCATAATAATGACCTTTTATTCCAAAATACTTATACAAAATAGCCATGTTCTTGAAATCGAATGTTATTAACAGCATTTCAAAATCTTAAGAAGTCAATATTTTGAGATAATAATTCATTATTTAAAAAAAAAAATACAAAAAAATCTTTTTTTGATGGTGTCAGTATTTTGAGCAAGTAAGTCATTTTATAAGATGCTGAGTCATTAGTTTGAGAGATCAAGGCAATTTTTGATATATTGATTAATACTAAGTCAGTATTTAAAAATAACATCTTTTACTAGTAAATTAATAATTTAATCTAAGTCAGTATTTAAAAATAATTAACTTTGTGCTAGTAAGTGAATATTTTGAGAAAATAAGGCATTATATAAGGAAAAAGATGTTATTCAGAGATATTAAGTCAATATTTTGAGAAATAAGTCACTTATTTAGAGCATTTGGAGTGCATGACACGCTGCTGAGAGAGAATAAAAGCAGGTTTAAGACCTGATGAAATTGAGCTTCACAGATTTCACTGAGCCAATCACAGGGTGTGTGTGTGTGTGTTTGTTTGTGTGTGTGTGTGTGTGTGTGTGTGTGTGTGTGTGTGTGTGTGGGAGGGCAGCGGTCACTCTGAGTGGGTTTAGAGGTCAGTTCTTTGTCGTTAGCTGGTGATTCATGCTGTTCTCTCTGTATTTAGACTCTGAATCAGCGGATACAGATTCCTCTGAAGTCACCAAGCGCTGATGTAATAATTCTGCACCCGGTTCTCACCTCTCCACCCGCCGTGTGTGTGTGTGTGTGTATGTGTGGTGTAAGTGGTGTGTTGAGGCCGTTCAGGGTCTAAGAGGTTAACCGTGAAGCTAACTGCTCCCAGATCAGTCAGTGAGAGTGTCTTGTGGAAAGTACCATGAAGTTTGTGGTAAGCACCAGATTTCTTCCTCGTGTTTAGCGCAGAGTTGGCGAAAACTCGCCGTGTCGGTTTCAGCAGGTTTGAACCGGTGGAGGGACAAAGATACTCATTTAACTGTGTGAGATCACACACACAGACACTGATACGAAAACTACACCACGGATTATCGGCTGAGCGCTGAATGATATCAGAGCGTAGAGTCTCCCAAACACGTCCTCCAACACACGTCATATCAGAATACAGTCAAAGAAGAAAGGAAAAACAAAGTGGAGGAAATATGAGGCTGGAATCTGGTATCTTCTTATCTGGATTTTCTGCTACACCTTATTAAAGGTGCAGCTGTTACAAACCGTAGCTGCACCATTTTTAAGGTGCAGGGGAAATTTGGATAACAAGCTGGTAAATGAGAGATTATATAGAGACTGACGTCTCTGTTCTTCACATTTCGGATCCTTTTGGTGTAAAATAAAACTCTAAAGCTCCACAGTGAGAGGAGTGATCAACAGTACAGCAGAACAGCAGCTGAACCAGCACAACAGACTGAAATGAAACCCAAAAAAAGGACAGGTTATATATTTTATTGATTTTTGACGTAAAAAAATGAAGAAATGTCTCTGCCGCAAACTATTTACCCTTTTCTGTATGCAGTTTTTCATGCACAGTTACTCTAAATGTGATTAAAATAGAAAAAAATAATGTGTAAAAGTTTGGACACCCTACTTAGTTGGTACTAACACCCCTTTTAGCAGAAATCACAGCCTGTAAATGCTTTTTGTATCAAGCTTCGAGTCTTTCTGTTCTTGTTTTAGGAATTTTTACCCACTCTTCCTCACAGAACGGTTCTAGTTCTGCGATATTCTTGCATTCATAGCATGTTTGAAGATCTACTCACAGATTTCCAACAGCCAGGCGACTGTGAGGGAGATTCCAGAAGCTTCAGCTTGAGTTTACTGAAGTATTTAGTGGTGGATTTTGAGTTGTGTTTTGGATCATCGTCCTGCTGTAAAAGCCTCTTTTCAGCTTCAGCTTCTTCTCTGACTGTGTCACATTTCCAGAACTGGCTGATATTTACTGGAATCCATTCTTCCATCTACACACTGGCTGCCACAGAACCCCAAAGCATAACAGATCCGCCCTCATACTTAACAGTTGGCACAATGTTCTTTTCATTAAACGCTGCTCCTTTTTTTTCCCAAGCATTCCTTTAGTGTTTGTGGCAACAGAGTTCTAGTTTAATTCCATCAGTCCACAGCACTCATTTCCAAAATGCCTCTGGCTGATCCAGATGTTGTTTTGTACTCTTCAGACGTTGACTTTTATTATTAGGTTGCAGGTCAGGTTTCCATCTGATGACTCTTCCGTGCAGATCATGTTTGTGTGAGCAGAGCTGTACAGTAGAACGGAGCTCCACCACTCCTCTATCAGCTAAACCTTCTTGCAGGTCCTTTACTGTCATGTGGGGGTTTTGCTTTGCCTTTCTGTCCAGCATACAAACTTTTCTATCTGAGAGTTGTAGATCCTGCCCTGGCTTCCACAGTTCCCCTTAACTGCCATTACTTACTTGCTGATATTTCAGACAGTGGAAACTGTGAGCTGGAAGTGCTTTGATATCTTCTTGTTGTCTTGTCCTGCTTTGTAGGCAGCTGTTAGCTTCATTTTCAGATCCTCAGCATCGTAGAGGAGCTCATGAGTGTTGGCATGAAGTTTGAAGAGTCAGAGAATTTATTACACTCTGGAATCAACATCAGCTGACAGATCCTAATGACCCGCCTAACCAGTCTTAATGAGTCAGTTAAAGTCATGAGACTTGACATTAGGAAGGGTGTCCAAACTTTTGTACATGCCACAGTAGTTTATTTTTTACATTGTCTACATATATATATATATATATATATATATGACATCATTTTTTGTGTCCAAGTATATTATTTTCCCACAAAATAATGTAATAAATACATGATATATCAAATTATTCAACAGCGCCATTTTTATGTAAATCAAGTATTACATAAATATAAAATTCTACTTTCTACTAAAATTCTACTAAATTTTACTTCCATGAAAAATTCATTTTAGTTTTTATTTCTGCCTCCAGAAGTCTAAAAATTTCAGGTGGAGCAACCGTCCAACCACATATGCTGATTCAGTTAACTATCAAAAAAGGTAATTTAGTTATAACATTTTAAAAACAGTAAAAATTGTAAATAAAAGTTTGGCATGATTGTATGTTTGAAAACTTTAAAATAAAAACCATGTTGCAAAATAAGGCAACGTTAAAAGTGCTGAAATCACTGAAAAACTTTTATCTGCAAGTTCTTACTTCTCAAAATGTCGGGCGGCACAACCAAAAACAAAGGACTTTTACTTTGACATGCTCTTATAAACGAGTGGCCAGGGTATTGCCTCATGAAGAAGACCCCAAGTGACCTTCATGGTGCACAGATTTTGGGACACATTTCCTTTAAAACAATGGGATCTAACTGCTCACCATGTGGCCATGAGGGACAGGGATGCAGCCTCACTTCCTGCTCTGAAATGCAGGGGCGTGGCTAAAATAAGGCCCACAGATTAAAGCTCCTTGTATTTCAGTAATGACATAAAAACGTGGGACAGCTTTTTTATTTACAAATTAAACTCATGATGAATCTAAATCTTTCAGCATCAGGTTAAAACAAACATCGTAAAGAAGTATATATAAAAATAATAAACAGAATAATGAAGGTTTTGTATTATTTTCAGAAGTGTAAATTTAGGGGTTTAGGGTTTGGGACAGACTCCTCTCAATTAAAAAGCACCCTATAAATTATGATGTTGTTTATCACTGCTGTCGGATCAAAACCTCGTATCTCCAAAAATGGTAACTTTACAGGAGAAGGAAAAAACATACTTTACTTTTAATGTAAGTCAATGGAACCAGACGTTTTTTCAGGGTCATTCATTTTCAAATTATGCCAAAAACTGAAAAACGTCAAAAATGGAGATACGAGGCTTTCTTCCGACAACAGCGACATATTTAGCTTATTACTGTCTCTATTAATGTCTATTTGAATAGATCAGAAAAAAAGATTGTAAATATTTTAACTTATTTATTTTAAGATTTTTTAATAGTTTGATGTGGGAGCGCAGTGTGAACTAATTCAGTAGAATATACACTTATATTCATTCTTAAATGTTCTACTGTTATTTTTATTAATATATTTTATTAACATAAAAATAAATAACTATATATATTTATTTATTTATAATAAATGGTGTAGAAGTGTAACGGTTGAACCTCACTGCTCTTCCTGCCTGACACAACACACACACACACACCTGCATACACAGTGTACCAGTTCAAACACATACACACAGTTTCAGTCTGTAATTATCTCTTTTCCTGCACACTCAGAAAACCCCACCACATCAAACTGTTCTGAGCTGTTTCAGTGATGTTTTGATGTGTTTGTACTTTTCTGAGTATTTTCAAATGAAAATATGCTAATGATATGCTAATACACTAATACATATATAATATTCATGTGTAAAATCCTCACTCACCGTCCACTTTATTGTGCATACCTACCTTTCATTCTCTGTTCTATCAGCTCCACTTACCGTATGTAGCGCTGCAAAAGTCAGAGTCAGAACAGCCATTAAGTAAGTTATTGATTTTTCAGCTGATATCTGTGAGGAGATTATAAGATATGAGACAGATCAGATAATCCAGTTGCATAAGGAAGGAGAGAGTTAAAGGATAATGGGTGATAAAAACACTAGTTTTGAAAACTGATTAAAAGCTCCAGAGAAAATGTGCCTCCTAACAACCACCTGGAAGAGCTGGTCGACCACCAAACTGCCCCCATCAGATAAACAGCACTTAAAGCTTTCATCTCTGA